GAAGAAATGTGCAACGAAGGCGACGCGTCAGGCCTCCGTTAACGCCAAGCAATGTTTTCTATATAAACATTACCGAAATAAACGTTGCAATTACATAGAATCCAGAATGTCATTCAAATCATTTATTGATCTCGTCTTTTCCTACGATTCTCGAGCCATTGTCCTTTGTTTCGAATGGAGAATTCTGTATTTTTGAATATTTTGCATTTCATTAGTTATATTTGTTGTATCACTTGTTTGCCTTGATTGGTCGTATGAAAATTTGCGCCCACGAATATACAGGGTGCTCGACCATCCCTGGGAAAAATTTTAATGGGAGATTCTTGAGGCCAAAGTAAAACGAAAATCAAGAATATCAATTTCTTGACTGAGGCTTCGTTAAAAAGTTATTAAAAAATTAAATTAAAAAATTTTAAATCATTCTGAAAAAATTATTTTTGGTTGCGAGGGTCAATTACAATCATTTTTGGTCATTATATATATACGCGAAATCCTACGCATTTTCGAGCAAAAAATTCCTTACCAAGAATCTAATATGAGGCCAGAAATGCTTCCTTGCATGCGAATCTTTAAAATGTCATAACATATGAACGGATTGAAGGATTTTAATGTTTCAAACGGCAAACTACGCATATTTTAATGGAGGATATGTGGAAATTTCAGAAATATTCGAAAAGTTGTTCCTTGACCCCGTAAAGTGTAAAAAATCCCATAAAAATGGTCCAATGTTCAAACAGTCATAACTCCTACAATAGTGAATATATTTCAATGAAACTTTTTTCTGAAATAGAGCTCATGGGTACCTACAAAAAAGTATTAAACAACTTTTCTATAAGGTGTCAAAAAAATTACTAAAAATGAAAAACGAATTCTTAAGAAAAATCGACAGAGGATAGGTGCCTAAATTCGGCGAAATTGAAAAGTTGCAAATCGTCCTGGAAAAATTATATTCGGTTGCGGTGGTCAATTACAATCATTTTTGGTGAATACACATACCCCCGAATTCCTACCCACTTTCGAGAAAATAATTTGAGTAGGTGGCTAAATTTTTCGACGAAAAAAAAAATTTCAAATCGTTCTGGAAAAATTATTTTCGATCGTAGGGGTCAATTACAATTATTTTTGGTCAATAGGCATACCCCCGAAATCCTGCGTATTTTCGAGAAAAAAATTCAGTACCGGCGGAACTTTAAACGTTAATAATTTTTTAACAAAGCCTCCATCAACAAATTGGCATTCTTGATTCTCGTCCTATTTTTGCCTCTAGAATCTTCCATTAAAATTTTTCCCAAGGGTGGCCGAACACCCTGTATAAGTGAGGGTTACGGTTCCGTGATCAGCCTCGTCGCGGCTGAAAGGTTAATCTTTAATTTGACTCTCTGAGAAGAGGAACGCGTGACCCGTTTCGCGATTCGTGCTTTGTCCGCGTTTTCGAAACTTTTAACGAGCAAAACAGCAATCCGGCGACCGTTCTTATTCCCTTTTCTCCTTTTCACCCTGAATTCGCAAACGCGAGAAAGAGCAACCAAGAGGGCCATCGACGAATACTCGACCTTTCGCCTTTTCCCTTTTCTCGACTCTCGGGTCGAGTGCCACGAACGTGCTCGTACGATCTGACCCGCCCTTAACCCACGATATTTACATCCACTGTTGCAGTTCTGTCGAGTATTTCGAGCAATTATACATAGGTACATAATGCACGATTAACTTTCCCAATTCCCGTGGTTATAACAGAAAAGAGCGAGTTTTCATGTTATTTTTCTAAAACTGGTACCAACGCATTTTTCGAATTCTTCTGATTAAAACGAGTCCAAACACGACGTAAATCAGACTTCTTTTAATTTTCTTAATACACGCAATATGACATAATACATATGTACAATGACTACTCATAATTAAATCTTTATACCATTCAATAATTTAATTTTTGTTCTTCGATACACCTCAAATAGAAATTTTTTAGAAGCTTCTATAAGCATCGAGCATTTCATTATATAATATTTGATTTGTATTTTGAACCTGTTTTAATCAGAAGAACCCTAATCGTAAACATTTTTCTCTTCTTTTTACACGAAGATTATTAATCTCGCTTCCTTTCGTTTTACCGATTCTCTGTCCTTCTCTGAATCGAAGGGGGACGAATCGTGGAAAGTTAAACGTGTAGATTTTAGTGAAAAATTCTAAAAAAGATACAGCACGCGCGCGACATGGATGGGGTTCTTCGAACGCGGTTGACGTTGGCAAACGAAAAGTTTCCACAAAGTGAAATCGTCGAATTTATCGCATGCCTCGCGAAAGAAACAGACGGTTTCTCGGAATGGTTAACGACTACGCTTGGAAAACGGACACGAGACGAACCGAGCCGTGTCACGCGATCGGAACCAACTGCGAGATGAAGCCTTTGGTCGGAAACCGATGGATTCTTTTTTTATAAATATCTGAATATCGCGGCGGACGGAGTACGATTTACCGGCTTCGGCACGGCAAACCACAGAAGCGAAGCCAACTTGGCGAACGTCAAAAGGCGCCAACGTGCAGCCGGCTTTTATCGTATCTGGATACAATGCGTATTTCGGGCTTGCGCATTGCTATTTCCGTGCGTCGCGCGGCTATTCTTAGCCGTTGCTTCGACCAGCTGCACGCTCGCCGTGTGTACACGCATAGATACCGCTGTATACGCACAGCGTCTATACAGGGCGTTTAACTACAGGTGGGCAATCTTTCAGAGGATGATTTTACGTGCCAAAATAAGACGTAAATCGAGAAAGACGAAACCGCCGTCGAGGCTTTATTTTCTGATATATAGTGCAGCCCGCGCTCATCCTCCAACTTAAGATTTAGTATGAACGCATTTCGTCATTTTTCGTTTACGAATCGTTAGTTAAATTCAAGCTTTGTACATTGTAGAATTATCGGCGAACAATTAAATAGGGAAATCGTAATTCTTCGCTTCCGGAATGTACTTCGGCAAGTTCGAGTACGAAATAGAGATAAGTGTGATAGTTTTAAACTATAGTTAGGAATATTAGCTTTTACATAGAGAAACAAGTGGACGACGTACTACCTAGAAATATACAGAGTGTACGGCCACCCCTGGGAAAAATTTTAAAGGGGGATTCTAGTGGCCAAAATAAGACAAAAATCAAAAATACCAATTTGTTGATCGAGGCTTTGTTAAAAAGTTATTAAGGTTTAAAGTTTTGCCCATAATGAATTTTTTTCTCGAAAATGCGCAGGATTTCAGAGGTGTGTCTATTCACCAAAAACGATTGTAATTGAGCCCCGCAACCGAAAATAATTTTTCCAGAACGATTTCAAATTTTTTTTTTCGTTGAAAAATTTAGGCACCTAATTAGATTTTTGGTAAGGAATTTTTTTCTCGTAAGTGCATAGAATTTCGGGGGTATGTGTAATGATTGTAATTGACCCCCCCACAACCGAAAATAATTTTTCCAGAACGATTTGAAATTTTTGAATTTAATTGTTAATAACTTTTTAACGCAGCCTCCATCAACAAATTGGTATTCTTGATTTTCATCTTATTTTGACCTCTAGAATCCCTCATTAAAATTTTTCCCAGAGGTGGCCGAACACTCTGTATCTAAATTTCCACCTTCGGACTGGAAAATTGACGTTTCGTGAAAATTTTATTTCCAATATTACAATTATGATGTGATGGTGAAAATTCACCCATAGTACCATTAGCGTGATAGTAAAGTATCGTACCAGTTAAGAGTTAAAATTTTAAGCATTAGAGTGTACAAGTGAGATCTCGATTAATTTGCAACTACAAGTCGGAGCACGCTTTTTTTATAGTAAAATAAGGGTGGGAAAAGAGACGCTCGCGGTGATAACGAAAGCCCCGAGGCCGTGAATTTCCGTTCAAAGGGGGAGGAAAGGAAAGAAGAATGTCCAGCCGTCGGACGGCTAGTCGCCGGGGATCATCATCGATCCACCGGTCCAACGGCCCGACGTCTATTTTCATACAGGCTAACCTATTTATACACACGGACAATGTTCCACTTCTATCGACCGATGAGAACACCGACTAACCATACAGCGTCGCGACGCATCGGTTGCATCCTTGTGGCAATATTTCAACACCGTTCAATGTGCCACCACGCGTCATATCGCGTTGTAGCGTGACGTTGGAACCCCCGTGTTTCGCATCGCGTGACTCCTATCCGAGAAATAACGTTACGTTTTTTTACCATGTTCGCGACTATTTTTAAATTTTACAATGCCTCCCTCGATTTCATTAACGTCGAAGGAACGCTCACGGAGCGACATTCGTCAGTAACCAAAAGGAAGTCGGACAATTTTCCGGTCAACTCGGAGATTGTTCGTAACATTCGTCGATGGCCAAATTAATATTGTATTCGCGTCGAACGAAGAAGCACTCTCAAATATAAAATCTTGGAATAATCTAAGAAAGTTATTTTCAGGGGTAAAAAATCGTTGAGGTACAAGTCGTTGTCGTGGAAATTAACAAAGAAAATTCCAGAAACTGACGCATCTGGCATGCTAAGTGCGTCTGCGGGTGGCGGTTTATGGTGCTGCCTGTGTTGAAAACCAAGGGTCCGTGCGTCATGTTCGGCAATATTAGGAAGACGATTTTAAACGTAGTATTCTCAGAATATCTAAATTGCGACACAACTCTCGTATCGTAGTTGGTTACTTTTAAACTTACGAGTTAATCGTATTTCATAGACTTCAATATAATCGGTGGTAAAAGATACTATTGTATTTTTAGCAGGTTATCGACGACGTACGAACAATGCAACGCGTGTGGCTCGTTTACTCGAACCGTCTTCTATGAGTTTATTCGCGACGTTTAATAAAACAAACTTTATTAAAATAATTACTGAGTTCTTTATTCATCATACTATTTGTTTTCCAACATACGAAAATATCATTCATTCTTAATATACTTATGTTTAAAGATTCTTTTCCGATCATATGGAAATCGTTAATGATTTGATATAAACATTTGAGAACACTGCGCGACGTGCCCTCTGACTTGTGGTTCGATCTTCCTAAAATGAAAAAAATAAAAGAAATTCAAACAGAAATTTCAACAAAAACGGTTGTAAAAATAAAGAAAGAAATGTGCATTTACCAAGTTACTAAATGTCGAACGTTTCGAGAATCAGTCGTCGCAAATTTTCATCCGTTTCCGGACGTAACGGACATTCAAATAACATCCACAACTTTTCAAATTCCTCGACAAAAGGTTCCACCAACGAATTGTGGTTGGTCACCAGGACATTTTCAAAGTTTCCAAAGAACGCGGACATTGTCCAATTTATACTACCGGTAATCACTATATCACGATCCACGATTACGAATTTGTGATGCATCAGGACATCGGAGTCTTGCATTCTGATCGTGACACCTGAAATATATGCGTAGTTTTTTTTTACAAACGAACGACATAAAATGCTACTCAGCGCCGTCGATAACGAACAATCGAACGAGCTCAGCCTGCGTTTACAAAACGACTGAAACAAACCGTTACTGTGAAACAGAGCCGTTTGCGCGGCATCGTTGACAGCTTTGCCTCGGTCCATTATTACCCTGACGAGTACACCTCGTTTACGCGCGTTTACAATAGCTTTTGATAACATTTGACAAGTCAACATGTGCATACATACGTCCAAACTCTGTTTCGCGCAGTTCATATAATTTTCCAGATTTCTAAAACGTTATCTATTGTCAGCCAAACTCGAAGATATTATAAAATCTTTGGATATTTCATATACGTGAAGTCATTGATCTACTAGTTGCATTGCTGTAGATTATAGTGCAAGAATTTTATGATAAATATGATGTGTACATATACAGGGTGTCTGGTGTATTTAGAAATGCAGGATATCTAAAAAAGGATTAAAGATATAAACAAACTGTTCTTACAAAAGTTTTTTGTGTATACAGAAAAACAAAATGTAATATATTTTTTTTGTCGGTAGAAGTATGAAAAAGATTTCAAGGTCAAGTTATTTCTTTTTTTAATGGAATGCTTTATTTTGTTATACATAACATTATAGTACAAGTGAATATGAATCTAAATAATTTTGGACTGTAGATTACTATATCCCCCTTAGAAGCCTTTACTAGAACGTAAATAAATAAATAAATAAATAATATCCTTCAAATGCCCTTGGCGCTACCATCGGAAATCTAAAAAGCGTCACCGCGCTATGTTCACCATAAAATCAAACAACTTTTGCCTATAACATTCTCTTCTACTTTTAAAAATAGACGAATTATCCAGATAACTTATCTTAAATACCTCACCCTGTATATCTACTTTGAAAGATTACGATTGGTTTACCTCATGTAACGAACCGGACAATTGTCCTTGGAGCAAGCTTTACCAGAATTGGCGTGTACCCGACAATAGTTGGATGCTTTGGAGAAAAACATAACTTCCGATATGTTTTGTTTCGTATCGTCAACGCTTGTTTTTGTAATCGCACAGGTGTCGATAGCATTTTTCCGAGAATTACGAAATCTTTTGTACCACTTCCAAATAATTTCCGAAGTAATCAGTATACCCCCCACTAGGAAAATTTTATTGTTTATCATTCCTAAAACAAAATATATGAAAACGTAACAATTAGTGTCAAAGAAGCAATATCCAAAATTTTATTGAAACCAAAAGTACACTTGTATATTAGATACCATTTTGTTTTATGTGACTCTAACCCTTTCGTGACAAATGGTCACTATAGTGGTCGTTATCAAAGCCATCCCCGTTATGGTTAACCACTATAGTTGCCACCTACGAAGTTATCCCTATACAAGAAGCTCTACTGTTGCTTAACAATTTATAAATGCATCATTTTTCCTTTCTGTCTATCTTTTAGTACACACTAGTGGTTCACTCTTTAGTATGTATTCTACGTGCAATAATGACACAGTAACGGCTAATACCGTTGTCGTAAACGAGCTAGTGAACATTCGATATTGTGCAACTACAACGAATAGAATGAAAGGTCGTAAACGATAACCTTTTAATAATTCGACTGATAAATAAGTAAAAACTGTAAGTTTTGATATACTCTCGTTTAGTAATGACTATTATTGCTTACTAAATAATAAACATTCTTATCAAGAAAATTATAACCTATGACTGATATTCTACCGGTCGAAATATCAATCACGAATTTTATAATAAAGACATAAATAAAATATATCATACCGTTGCATATACCATTTATTACCTAAAGATGTTCAAATTGTTCTTGTTAAAGAAACAATAAAGAGAAGAACGAATCGATAAGTCACCAATTTTGCCGCCACTGAATGACGCTTAAGTCTCCTGAAGTTGTCTTTAAGTACTGACAACCTTCTACCAATGAATAACCGTCCACAGACTACCTACTCTAGGGTAACAGTTGAAACGTTTGTCAGCCTATCAGATTCGCGTTTTCGAGTTATATCGAATTGCCAAAAAAAATTGCTGATACAAGCAGATTACGAAAGTTTTACCTTTATTAAAAGCTTTGTAAAAGATGTTCGCGGGTTTTGCGGAAGTTGAATCATTGACTACTTAATTTTGTCCCATTTGTTTAGATATAAACTCTTTATCTCTATTCCAAAGTATATTACATATTGTGTTCAACTGATATGAACAATCAAATATTTCGGATCTTGAGGACAATTTATTAATATCGACCCTGACAACTTTAACTTTCCATTTGTCTTCAAATTCTTTTATCCGCGCGTCTTCTATCGTAGAACTTGACCATGGTTTAAATCTATAACACGTCATGATACAATTAAAATACCTTTGGTACGCTCTAAAATTATCGTTCATGCACAACACAGAAAAAAAAGATAGAAAATTTTGTAATAAATTACTTTGTTCCTATGACTATATTTGCTGGTTTTTCCTTTATTGTGGACATTGTATTCATCAAATATGGAATATCATTAAAACCCATGGCATCATCGAAACAGAATACAGAACATATAGCATCAACTTTATCTTTGCATGCCTAAAAAATTAAACATTTAAGGTTTCAGTCTTACTTATTTATATACTTGATTTATATATGTGTGTATATATATATACATACAGGTAGTATATGATTGTATTTTTTAATGCTTGTTTCTGAAGTGTCCCAAAATTGTAATTTAAACAATACAACTTTGTCCCAAATTTTAACCGGCCAAAATACATTTGTCTTTTTTATCCCATTGGTTTCAGTATAATTATTAGATTCTAATATACCAGCAAGACGTGCTACAACCGAGGTTTTTCCTACCCCGGATCTGCCAACCATAAAAATTTTATATGTAACTTCTTCAATTGAAGACGGTAGAGGTGGTCTTTCAAGAATACCTGTAATGTTTTACAAAATATGAAGTTAATAATAAGTATACATAACGATCCAACAATAGCCAAATAAAATTTATACTCATACGATTTTCTGTTTACCATAAAATCTTCTTTTTTTCGATGTATTTACATAAAAATGATGCACCAACGATTCTCCCTCAACCGAATGTAACCAATTCACGTTTATTGCGTTCATGATCAATTGCAAGAAAATCGGATGATACGAAAATTCAAAAAATCATCAACAAACATTGGCGCTGACAAAACAAACGTTTCGTTCTATGTATAAAGTTAAAAATTTTGTACTTTACAGAATCAATGTTCACTGCTCAGTCCGTATATCAATTAATGATATTTATTTACGAAAACTTCGATTCAAAGGATTTAACATCAGAAAAAATTGGAACAGCGAAGATTATGCTTTTTGGTATTGCAACCTTTGCAGAATAACCTAACAAAAACTCGTAAAACCATTGCGTTTCCTCCGTCCATTCCAACTCCAATAATTGGACGTTTCCAACAAGTCCGACAAGTTGCTTATCCTATACACAATTGTATGCAATCGGCGGTTTCTACGAATTTCGTGTATATATGAAGCTCTTGACGAATCGGATCAAGTCCCGCCTTAAGAGGACCAATAAGAATTCTTATAGTACGCCAATGCAAATGGGACAAATAATTCCATTAGTAGTGAAGTTGGCGTTAGTTCAAATAAATGCCACATTGACCAATAAAATCCATTTACAACACGTAACGCGTTGTTTGCAGTTGTATCGCCATATTGTATATTTAACGCGGGTCACTGGCGCGTGTATGGGCTTTCCGTAAGATTTTCTGCTGAATAAAAGTGCGTGAATTGAGAGATATCGTAAAATATCACGCACAATGGATCCAGAAAAGTTGAAAGTGGTCGATTTACGGACAGAACTCTCACAGCGTGGACTCGATACGAAAGGCGTCAAGTCAGTGCTCGTTGAGAGACTTCGTAAGGCAATAGAGGAAGAAAATGCAAGTCGTAAGTTATATCTTCTTTTATCAGTAGCTTTTCATTCTATCGAGTACTTCTAGTCGCATTACTCTTTATCCAGCAACGAATACATCTGTTTATTCCAATGTTGACAAACATTCGAGTCAGGTGATACTGACTCATTTGACGAATTTCCTACTGATTTGTACATTAAATTATATTAGAACGATACAAAATAGTGTACCTATCATTATTAAAAGTAATTGATTACTGTAAAGAATTCGTTTCTTGTATTTTTAATACCATCTAGGCACAAACTATATATTCTTCTCTTCTGTTTACGTACGAATTATGCGCGCGACGCTACTTCAAAAGTTTCGTGGTATTTATTTGAGAATCAATAAATTTAGATTCATTTTAATTAACTTCATCATTTTTTTCTATAAATTTCTAATTATTTTTCTAGAATCTGTTTTTTTAATTATATAGTTCGTGTATGCGAATATATACGCACACCACACCATACATCAACATATATATATATATATATATATATATATACACATACTGTTTTATCTAAATTAATAAAACATAAATGGTTTTGTATATTGCAGAGGAAGATGCAAATGCAAATGCAGAAAATATACACGATGCAAGAGAAAATGATGAAAAATCAACAGATTCTGCGAAAGTTCCACAGACACCAAAAAAGTCTTCTAGATTGGCTAAAAGCACCTCAGCGGTAGCACCGCGCGAAGCTCCTGCAGTAAAGAAACGAAGAACTTCTAGAGTCACTTACTCTAGGAAACGGACATCTCCAAAAAAAACTGATCAAAATGATATGTCACGTGAACCATCACCTACTATATCGGAATCTGCTTTGCAAGAGGAATCCACTATACCGGAAGAAACTATGGAGCAAGAAGAAAAAGCTGATTTATTGGAAAAAAACAATGAAACGGATGCTAAAAAATCTTTATCAGATATAGGAAATGAGGGTTTGAATTCAACAAAAGTTACAAAAACAGATGATGAATCGAAGAACATCAATCCTACAAAAAATAGCGAACGTGAGACAAATGTTTCCCAAGCGTCTATTGTAAAATCACCTATGAAAAGTAGCGAAACTATCAAGTTGCCTTTGAAAAAGTCAGACGAAATAAAAGATATTTGTCAAGTATCTATTACAAAGTTACCTGCGAAGTGTAGCAAAATTGTTAAGTCGTCTTTGGAAAAGCCAGAAGAAAAGAAAGACAGCGTGCAAGCATCTGTTACAAAGTCACCTGTTAAATGTAGCGAAATTGTTAAGTCGCCTTTGAAAAAATCGGAAGAGAAGAAAGATGATTTGCAAGCATCTGTCACTGTGAAGTCACCTGTGAAGAGTAGCGAAATTGTTAAGTCACCTTTAAAAAAGTCAGAAGAGAAGAAAGATGATTTGCAAGCATCTGTCGCTAAGTCACCTGTAAAGAGTAATGAAATTGTTAAGTCACCTTTAAAAAAGTCAGAAGAAAAGAAAGATGTCTTGCAAGCATCCGTAACAAAATCACCTGCAAAGAGTAGCGAAATTATTACTTCACCTTTGAAAACTGTAGAAGAAAAAATAGAGAAAACAGATAATACGGATCAAAAGCAACAACCAGTAACACAGATGACATTAAAGGAAGAAACGTCGAAAAGTACGGAAGTTGCAAAAGAAACCATAAAAATTGAATCTAATGAGTTTCAGAATGATACACCAAAAGCAACTAATGACAAACATGATGGAATAGATGGTATGAATAAAGAGGTCGTTAAAAACGAGAAGAAGAATGAAGAACTAGCAGACGATGTTCAAGTTATAGAACCTGTTAATGATGTTAAAACTACTAACATTCCTGAATCAGAGTTACTAATTGATGATTCATACAAGGAAGATAAAAATGTATATGAGAATGAAAATCTCCAATCAAACCTTGAAGATCAGTTCATGGAGGATGAAGAAGTTGAATCTAGCAACAAACCAGAAATGGAAGATAATATTGACAACAAAGAAGATGATCAGGTACGTTTCAGGTTTCAGCAGTTCATTCTTACCTTTATTATATATGGTTTTAATTACTTTTAATTTGGGCCTATAAAATAACTAAAGTTTTTATTGTTAATTTTACTTGCATATTTTTGTAATACTTTTATAATTCAATTTTTTGAATTATGAGAGAAAGATTAATAATGAAAGTATAGAAAAATTACAAGCAACGTGTATCCCACTTATGGAGTAGCGTTAAAAAAGCGCGGGATCCCTAAGAACCTCGCTTTGAGATAAAATGCTTATTACGAACAAATCGCGTATCATAAATTTGACCGTGTATGTGTGTGATCATTTTTAAATATTACTCGAAGGTACATCTGATTCCACCCTGAATTACATCTAATATAACAATTCTTGTGCTGTGATATTTTACAGTGTGTGTTTGAGATTGCGGACGTTTACCAAATTAAATTGCATTTTCTACATTTTATTGTATAAAAATGTTACTGTATCTACAGGAATTCTTACGTTTAATTATTGACCTATTTTCATTTATGTGAAAAGGATATAGAAATGATAGAAATTAAACACGAAGAAGATACAGATGTAGATATGAAAGAAGGAACTAAGAATGATGTAGTTAAGGATAGAAAGCGGAAAAGGTCGCCCAGTCCTCTAGGAGATCGTCATGAACCGCCAGCGATGCTCGTCGAGAATGAACCGGAAATTGACGATTCTGCCTTAATTTTATCTTGGTGTATGTTGGTATATAAACGAAAATAATTAGACCGTGTTCTATTCATATAGTTAAGTTGTAGAAAGGAAAAGTTATCGTTATTTAAATTTTAAATATCGTTTTAGACGATTCGGATTTAAATTTAGTTATCGACGAGGATGGATTTTTTACTGCTACCCCTATGCACAATGATGGATTTTCGCATATGTGGGCTGGCGCAAGAGCCTCGTACGGTTTTCTCTATGGAAAAGTTTATTACGAGGCAAAAATCGTGGATCTCTGTGCTATCGATGCAGAGAATGAAGACCATCCGCATATACTAAGAATCGGTTGGTCTACTTTGTACACGTCGATGCAACTTGGAGAAGAAAAGTTCAGTTTTGGATACAGTAGTACTGGGAAAAAATTAACAGACAATCAGTTCGAAGATTATGGGCTTCAGTTCGGCAAAGACGACGTTATCGGATGTTACTTCGATGCAACATCCGAAAGTAACATCATATTATCTTACACTGTAAATGGAAAAGATCAAGGCACGGCGTTCAATATCTCCAAAGAAGAGCTTGGCGACAAGCCATTATTTCCCCACATTTTAAGCAAGAATTGCAGCTTCGCCTGCAACTTTGGCCAAGAAAAGCCATGGGTAGAAGAGGTTTTACAAGACTACGTTTCAATCGGGAATGTGGACTCACAGTATAAGATCCCTGGTCCGCGGAGACCAGGCAAGAAAGAAGAATGCGAAGTAATAATGATGTGTGGGTTACCCGGTTGTGGGAAAACTACCTGGGCAATGAAACATGCCACCGAGCACTCCCAGAAAATGTTCAATATATTAGGACTTAATACTCTAATCGACAAAATAAAAGTACGTCTTACAAACAAATGTAATAGATGATTTAATTTTTTATCGTGTTTTATATAAGATATTTTTAATAAATTTTAATTAAGGACCCAAGCTCTTCTCAAAAAGCGGACAATAACGATCAATGGGAAACACTTATTAACAAATGTACACGCGCATTGGATACATTACTGGAAATGGCTCCAACTAGAAGGCGTAATTATATTCTAGATCAGGTATGTAATTTTTTTTGTAAGAAGCTAACTCGTACGACAGGTCGATAGAAGAGTCAAATTTCTATCCTGTTTGATCATTCGACTTTAGTAAGTGCCTAAAAGGATGTCATCGCGAGCACTGTTTTCCTTAAGCATTCGCAGCAGAAGATAAATTTCTTTTATCTTTCTATCTCTTTTCATCCTTTTGTTTTGTTATCACGACCGTAAAAATGAAAGTGTACTGTTTTACTACGATATAATTATCAATAATACAGTTCTATTAACGACATAACGCACATCAATGTATCGAGTTTAGAATAAGTCATTCAGATAAGAGATGTTCCAAGTACATATACTGAATCATACAGAATATCGAGAAATTCTTCGAACTAATGGAATTACACAAAGAAAACAATATATTTATAAAGAAACAAAAAAAAAAAAAATTTCCATATTATTTGTGCGCGTTGATAAAGTTAGAATATTGCTGGATATCAATACGACTAACAAAATATGAAATATACGTATATTTTTCGTAACATAAAAAGATATATAAACATACATACATAAATAAAAATATAAAATAATTATAAATCTAACGATCTTTGGATTTTTTATGGAACCGAATACAGACAAATGTATATCCTTCTGCACAAAGACGTAAAATGAAGAATTTTAGTGGATATCAGCGAAAAGCCGTAGTGCTTGTACCATCTGAAGAAGAATTTAAATCGCGTATTGCTAAACATAAGTTGGTCGAAGGCAAGGAACCTAGCGATTCTGCACTTCTGGAAATGAAAGGTTGGTTTTGGTAGTATTGGAGTGTATGTCGAAGAAAAAATATTAGTCGTACTAATACAAAGAAGACTAAATATATTATCTTTAGAAGAGAAATATGAACCACGCACGACTGGATGTTTTTTTTAGCAAATTTCAGAGCTCCAGTCAGTGGTGAATTCTTCGATGTCATCGATTGGGTTGAACTCGACCAAGAAGAGGGCAAGAAAGTTATAGGAAAATACAATAAAGAGGGAAGAGACGCTGGATACGGTCAGCAACAAAGTAAACGACCGCGACTCGAATCAAGACCAGAAAGCACCCGAGAAAATCGAAATGAGGTTCGAAGTAATCGTGATAACAGAGAGAGTCGAGATTATCGTGACAGACGAGGCAATAATTGTAAGAATCGTAACGTATATGAAATGTAATAGAAGCGGTGATTGTAAGTAACAAGAAAATAACTATCTGCAAAACTGAATTCATAGATTCTGAGAGAAATCGTAATCCTGCCTGGCGTGGTGGTAACATGGGTTGGCGAGATAGGCCTCAAAGGGGTGGACATAACAGACACGGCATTGGTTACGGTCCTCCGGCAACATGGAGAGGAAGAGGAGCGCCTATTCCACTTGTACACCGTGGAATGGACAGAAGAGGTGGTAATGTGGATAGAAGAATAGGAAACGATAGAGGCCGAGCAACGGTTTCTCGTCAAGGTGGCTGGGCTCCGATGGGGTAATGATTACATTGTTTATTTTTATTGATTTTCGGTTTTTTACTTTATTTGTTCTTGTAGTCGAGAAATGAGCAATTTAATATACATTATTCTATGAATTCGCACGATGATGATGTATATATAATAATTTATCTATTTCCTTTAAGAAATTATCAAGGGTCGCAACAATCCGCTTGGAATCAGCAAAGCAACTGGTCAAGTGGTCAGTCTCAGGGAGGGTGGGGTCAACAGAATAATTGGGGAGGATCACAACAACAATGGGGAACCTGGAAGAGCTATGGTCAAGGCTCGTACAGTCAACAGGGTTATGGTAATGGAAATTGGAATAGTTGGAATCAGCAGTATTGCAATCAGTATTGGGGCCAGCAACAACAACAACAGCAACAGCAGCAACAACAGGGTGGGCAAACTACCACCAGTGGTCAGGCTGTAAACAAACAATAATCTACCATGATATATATGTTAAAATGGTGGAGCGGACAGTAAGGTATTATGAATGGTTTATAAATTTGTTTTGATTTAAACGTGTAGTATTAAATAATTTTATCTGGGATAGCCTTTGTCGTAACTTATAAAAATATGGAACGAGAGTGGGGAGGGGGAGCTAATTTTGATACAAGAAAGTACTCACACAAAAAACTTCAATTTCAATTTTTCATTTATAAAAGAAATCGAATCGCGCATTGTCGTAAATTGATTTAAATAACGGTACACGTTTTCTCGTTCGTTGAGGCTATTATTCTTATCATAATCGTAGTTAGCGTTCTATTAAATATAACCATTGTTCCCGTACGTAAAGTTGGTTCTACATATTCGGCATTTGCCGAACAACGAGTACACGAGTACGAATAGACACACACCTACCTATTCGTCGAATCTGTTTGGAGAATTTAGTTGCGGAAATGGCGACCATTCGTTCATACTATTACATACAATAGACTCCCGCTTAACCGGCCTCTATGGGACTGGGCATCTGTTCGGATAAACGAATGACCAATTAATCCGAAATTACCAATATATTATCATTAATCAGTTGTTTATACTTACTGATGATAAACAGTGTAGAGAGTAATTCTACAGGCTAAATAAAATTAATGGGAGACAACTGTTTAAACAATAACTAATGCGATAAGAAGTACATTTAGTCGGACGAAAGTGAATGGTCACAGAATGCGTCAGTAATGTTTATTCCAATCGATTGTTTTCATTTAACAAAAATGTGATCAGTTAAAATGGAGACCAGTTGAAACAAGACCGGATAGCCGGAAGTTTACTGTAATTGCTGAATGCCGAATAATATGGAGGCTTAAGCCTGTATCTTTACTTTTTGCAGGCAGATACGACAAGCGTAACAACTGCTTTATCTGACGATTCCATTGGATATAGTCACCCGCAAGAGCGACGAGAGTATATAGTAAACTATACTCCTGGTCAGCGTGTTGTCAATACCGGATATCGGTTTTGATTACACACAAATAGATGGACAAATGTTTCCACGACAATATATTCACGATTTTTGTTCGTATATTTTTTAATGTACGAATCTCAAAATTATTGTGGTTTTGTAACTCGAGCAACAATCTAGATTTTGTCACATGAAGGCACCGTTACACATGCACCATGAAACAAAATATTTTGCATTGAGAAATGCAATACGAAGTGAATTATAGTGTTATACATTATGAATTAAGATTGATGATCGCGAAAGAAGCATGTAACAACAGGAACGTATTCGTATTATGTACGTAGTTTTTAAAACGAGTAAAAGGGGGTAACGTATAATAAACGTTTTGTTACGGCTTTTAATTGAAAGATCGATCAAGAGGAAGAGTATCACGTATGGGTACACTACGCAATTAGCTCTAAGATTGAAATATTTGCAATGTTTTATCGCTCTCGGAAAAGGATCGTGTAAATATGTACAGATTTTCAAACGTATTACACGATACGTTTATTGGAAATCTATTTATATATTAAGTGAAGTACCATGTAATAAAAAAAAAAAGAAAATGAAGAAAAAACAGATTAACATTCTCAACACACGAGAGTAATATTGTATATGATTTTGTCTTATCTTTCTATACAAATGAAATGATGTACAAAAGAGAATATCGTATCACGAATAAATTATTACTGGATTTGATTCATATGTATCCGCGTTTTATTAAGCGAACAAATTCATTGAGATTACCAGAACATGTTTATTTTCGAATCGAATCATATTTTGTAATTATGCTCTGCGATTAAGAGATGCGATTGTTACCCAACGTTCTTCCTCCTACTCCAACTCTTCCTCCTCCGCTATCATCGCCACCGTCATCATCATCGATATAATTATGTTCATAAACATAATTCCCTCTATTCCTTGTTTTGTTCCATTTTTATCGGTCTTGGTTACCCGTTGCAATAAGCTTAACAAGCAAAGCATAGTACCCGTTTTTATTTTATGCTTCGTTTTTTTCGGTTGTAACGAAAAGTTTTTTTTTTATAGTTACAGGATGATTGTCTTTTTACCTCCTTTCTCTGAAATATTTTGTACAGTTTGTGAGACTTCGAATTAAGGTACTTCTTAAGCACTGAACGATATAAAAGATGTAAGTCGAATAAGATTTAATACACGTACAAAGATAATCTGTGTACTCACGCGTTACCACGATTCGAAGTCGACAATGATCAAATTATACTAGATTGCGTTACATCGCGAGTCCATGACCAAGATTTGTCTTTTCTGGATCGAATAAGAATTTCGCAAAATTAGTCCGTAATCGGAGAATTTACTTGTTGACAAAAGTGTACAAACTTAATCGTAAAAATAAAAAATATCTTCTATTTATTTGGAGTTTAAATTATGTACAACCCAGATTCGATCAGCGCTATTACCTGCTAGAAATATCCTGTAACAGTAATTCAGTCTTCATGCACACTTAAGGTTATCATCAACGACCACGATAACATTGTTTATCAACGAATAAGAGTTCAAATTAATTCAAAGTGATTTATACGTACGCGTTACAATTCATCCGATGACATTTGTAACGCATTCTTGCAATTGCACGGATATTTCATCGAACGGATTTCTTTTCCACTCAGGTACTATCGCTGTAAACAGTACATAAGCTCTTATAAATTTTTTCTTGCCGATTTCATTAGACAAATTTATACCGCATCGATCAAACCACTGTTTTTTTTAAGTTTTGAAAAAATACTAAATTTCTATGATTCGTTCGAAAAAGTTGGTATTTTTTTATTCGAGAAAATTATTAAAAATTTAGAGAAACTCGTCTTTCTATAAAACGAAAGAATTAACTGTTAAATGCATTATAAACGATCCATAGACTTTCACTGAAAGACCACTTGGAATTTGTTAGTCTTTACGCAGGTATAAAGATATGTGAATAATCCTGTTTCTCATCTAATAAAAATCAATACGCTTCTGTGTTACATCGAAAAATTAAAACGCATTATAGTACCATTTTCATTCGACAAACATACCTCGGATACTGTGCAGAACGTAGAAACAAATGATATAAATAAGATTTATGCATATTAAATAGCTTTCAATAATATGTATTTACTAACTGCATAATGTAATAATAAATACGAAATCCTGCGTATATTAGTTGTCGTAGCAACAGTTAGCTATATTCGATCGCGATCATTAATAAATTAAATTTGTTAGTAAATATTTATCTATAAATTTAAAAACCTATATATTACACTTAATTCAAATAACACTGGGCTTATGAAAAATATATAATGGTACTTTTGTGCAATAAAGCCTCGCATGTACTCGATTTCGTTTCTTCTTCGGTCTCGTCGGTTCCATTGCTCTTTCACACGCGGCTGATTTATACACTCGCGTATGCCGTTGACACTTTCCTAGATCCAAAGTAGCATATAATTTGTACACTTAAGTGTATTCACTATGAAATAAATTTACAAATACTTTTATACAATTTCGCGATTCTAATTATATTAAAATTCTACTAGAAGTAATAGCTCTCGTTAGATCCAATTTGACAAACGTGGCTTCAAGTACGAAATTTGATTCTTAAAACAAATCGATCCGTTTTACGAAAACAAATTACCTCTATTCGATCAAAATACTTACAAACTTTTCTTTTACATCGCACGATTGTTGAAATACTCTAGAATGAATCAAAGATTACCTTTCCGTCGATGTGATTCTGTTTGGTTTACCGTTTGATTTTAAATGTTTTACCGCGAAGGAAAAGGTAATCTGAGATAGAAAAGCAATGCTAAGAGACTATAAAAAATTTCGATTGAAAATTCAGCCTGGAATTTTCTGGATTTCGTGCGTGTAAAAACAACATATAAAAAGATCTCGATCGATACAATGTCCTTCGGGAAAGGTAGCGTTCGTGTTCATAATTAAATAATACGAATGGACGGGTCGTATTACTAGTGTAAAAAGAAGGAAACGCGTAGCTCGTGGTTGATTTCCTTACGAAACGAATCGAATAGCATCAACTTACTAACGACGAAACGAAATAATCGATCGATCGCTTTGATTACAGATTTAACTGTGATAGGGATTAACATTGACCCGTATCATGTATATACGATAATACCGCATTATCGCTGATGTATAATCCAGTGTCACGGATTTAATCCACCTGGTCTTTTTCGATTCCGCCTATTCCTCTCTAATAAAAATGACAGATCCAGCGGATCTTTCTTATTCGGCATCTTTTGCAGTAGACCAATTAAAATGTTATTCAATCTTCGTCTTTGCTCTTCTCTCTGCAAACGACAGTCAATGTGTATTACATAAAGCGAATATCTATATATATGTATACATATAAAGGGTGTTCGGCCATCCCTGGGAAAAAATTCTAATGGGGAAATTCTAAAGGCCAAAATAAGATGAAAATCAAGAATACCAATTTGTTGATGGAGGCTTTGTTAAAAAGTTATTAACGTTTAAAGTTCCGCCAAAAATAATTTTTCCAAAACAATTTGAAATTTTTTTCCCGTCGAAAAATTTCACACATACTCGAATTTTTTTCTAGAAAGTGGGTAGGATTTTGGGGGTATGTCTATTCGCCAAAAATGATTGTAATTGAACCCCGCAACCGAAAATAATTTTTCCAAAACGATTTGAAATTTTTTTCCCGTCGAAAAATTTCACACATACTCGAATTTTTTTCTAGAAAGTGGGTAGGATTTTGGGGGTATGTCTATTCGCCAAAAATGATTGTAATTGAACCCCGCAACCGAAAATAATTTTTCCAAAACGATTTGAAATTCTTTTTCCGTCGAAAAATTTCACACATACTCGAATTTTTTTCTAGAAAGTGGGTAGGATTTTGGGGGTATGTCTATTCGCCAAAAATGATTGTAATTGAACCCCGCAACCGAAAATAATTTTTCCAGAACGATTTGAAATTTTTTTTTCGTCGAAAAAGGCACTTAATTAGATTTTTGGTAAGGAATTTTTTTCTCAAAAGTGCGTAGGATCTCGGAGGCATGTGTAATACCCAAAAATGATTGTAATTGACCCCCGCAACCGAAAATAATTTTTCTAGAATAATTTGAAATTTTTGAATTTAATTGTTAATAACTTTTTAACGAAGCCTTCATCAACAAATTGGTATTCTTGATTTTCGTCTTATTTTGGCCTCTAGAATCCCCCATTAAAATTTTTCCCTAGGCCGGCCGAACACTGTATATACACATATATAATATGACGATGAAAAAGTATTGATCGATAAAGATAACAATTACCTGGGCATATGACGTCGCAGACGTAGCAATAGACAAAATTTCATTTGATCGTCGTCTACCCTTACTCGTGGAAGATTTTTGTTGATCTTTACTGTGTGTTTTTGCATTATCGCTAGTTTCGGTTTTCTGATTAGAGTCAAGATCTTGATTATTCGTTTTTTTCTTCTCTTTGTTTATTTTACCGCCTACTTGTATTCCTTCGAGACTATGAGGCTGTAACATTTTACACAGTTTCCCCCTATATTCTTTGTATTCGTTCTTGTTGATTAATCGATATCGAAATAACGCTACTCACCAAATACGTTCGATAGTGCTTAATGCGTTGCGGAAACGTCTCAAACGCGTAAGGTTTCGTGCACACTTGATGCCTAGCTCTGGCAACCTTTGTAAAAAGCCGAGCAGCGCGATCAACGCGATACTCGCATACGTAAGTATGCTCTGCCGACGAACCCACCGGCCGTCCTTTGTTTCAGAAAAAAACAAAAAACGGGAGAACATTATTGAAGAGAATGTTGCATGAAAGAGAATGTGTCGATAATTAAATAAATAACACTAATTACCTTTACAATACGTATGAGGATCGAGAACCCAACAACGTTCGGCAACCAAATCGCATGGAACTGCTTCGTAGAGCGGAGCACACACAACTTCGTTTTCGTAAAACTTTCGGGTGGGTTCGTGATACGTCTCATGAGGTCTCAAATAATGATGGCCGAATACAAATCTTTCTCCTCTGTCGCGTAAATAGAAATTGAATGTTAGTGCCGGGCATAGAATGTCGGAAGAAACTGTTAGCGATAGAAACCAATATGAAACTTACTCAACATTCTTCCAGAGTCTTTCGATTCTAAAGATGTCCATCTGTTCATAATCAGGCTTTTGAATGGTTTTGTAGGTATGTTTCTCCGGAGTATCCCTTAACACATATACCGTGTCTCCCTGCCTGAGTTGCAAATCACCGCGCATCAAAGTAACATAGTGTTTCTTTCCTTCTTCCTCCTCGTCACCCTCCAATGGTATTTCCAAATCAACAGGACGCGGCTGGCATCTTTCGCACAAATAAGACTCTAGGCTCGTGTCAGCTTTAACGCAGTCGCAATGCTGCCAAACGAGGCAGCGTTCGCATTGAATCATCAAGCCCTCATCTCTGTTTAAGAAGTAACATTTTTAATGCCATCTCTCGATATTTAGATAAACGCGGAGATCGAAGCATAACTTCTATTCACCTGTGCAAGCCACAAATACACCTAATAACGTCTTCCTCCCCTGCAGTCGAACCTCGAGGAGGTAAAAATCCTTGAGAAGGCGGACAACCTGTTGCATCCGTTATCGCGTCGACAAAGTCAGGTTTACTTCCTAGATACAGTTTTCTCAGTCTAGCCGCGGCAATGCCCATTTCCGAAGTTCTTCCAAAGAATCGAACATTGTTGTCAAAAAGTCTAATCATATCGTGATCAAAATGCTCGGCGGTTTTATAGTGACCTGTCCCGATGCACTGGTCGATCATGCTCAAGTCTATCGGGTCCGATATCTTTTCATAGTAGTCTGACAATTTTCTTTTCGAGGGCAACGTTACAAACGGCGAGCACAGCAACTGCCCATTTTCGTCGTTTGCCGTTGTTACAATACTGTACAAATCTTTCAATACCTGAAAATTATTAAAAAATCCCGTTAACTTATCGATTATTTGGCAATTACTTGGGCAAGATAATGAACAACAAATTCGCGATTTTATTCTGTTCACCTTGGCCAGTTTCGCAGTTTTATGCATTTCCGGGTCGTCTTGAGCTTGCGCCAACCTTCGTGTTCGTACAGTACGCGTATTCGTGTTGGTCAAAGCACTCAATTGCGAGAAAAACGCGTTAGATTGTATCTTAGCGTCGCCAGAACTTTTCTCTTTCACAACACTCGCGTTACCGAATTTTGTTTTACCGTTCTGCATTTGCACTTGGTTCACTAACGATTTTACCCGTTTCACCTTTTCCAGGTTTCTCAACAAGAAGCAGTGATGTTGTTGAGCGAAGCATCGTTGTTGATGAGACATTGGCTTCAGTACAGGCGCATGAAACAAGTTAGAATCGCCCACCTTCCTGGATTTGCAAATTCCTTTAGAGTTAACGGACTGCACTGTGTTGGATTTTCGCATGTTCTTTCTTGGTCTTCCAACTGATCGTCGCTCCGTTGGTTCCATCTGAGACGGAAGAGCGGCGATAGTCTTTGTAACCCTTTGACTCTTTCCTCCTGTGGACGCGAGAAACAGGTACAAAAATAGAGAACTGTATTCGACAAAGAGAAGAGCTCGAGATGAATCTTTTACTATCTTGTTACCTATCACGCCTCTGCAAGCGCTACTACCGCATCTACATTCCTGCCCTTCGGATGGATTAAACAAAGCAAAGTTATAATCGTAGGTTAACTCTTCTTCTGGCTTGATGTCTCTCGAGGCGAATAAAGCCATGCGCGGAAGTCCGTGGACGCTCCATTTCTGCATTTCACAATTCGGTTCGCAAGAATGATTCACGAATCGACCATCGCCCCCCATACGATGTCCATCGATGACCAAACCCCCGTCCAGATGCAAGCAATAGTGATGCGTATCGTTGGCGTACCTAATATACGACGAAACAAGATAAAATTAAATCTTTTATATTATCAATATGACCTATGTCGCTCGTACTTGTCGATATACCTGGTTGCCATTCTCGATTTGAACTCTCTTTCAGACACGACTTCCCCTACATACTCGAGGATGAATACACCAGACTTAATCGACTGCTGAGTTCTCACTCCCCAACCTTTATTCTTCGTCATAAATTTCTGCAAACCAGGTGCCCACTCGTGTTTTTGAATCTTTTGATTCTCACACTTCTCGCCACAAGGGCAAAGTTGTGGCGAGCATTCGCTGAAAACCATACGATTGATGCAATCATCGCCGCATCCACTTTCCGGTTTGCATTCGCACGCTTGCGCCTCGTACAGTGTAGTCGGCTTGACATCGTAATAAACGTTTGTGCGAATTTTTCTGCAAAAGAAAACGGTTTACTCCCGATCTTGTAAAGGGCCGACAATCTGGACAATATTTATATTGGATCATACTAAAAGTTTTCACGGTCTTCGCTACATCTGTCTTTAATTAACTGGTTGCTATCCCCATCAATTCTTGGAAGTATTAAGATGTATGTTTATAAATCACGTTAATAATTTGGTGACTATCTTTGGGACTAATTCACCACAATTTTTTAGGATCATGTACCAGTATTACAGCAGAATCATATAGTCACAAATCAAGATGGTCTCCACCAAAAATTGAAAGTGCAGCAACCATCCCTGATAAGAACAGGTCGTTTCGCATAGTAAGTAGAACATCCCTTATATTTCTCTGATTGATCTCCTACCAGTTTCCACTGTTTGCGTTCACTTAACAGTTTCTTTCCTATATAGCTTTTGTGAAACGTTAGGAAAAGTGTATAGAAACTGCTGGAAATCATTTTTAATGCAAATATTGAACTCGAATGGAATTATGTTTGTTTAAAATGGGTAGTTGGAAACCGCAGAAACATTCATGATGACCCAATAATAAACTCCGGATGATTTCTCACTTGTAATTCCACGACGGTACCGATTCTCTGCTAGGTAGTCTGGACTGCGTATGTAGCCACCATAAATCGTAGGGCAATTGAAACGGCATTTTTCTTTGACGAAGAAGTTTGCCGCATTGATACGAGGCGGTCAACAGCGCCGCGGACGTAGAATCGTTTGTTTCACAGACAATTTTACTCTTTCCGGATGTAGTGCCGCTATCGACGCTGCTGCCGCTTCCACTCCCACCGCTTCGCGTTTTCGATTCGCAATTTTTCCCGCAATCGTGTAGGATACCACCCTGTAGGTAACGCTTTTTCCATCTAGACTGTTTTTTCCTGGCATGCGTGGAGCTCAAATGTTTTCCAATCTCGTGATCACCTTGGATAACATTGCTGCTGGACACACTGTCATTTTCTGTGTCGTATCCCGCGCTACGTAAACGCTTCACGTTCCTCGAAGTGAAGTTACAAGGACTCGAGGAGCCGCGTCGTTTTTTCTGATTCCCATTGAAAGATCCAGAATGTTCCGTCTTTATGTTCGTTTGGGGACTTGCACGTTCCAGATTCTTCGCGTTCTCCTCGTTTAGCTCAGCGACGCGTTGTTGCTGGCACAAATTGTATCTTTCTAGAGATTCCTCCAGAGGCGCGTCTTCGTCGTACGTTCTTAAATCCTGGATCTTTTCAAACTTGACCGGGCACAATTTGTTCGGCGCGTTGTTACTCTCCGATTCGACGAGATCCTTTCGAACTCTTAATTGACCGGATCGAGATTCCACGACTTCCTCCGAACGACCACGACTAGACGATCCTTCCTGTTTCGACGAATTCAAATCCTCCGTGTCGGCGGCCTTCGACGTAACTTTACTCTGCGTTGCGTTGCTGTTATTGTTATCGTTTTCAACGGCGAGTTCGCTCGATGGGAACGAGTGTTGTATCTCGCCACTCAACACGGTCGTTTTGCTGTCCATCACCGAATCCTCGGACCCTTCTTTCGGCGAATTTCGAGCTTCGTCAGCATCGTCCGCGTTGTCGTCAGCAGGTAAAGTTACTTTCGTCGACGCATCGGTCGATGTCTCGCTCGCATTTAACGATCGTTTCTTCTTCTTTTTCTTTTTCAGTGTGGGAAAACCAGTGCGGTTAATGGCCTTGCGGCGCCTCATTTTCTTCTTGGCCAAAACCATCACGGCTGTGGAGTTCGTGGGTTTTGGAAGGTTCGAATCGACGTCGTTGTCCTGCGTCGGTTTACTTTCGTTCAGAGTCTCGATTTCATCGTAACTTTCGTTTACGTGAAACTCCGCCGCGTCAACCTTTATGTTCTTTTCCAAGCGAACGTGTTCCGGCGAGACGTGCTCGCTCTTCTCAAGCTTATCCGTTTGATTTTTATCGGTTTTCATTACTTTCTCTGTAATTACCTTTTCGGTCCTGCTGCCGCTCTTGTCCGCGTGATTCTTTAAGTTCTTCGAATCGTTCGAAGACCTTTCCGATTTTTCTACTTTATCGGTTTTATCGGCCTTCTCCAACGCGATATGCCCACTCTCAGCGGGGAGCTTCGTGACCGTGACTCGAAGATCCTTGACAATTTTCTTTTTACGTCGCGGCTGTGCTTCCGTCTGACTCAATGGTTTCTCTTCCAACGATTCAGAACACGCTGCACTCGACTTGTCGATGCTCGCGTTTTCAGTATCTCTGTGTCTTTTCTTGGGGGTGACCGGTACAGCATCTTCTTGAGAAGAAGACGCGGAACTGCCGCCGTATCTTGTTATCGCGGCTTCGATAGCCTCCTCTATGTGACTCTCGGTAGAGTTGGTCTCGTTAGTGGTCACGTCGGTGCAACTTGCATTCGAGCTCTGCGAGCTATGAGGGCTGGATACGTGATAATGCCTTTTCTTTAGCGGCAACCGTTGCTCGTTCGGATTCGAATTTGCGTTCGCGTTCGTGCTGCTTCTCGAGTCAGTTCCTGAGAGTATTTTCTCTTTCTTCGAACGCCTCTTCAACTTTTGATCTTCGGTCGCTGTAACATCACCTTTTCTTTTCTTGGTCAGTTTCTTCACGCGAAAAATTTGTGGCAATTCGGAATATCCGACGTTCGCGTTGTTCCGTCCTAGGCTGCACGATCTAGCAAACTCTTCGATCAATTTTTCCAATTCTTCGATGATACATGGATCGATGCGTATCGGATTTTTAGGCGGCAATAACAACCGTCGTCGATGCTTATGGTGATGGTGTTTGTGACAATGATTGTGTATAGGTTGCGTCGCTTTGTCGCATTTGTTGCTTATGTTTTCAACGTTTTCCGCTTTTAGTACTTCGCCGACCGGTAAAGAGATCAGAGTTTGTACGCCAACACCATTCGTCTCGAAATTGGTCGTGGTCTTCTTGCTGTTCTTGTTTTCCTTCAACACGCGTCGCGTAACCGGTGCGGCGTTCTTTTTCAGCGAAGTCTGCCTTTTGGTCAAGGGGCCGGAACTACTTCTGTTCTCTTTTAAGCTTCTTTTATTCGAATTGAGTGGCTTTCTATCGCTCGCCATTCGTTCGCAATACAATTGCTTCTGCCGTCGTAACGAAGTTGTTGTTTTACTTCCTACTCCCGGTTTGTCTCTCTTTATTTTTTTATACGTTCTGCCGTCACACTGAATTACATCTTTTCTATATTTACTTGTAACAGTTCTACTTAGGCACTTGACACGCGTCGGAGAATTCCCGTTGTTTCTCTTCTCGCCCATTCTACCCTGCGCGAATTGTTTAGGAGCGTTGCAGCTGCGTTTCTTTTGACAGACGAGCTTGTCCTTTAACTTTTTCACCGGTTCGCTACTCTTGTCTTCCTTGCTCTCCCGCGACGCGACTGTTTTATGCTGCACCGATTTCGCTTTCCCCCTCTTGTTCGGTTCCTCCTTCGAGACTTTTTGCTGTTGCTGAGACGTAGCCTCCTTTTTTTCCTTCCTTTCGTTCTTCTCCGCTTTCTCCGTCTTTTCTACTTTCTCGATCTTTTCGATTTTTTCTGCGATTTCCGGCTTAAGTCTTGGCCTGCCTGGACCGCGAGGTTGCGTCGACACAGTTTTCGCGGGTCTACCAGGTTTTCGTTTCGGCGGATATAGAACTCGGTCTACGTTTACTGCTGGCTTGGGGACTACTGTTTGTATCGGGGATTGCGTTGGAGCCGGCGGACTTGCCGGACTAATTGCCAAATGTAACGGACTATTATCTACCGATTGAATTCCTGAGTCCGGCGACACGTTTGACACGCAAGGATATTCTGAATCGTTCGCTTTTTTCCCCGCTTTGCTTCGTCTTTTTCGTGGTTCCGACAGCAGAGCCGTTTTCTCGACAAACTGTTGTAGCAAAGTGGAACTATATACAGGTACGGGATTCTGATCACCGGTCTCGCTTGTATCCGAATCAGCTCCTAGCGACATTCGTTCAATAGCTTTTGATACTAAACGACCGCTTTCCGAGTCTTCGAATCCGTCGAACGGAGCATCCTCGTGCTCCTGATCAGGTAAAATAGCTGCTAAATCTTCTTGATTGATTTCCTGCAGCGGTGGATGTTGTTGTTGTTGTTGTTGTTCCTGCTGCTGCTGCTGTTGCTGTGGTTGTTGTTGTTGTTGCTGAGACTGTTGCGTTTGTTGGTGTTGCTGTTGCGAATGATGCGAAGCTAGGCGACTCTCTGATGAATCTGAATCATCGCTGCTGCATTCGGATGACTAAACAGGATAGAGATGATTTAGTTACCGACGAAGTGTATATTTATATTTAAATGAAACGCAGTCATTCAAATTTATACGATTTGATGTCTCGCGCTTACAAGTAACCACATAATTTACCTTTGTTTCGCAATTCGTTTTACTTTTTTTCGATGCATTTCTTCTATTCTTCTCGCATTTCGCCTTTTCTGTATCTTCTTTTTTCGGACCTTTCATAGTGATTTTTAGTTTAAGCGCTCCCTGTAATGCAATTACAAATTCTACCGATTGGTTGTTAAATTGTTGAAGTGAAACGAAATAATTTAACGAGAGTATAGTATCGTTTGTATAACATGCCGTTAAGAGTGTAATACACTTACCGATTCAAAATTTGTTTCTTGAATGGAAAACGTTTGCTCACTATGTTCGGACGTGCAATCCGAATTCGACCCTGTATCTTCTTCTTCCTCGCCGCTACTTCCGTCGTCCGAGTCTGAATTCGAATCCGAATAAGAACAACTACCTTCCGTACCACCGGAACTTTCGTCGTCAGAATCAGAATCTTCTTCGGAGTCAACTGAATCTGTTCCTAATGCACACAAGGATTTTACAAAATGCTGCATATGTTTATACAAAAAGTTATTACAAACTATCGAGTAAAACAATGTTTGTTACCATTAGGTTCTGTGGTTGGATCCCAGCTACCTCCACCTTTTATGGCATCCATATCAACAGTCGAAGGTAGTTCTCTTTCCTGTTCCCCATCATTTTCTTCCCAATTCCAATTCTGTAGTTCTAATTCCGAAGGATGGTGAATAACAGCGCTCCATCCTGAATCACCAGACATTTTTTGGCTTATCTAACATCCAATAGGATAGAATAGAATACCATTCCTTATGATTTTATTCGTTTTATAACTTCTTTTGTAACTGTACACAGCATATCTATTTTAATATGCTTAACGCTTAAATGTCTTATTTATCCGTTGAATTCCCATATTTACTCTCCAATTCTTATATACGGTTCCTTCCAGACACGATTATTCTTCCTCCATAACTATATAGCTGTAACGATAAATGTAAAATATAAATATTATTGCTCCAAAAATATATAGGATCGTTAGAAGTAACATTTTAAGACATTACCATTTATCAATGGCTAGGATAGCGAATGCAAGATGGAAATAAAGCAGTTTAGCACAAGATTGAAAGAACAGTAGAGGTTTTTCTGTTGTTAAAATTATGACACACATAACTAAATCCAATTCCATCTGTGTGATTTGGATATATTTTCTTGTATAAAGTAGCCCAATAGAGAAAAATGTAATTGAGTTTTTTTATTAAAATCGGAATCCTTGCAAATTAAAGTCATTCAACTTTAATTCCAAATCGACACTTCACGCGTTCCAAACTTGAGTTCTCAAAGCGCGGGAGAACGCTTACGTATAACCTCGCATGAGAAACGAGCATCAACTGGGAAAGCATAATCATTGAAAAAGTGTTTGTACCTTCCTCTCGGTATAAGCGTTACCCCAGGAATCGTTACTGATTGTTAGTAACGATCACAGACAACGTCATAGAAGAAATGTTGCTTCTCGATGCGCGCGTATTTCACGTATGTACGAGCGCGTCACTTTCCTGTACGCACAGCTGCAACTGCAACAGCAGCAACAGCAGAAGCAAGAGCAACAGCAACAACAACACTAACGGTAGTAGACGCGTAAACAACACGGTAAATAGTATAAGAAAAAAAAAGTATTTTATCCAAAAGCTATCGCTCTGTTTACATCGTCGATGAAGCACACAGAGATCTTTGGAGTAACACAGAATAGAAGAGAGGGAGAACGCGGCAGGGACATAGGGAACTCGAGGGACAGAGAGAAAGGGAAACAGTGAAAACGAGCGAGGGGCAATAGGGAGAAAATGAGAGGGCCTGAGGAAAGGGGGAGAAACGTTCCGGATCGCAGAAATCAGAAAAATAAAAGGCAAGCACGTTATCAACGAAGCGAGCGCCTAAAGCGGTAAAGAGTGGTGAAGCGAGGAGTAGGCAAGTACGCGTACAATGACAGACACGATACCCTGAGACCTCCTTACTCCGCATCCCACGAATAACGCAACAAAGATCTAACCGATTCCAGATCGACGATTAACCGACGAAATTCTCCAAGTTGCTTCGAAAGTACAGCTGTTTCTGTTTCTCGGTCGATGCGCCAGGTGCGTCGGCGACAGGGCCCGTGGAAACTCCCGTGTATTCGAGTATAACTCAAATTACCGCGCCATCTGATGTGGAATTCAATTGTTACGTTGGAGCAGCGGCACATACAAAATTCTACTCTACATTTTTTTGTTACTCTGCAAACGCAACAAAAAATAATATGTTACGTGATTTATATCGATCAGTGTTGATTTTCGTCGTTTCTTTTATAATAGAAACCGTTTTTTCTGTATATTCTTTCCTATTTTTAACTTTGACAATTGTAAACGCGCGTCTGCGAACACCTATGACTACTCAACGAACGAGATTAGTTACCACGTGCGTTATCTGTATCGAGTATCTACCATACTCGGGTACATTTTATTCACAAATGACGAATATAAATTTTAGATTCATTTGCATGGATGTTGATTTAAAGAATTTCTTAATGGAAACTAATTTATGCATAAATTTACGAAATAAACTTAAAAGTTAGTTTACGAACGACTCGAAAGCATGTATTCGTTATTTGCGAATACAATTAACCTAAATTTGATATTTGGCAATCGTATTCAAATTTTTCGAACGACACTCGATAGATTGATGATCAATTTTGTGAAAGAAATTTTAGATCGATAATCGTGGTTGTAATTGCGTAATAATTATCGTTGAATGATAATATTGTTGTTGGCGACTTGTGCTATAAAAACAACGTGCCAACGAATCGTGGTACAATAAAAACCACCCGTAATTTCGAGTCGTTCGATCGTCGATAGGATGAATGAAGTGCAAAAATACAGAAGGCGGTACAGAGAAAAAATGGCAGAACGTAGTAACGGTTACGATTCGAGTATACCCTCTAGGTAGACATGTGCATCAAGACGAAGGGTGGTAGGAATACGGACCCGGAGTCGGCAATATGGCTGACCAGAGGTGCATAGACAGGGTGTCGGGGTGGTGTTAGTGCTGTACGTTATTTATGTCGAACTACCGTAAATCCTGTCCGAATCTTGCGTGTTTTCATGGAATCGGTGATATACTGTGCAGAAGCAGGAATACGGCTTGCATGAAGGCATAGCATACGCTTCCAAGCCAAACAAACATGAAGTAAGTTCCACGTACACGACACAGCATCGAAAGAAAGAGAGGGTCGAGTCGAGTCCGTGGGTTTGAGTACGACTTCTTTTTGTCTTTGATCATTGTTTATGCCTCGGGCAACACGGCCACCCCACCGATAATTCAGAATTTCCTGTTGCATTCGGACTCCCGATCTTTCAGTTTTTCCTTCGATGTTCCGCATCGATGTTTTCGGCATTGAAATTTTCCAAGGGAATCTACCTACAACCAGATACGAGTCATACCGGGGGGCAGGGCTTCGGGTAACGATTTTTCATCGAATATTTCGAAACGCGTCCAGCTCCTTCATTTTCCCCCCGTTTCGTCCTTTTGCCATTCATTCGAGCGTCTCTTTCACGCGTTCGTTGTTTCGCTTTCGTTCTCGCTTCCCGATTATTCCTCGGTTCGGACCGAGCCTCGCGCGTTGCGCCTCGCGTTCCAGCGTCTTTGTGTATCGTAAACGCGATCCGTGCTTCCTTCTCTCTTTACTCGTTCCGTGTCTCTTTTGCATCGAGGCGACGCTCGCGTACACGCTTCCTTCCAAATCCTTCTGCTCCTACCTAAACTCGACTCGCGTACGCACGGTATACGCACACGAGACGAGACGGTTCGACGCGAAAATTGCACGTCACACGTTTGTTTATGTTAGACGAGATATCGGTTCTTACGCACGCGCGTATTTCACAATTTCTCCCGCGAACAAAAATTCGTTTTCCTCGACGGCCCATCGTGAAAAGTAGCTTCGCGAAAAATTGTCTCGATCATTGCTCATCGATTCTTTCTATCGGACGCGTGTTACGTTTCGTAGAAGATGCATCATCTTTCGCTATCGCTGAATACACCTTGATAATATTTTCTCGCCGATTCGTGAATCACGTTAGATGATTCATGTGATATTGGATCTCGACTGACATTCCGATTTTCTCTAAAAATGATATAAACCGTGATTGTGTCATTAAAAATTGGCTTCCAAAGGCATTTGTTTTGTTAACAAGTAAAGGCAAAAAGGAGGTTAAAGAACCAAGTTTGTAATATGAAGTCTGTGCAGAGCAACGATGCGAAACTCATATATACGTCTACCGCACTTCGTTTACTCGTATAACCCAGAGTACGGAACGCGTACTTACGTACACGAAGCGAATGGGAAGAATATCGTTGTGTTCTTCGTTTTACGACGATCGCGATTAAACTGCATCCTTCGAAGTTTCTCCGTTTCGAACGGAACCATGTATCGAAACGGTCGTTGAAAATCAGATAACGTTTGTCTTCTGATATTCCGTATCGTAATTTCGCGTAACTTGTTTGTATTACAATTTTTTTTTTTAAATGATATGGGAACACGTAGAAGACTCCCCGTTGGTGACGAGAGATATTAAAAAAAAAAATCGTGGCGAGTGTTGCGGATATTACTTTGTCCGTTATCGTAGAACCACTCGTTCGGCTCGACTCGCAGCGTGATCACGCACCGAGCAAAGGAGGAAGTAGCCAGTATCTTTTTGTATTCCGCTTCGTTCTGTTCTCGTTTCGCGAGCGATCCGTCGTGCTGTTTTAACGTGGTCCGTGCACGGTGAAAGTGACACCGAGCGTAACAAACCTTTTCCACGGAATTCATAAGTTCTTTGCTCGGATAAGCCGACCGCGTGAAAATTTCCATCAAAGTCTCGGTCCCGCGTACGAATCTTCTTATTTTTATTTTCCCGTAACGAATGATAGATTTTTATGCGATCGAAATGAGTCAAGAAACGATAAAACGATACCCTCAGCGCTATCGAACGCCGCAGCAATGCCTTCCGGAGGAATACCAATCCTGGTACTGGACAGTTTCTCGAAATGCGGTAAACTCTCGAAACGTTTACTAAATATCGTTTGTTTTTTTTCTTCTCTGTTTTCAGCGAAGTGAGCATATCGTCCGCTCGTGCATCGGTAATGGTGTACGATGACGTTAACAAGAAATGGGTACCGAGTGGCAGCTCCTCGGGACTCTCCAAAGTTCAGTTGTACCATCATCAAGTGAACAATACGTTTCGCGTGGTGGGGAGAAAGTTGCAGGATCACGAAATCGTCATCAACTGCGCGATCCTCAAGGGATTGAAATACAATCAGGCGACAGTCACGTTTCATCAATGGCGAGATAACAAGCAAGTATACGGTCTGAATTTCTCCAGTAAGGACGACGCCGACGCATTTGCCAGAGCGATGCTGCAAGCGCTCGATGTGAGTTTAAACCGAGAGAAAGAGAAACATCGGGATCATTACGTGTATATAGTTTTACGCGCGTACTTGCGCGTCTCCTCGATTCTGGATCAGCCGTCGATGAACGTCGATCCGGACACGTACTTGGTTTACTACTAATCGGTTCACGGTTTACGCAGGTGCTCAGCAATGGAAGTAACATATCGAGGAGCCTTGCTCCGGCGGTCGGCTCGACCACGCAACAGCAACCCGTTTTTCAACAACAACAACAACAACAACAACAGAGTAACGCTCAATACGACGAGGATATGGGGTACAGGTTCGTTCTCTTCGTTCCATGGATGTTCTAGAGAGACAGACAACGATTTTCCATTTATTGTTTTAACATTTTAAATTTATTTAATTCACAGAACCATGACAAGGGAAGACGTGGCGATAATTCAAGAACGTAGAATGTCCCAGCAAAGTCAAGGTATTCTATCCATTTCATGCAATGAGCTAAACGTTTCGATAGAGACCATGGAAAGCAAAATTGTCTTGTCGTGTTTTCTTTGATAGCAACCAACAGTCCAAACGCAATTTCTCCGAGTTGCCCTCTTGCGGCTCAACAACAGCAGCAACAACCACCGTCGCAACAACAGCAACAGTCGCCTCAGCAAACTGTACAACAGCCACAACAGCCGTCTGCGACACCTCAACCGCAACAACAGCAGCAACAACAGCAACAGCAACAACTTCAAGTACAGCAGCAGCAGCAGCAACAGCCGTTGCAACAACAACAATCTGGTCATCATAGAACCTCCTCAGCACCGCCAGCACCGCAGCCGCAACAACAGTCTGTGATGCAGTCGATACCACCGGTTGGTGGAATGGGAACGGGAGTAGTGCAAATGTCAAGCGGTGGTGTTCCTCCGATACCGCCTCCTCAACCCCCTATCGCCCCGGCGGCTCCGCCGTGTCCACCAGCGATGATGAATTTCAACGCACCGGTACCACCGCCACCGATGATGATGAATCAGTACGCACAGTCCCCATCGTCTCAATCGAACCTGCCCAATCAGTCTCAAGCTCAGTCGATTTATGGTAGCAATCAAGGTAATCAGTACGGTACCGCGCCAAACAGTAATCAGTACGCAACTGCGGCCGTCGTTGGGCAAAGTTCCTGTCAGTATTCCCCTGGAAATCAGAATAATTTTTACGGTAACAACGGCCAAGTCGGCAATGCATATCCGAGCGGACAGCCGGGACAAGTGAATCAGTATAGCACCAGCGGTGGTGGCGGTGGCGGTAGTGGAGGTGTCGGTGGAAACCAATACGGAAGTAGCAATTCGATCGGTCAGTACGCGAGCAGCGGAGCAGCAACGACCGGTCAGTACGGCGTCGGAGTCGGGGTCGGGGTTGGAGTCGGCGTCAACGTTGGCCAACAGAGTCAGCCCCAATACAGCGTTGTATCTCAGGCACAGGCACAGACACAGGCACAGTACGGACCCAGTCAAGTACAAACAGCACCGAGTACTACGAATCCGTACGGAACACCGTCGAATTCGGTGAATCAGTACAGTACCGGTAGTGGCGGGGTTTGCAACAGCGGTCCCGCCGTTGGTGCTGGCAGTGGTCATCACGCACCATCTGTTAACACTAACGTTTACGCTCCCGTTGGGAACGGTGGCCCTCAACCACCCCCTATGGTACCGTTGACAGGTCCTGCCGCTCCCCCTCCACCTCCACCACCACCTGCACCAAACGCAAACACTATCAACTTATATCCTCCCCTTGCCGGATTCGGTTCTACCGGATCTGTAGTTTCCGCTAGCAACAATGATCCGCCTCCAGATATCAACTCGTTGGCTGCTGCTCTACAAGCGGCTCGTCTAAAGAAAAAGCAGGTTCGTATCGTCGGATGTGAAACCGCTTTTCCATCTACGCGCGCCACTTTGATATTTCTTGGCTGATCGTTTCCCTTCTCTCTTCAGACGTCGCAGCAACCGGTGGAGAATAGTGGTTCGAGTACCAGCAGCAGCGGAAGCGTGGGCGGCGGTGGAAATTACGGCACGTTGGGAAGGGGCGGGGGCGGCGGTATGGCTTCCATGATGGACGAAATGGCAAAAACTTTGGCACGCAGACGAGCCGCGGTCGAGAAGAAACAACCGGACCCGCCACAGGTATGTTTATCTCGGTTAATAAATGCCTTTATTTCTAGATTCTAGTTCAAGATAATTATACAAATATTTTACTTGGATTTCTACAATGTTCTGCTCTGTATCACATTATTTGCATTAGAAGCATTTCATTTTGCCAGATACTTTCTTTAAATAATCATTTATATTCAACGAGTAACAAAATTCAAGAAAAATCAAGGTGAAGTTTCCGCAAGAGTTTCAGAGTTTTTTTAACCGCATTTCGATATTTATTGCAATTTGATTGTCATCGAGACTCGAAACATAACTCGTTACGTCTATGGCAATTATTAGCTCGTACTACTTTTTCCTTGATTCGATTTTTCCATTCTCTCGTTTAATTTCAATAGGAACCCGAAAGCTCGCCTGACAAAAAGTGGGATAAAAACAATTCGAACAATAAATTTTCAAACGGCGCCGAATCGCCAAAATCAGTGCGCAAGAGGTTTGGTTCTGCATCCGAGGATACTCTACTGAAAGTAAACGGTGTTAACGACGGAGCTGTTCTTACCGTCCAAGAGATGGATGCTTTTAAGGCAGAGATCATCAAGGAAGTCCGCAAAGAATTTCAAAAGATGAAACAGGAAATCGTAGACGGTACGGATTCGAAACATACTGTGAGACCGACGCGAGCCTATCTCAAATTCGCTGACGTATTTTTCGTTTTGCGTTTACAGCTGTAAGAGCGGAACTGAGCAGAAGATAAAGATGCGACGTGGACCAGTTTCGAGCGTAACGAAGAGAAAACAAAAAAAAAATTCTACTATCGCGTAGATCAGCCGAAACGATCACATCGACAGACGTACACAGGTTTTTTTACTACGTATTCGCGAGAATGGAGCGAAGTTATACCCCGTGTATATCAGACACGTTTGTGCGTAAGTACGTTATAATATAACTTAGCGTTCTAAGCGAACCGTATCCTATCGTTGTTTACTAGATCAATAGTAAGCAACGTCGACTTTTTGGATAAAATCGATTCTAATTCTGCCAATTAAACGCACAACAGATTTCGGATCAACTACTACGTTCGAATGCGTATTTATCTTCGATGGGATCGTACGATTTATCGTTTATCGCTAACGATTACCGTGATCCTTATTCGGTCAAGTATTATACGTAGTTAAACTATGGGTAAACTAATGCCGATTCTACGCATGATCAAAGACACCCGCGTTTTTATGTAACTATCGATCGAACTCGATACTAGCCGGAAACGCGTAATGATTTCCGAAAAGATTCCTCTAGTCCAAGACGCGTTTATACTGGGATTAAAAGAATATGTGCATCATCAAATTCGTTCGCGTTTCATTTTTCGAGGCGCTTTATCTCCGGTTTCCTTACGGATCCACGTTGCGCGCGACATTTCTAAGGTCAGGTCGAAAATCGGAATTCTCATATCTACACTAATTTTGAGTCTTTCGTACATACACCACACCACATCCGTGTACAGATTACATTTAACACGCACAGCTCGATACATTCCAAGAACAGAAAAGTTTCGATGCAAGCAGAAGAAAAGAAGAAACAAAAAAATACAAAAGAAAAACAAAAAAAGTGATAGATAATAGAATAAAAAGTTGTCATCGATCGATTATCGTGGTTTCGATGAAACACGATTGATCGAATGGTTCGAGAACTGGGCCCATACTTATTCGGATGTTCACGGATTAAAACCGATTTTGTATTTATGCATACCCGATCGCTGTAAATTCCAAATCCAAACGCATGACAAAGGGCGATCGTGTTTGCTACCGATATTGTATATTACTCTCCGTTTTTATATTTTTTTATCGTCTCTCGTACGATTCTCACAGAAAATGAGAAAATCAACGTTGCAGTTCATATATATTCTATGTACCTATAATATAGTCGTATACATATATACGCTGATCTGTACCGGCTTATTGGCATTTATTGCAATTAACGAAAACACCGTCAACGTCACTCGATTGTACAATACGATACAGTACGACGCGATGCTACACGATACGACGCGATACGCTTGATGCACAAACGTATCTAAACTCGAATGACGCGGGAATAAATGCGAACATTTTTTTCGTCGCGTAAACGTCTATTCTTTTTTGTACCTTATTTGTCTTTTCCATTTTCGTAAGAAAGATTTTTAACGACTGATTAACGAATTAATGTGGTTATTAAGGAATGCAACGGCAAAACGTTGTCAAATTTTTTCCGATAAATCGAAATAATCGTCTTTTATTCTAGGCGTACCTATATAAGTATTAGCAGCTCTAAATTTTTAATCTCGTTCTATGCAACAATGTCTAGTCGTATAAGATAACTGAGGAACGGGAATCGCAAAACGTTCTCAGTGATAAGCACGGCCGAAGTTTAGGTTTTCAAACTATGTAACACCTTCTGACGGGAGGGGTACGCGATAACTCATTTTTAACGATATCTACGTTCACCGGACTGTCGCAATAACTCTTGTACTTTGATATCGCGCGAATATACGTTTACAATTTGGTCGTTCGTTTCCTAAATACGACATCTCCTCGCGTCGTATCTCGGAAATCGCACGATATATCGCGCACAGCGTTCACGTTTTCGCACAAATGATTACTAGCTCGTACGCGATTCGCTTTATTATCGCTCGACCCGTTTCCTTCTTCGAAACGCGCGTTTCTCGTACGCGGAATCTCTCTCTCTCGTGTCGATCTTCCAGTACGACAGTATTCGTTATCGTTCTCCCATATCGACTGTTATTCCTACGTCGGATGCGCATTTAGCCGAACGAGAAACCCGTTCGAGGTAAACACGGAACGTATAGAGAGACAATTGAGCGACGAGCACTTGCGTAAGGTTTCTTTGAAACTTTTTTTTTTTAACGACGAACAAAAATACAAAGAAAAACATCGCGCGTTGCGCGCCAACGAGAACAAAGAAAAGACGGAAATTTCCTTTAAACGAATTACAATATATGCTTTTGTATTTGCATGTTTGTGCGTACGTTTTACGATGCTCAATTCACCCCTCGATCGATCGTCTTGGACGCATGGATCGAGCAAAACGCGTAACGCACCGAACGAGATACGTACACGTACCCGATTATAAACGACTTTTCTACGAAAGAATTGTTCAACGGCGTTTGTATTCCGTCGAAGGTATTTCTGTTATATTTTTCGTTGCTTTTAAGCTCTGCATAGTAAATACAACACCGCGACCGCATTGCGTCGTCTTCTTGAAACAACGATACGTCGAACGTCGACTCGAGGACATGGCTCGGGCCATCGGCATTCGGTTCGAGGTTGGAAAAAAAAACTACGTTCTAAGTAATTAGTATACAAGCGAACAGGTATAAGAGTGCACGCGTGTATGCGGAAAAGTGTGTCTGTCTGCTCGCGATAAAAGCGAGGATGTACGAATTCGCACGGGGTACGAAAAAAAACAGTTAACCGAGAAAAGCGACTAGTATTAGATGCATTTATATTGTATTTAATATATGTATATTTATATATATACATATATCATAGATGGATAATTTTAATATGGCAAGATTAACGCGCGAGTATTAAGAGTGTTTGTTACGATTGCAATTATTTAAGAAGCGCAGGTAAGCATGGGCGATTAAACGGATCGACGTTGCTTTTTGCAACAACGACAAAATGAGTCGAGAAAATATACCATATGTCCAGGGCCATTATAAACGGTGTGTATTATAATTAATGTGCCGGCAAATAAATACACGTACGACAAGATGAATTACGAGTGAAACGCTATTTTATGTATCGCATGCGGCGGGAGCGGCGACGAAAGCTAAATCCAATTCTGTTTTATAACATTCCTCGATCGCGTTTGGTTACGCGGCCCCGATTACCATCTATTACCGTTTTTATCCGCAACAATGATTTCTGTACATACATGCATACTTGCTTACTTACACACATACATATATACATACTGGAGATTTCCGTTTTGATCGTGTTGTACCGGGTACATACGTGTACTCGTTAATTATTTCACGTATGTTTATATACATGTGAAACACTACGCATGTATGCAATAAACATATACACATATTATTTCACGTACGTTTACGTGTGAAACACTACATATGTATGCAATAAGCATACGTGAGGTAATTCACCGTGTATTTAAATATACGTGAAATAAGGATCTCTGATCCATACGTACGTCAACATACGTGAACGTACACAGCTGTGCGTTGCATGGTCGAAATAATGTTCCGCCTTACTCGGCCGTCGCGTTTCGTCGCCGTTTCCCGTTCGTTGCTCGTGCATACGGGATTTCGAACGCGAGAGAGAAGCTCGATGCCTAAATCGACGTCCAGTCCAATGAATAAAGTTCGCGATCGTTCGAAAGCGCAGAGCAAAAGTAAGAGAACGACGAAACACAGGATCGAGAGAAGCATCTGACCGAGCGTCCCGATGTAAGGCGCGTACAATCTAGCCGCGAGAGAGAAACAGCCTATCCGACGCGCAGCTAGCGACGAAAAGCCATTTGTACAGCGACGAGAAGCATCGATGTCGTCGATTCTTCGATGTTTGTAGCCCCCCCTCCTCCTCCCCCGTTCGACGGACGCGGAGATCGCGAGACATCGAACGCAAAGAAGCCGACGACAACGACGGAACGCATCCCCCAATCTCCCTCCCCCTCTCCCCCCAGACGCATCGAGGAGGAGCTCGACAGGACCGCTTTGCGTATTATTTTGCTAATATTTTAAGTAATCGCGTGATACGCGAGAAAAAAAACAAATTTATACGAAGTACAGTTTTAGCGACGTTAGTACGGAGAGTTTGAATCGACGCCGAGCACAGTTGTTTCTTAAGACGTATCTGGAAAATATTTGTATGTAAATGAATGACGAAACAATAAAAAGGTATACGCTGAATCCGTTTTGGTAGCATTAATTATTCGTCTAGTAAGAACGTGTTCGTCGCTGGTCAGACTGTCGCGTGTAACCCGTTTATTGCTTATTTGCGATCGTTACTTTCGATCGTCGCGATCTTTGACCGTTCCACTGTTACACGATGCATCGTTCGTTCAAGGTATGACGCAAGACTGGGTGGGAGATCGATAACGGTGGGGGTACCGAGGGCTAGTTCGAAGCAGAGAGAGAACGAATGACGCATAAAGCGGAAGAACAAGGAAATCTCGACTCGGTCGATCGGGGTCGGTGGTATGTTTTCGCTGGAGGATCGAGACAGCGTTTTCTGGGCGCGGATAAACTGCACGTTCGCCGCGTCGCGTACACCGTCGGTTCGCGTCGTTTCGCGCCGTGGCTCAGGGATCTGGGTACATAATTCGCCGTCTTTCGTCGGATCGATAACGAAAAGAGAATCGAGAGCGTGACGCGAGCAAAAATAATAGAAACATAGTCTCGGTGGCGCCGCGCCGGCCGGCTTCGTCGCGGCACACGCGTTCTGGTTCGTTCGATGCTCGAGAGCCGGAAGTTGCGGAGGACGCGGCAACGACCGTGAAACTATACGCGAGCGAGAAACCCCTATTTTCGTGTCATCGAGCGGCTACTTCTGTCCCACCGGCTAATAATAGTTTTTTCCTCTATTTTTTGTGTACTCGGTGTACTCGAGACTTGAAAACCATTGTAACGTAGGTTTAGATTTTTGGAAACTTACTCTTAACTGTTATAAAAAACCTAAGTTTTAGTTTAAGTCAAAGTTCTTGCGTCAGTTATTTTTTTTTGAAACATTTTCGAATTTTCTTTCGCAACAGCAATGTTGAAAAACGATACTGTAATGTAAATTGACCCGAAAAACATTATTCTTTAACGCGTTAAACCAAAACTTTGACTTTAGACAATTGTAAACTACACAATTTCAAATTTGTTGTATTTTATAAATATGCATACTTTCTGTATTTTTCGTCTTACAAGACGCCTTGCTTGTTCCCTTGAAAGTTAACAGTGATATTAGTAAGAGTTTTTTCACAGAGTCCGATTTTTTGCTGACTGGTTGAAAATTAATATTGGCCAATTCTTGACCTGAATAATCGTTTTCTACATCGTCATGCCGATTACGCGTATAATTGAGTGGTACAGAAAATGCATAGCAGAAGAAAAATAGAGTCCCAAGGAAGAAAACAAGGTATGTATTTCGCAAGCAAGCGTGAAAAAAAACTGTTATTGCTAAACTCATTACGTATACAGTTTGACTTTGCGTATCTTAATTCTCTTCTGTTAATTGCATTTATTGGTTTATTACAGTTTTCGTCGAATGAATCGAACAAGAGAAGAAACAGAATAATATATTTATTTTCTACAAGAGTACCGGAGACGAAACAAGAAGGTAACGATTAGTTCTTTCTCCGTTGAAACGTATCCTTATAAAAGAATTTAAAATGCTTCTCAATTTTAAATAGATCCCGCTCCAGCCGGTGATCGAAAAAATGAAATTTGTGGAATAGTGGTGCGTTTACCTTGGTCTTTTTGGGGGGGGTTTCCCGCTCGCCTAACTAGCTTCGAACTGGTCGGGCGGGAAAAACGAGGTCAACCGACGTTATTTTCGCGCAGTATCGGCGACTGGAGAAACGAACGAATCGAAAGTCGAAAAAGGTAGATGCGACAAGCGCGTTATCGCGCTTGCGCGCGAGTAAACGCGGTCGACCACGCGTCGCGACGGTAGAGTAAAGCGATAGAGGGAAGACGAAGAAACGCAGCCGGCGCAGTGAGGATCCGGGTGACGGCGCAACGCGGCGTGGCCTAGGGAGCGACCAACGAATCGACGAAGGGGGGAACGGAAACTAGCTACGGAGACACGCGGTGCAGAGACGCAGCAATTCGCCGCGAACACAGCGCGGTGACTGTCAAACGTTTCGCTGTACATAGCGTCAAATGTAAATCGTTTTCTGTACTCTCGAAGTGGAACGCTCGATCGCCGATACGGTGCGTCACGATCACGATACGCGTATCGCGGGCTCGTCCAGAGTCCGAGTCACGATCGTCCGTGCATCAGCCGGCGGAAGATTCGCCGCCAGACACTACACGTCGACGACACGTTTCGAACCTGTTCGTCGATCCGTTTCATTTCGTTTTTCTCGATTCGCGCGGTAGCAATCTGTACGACGCCCACGGTACGGCGCAGCGCGGAGGAGGGTACAGGAGCCTCGAAAAGTGAACCGACAGAGGGAGAGTTTGACTCGGAAACGTGACGTTAGAATGCCGCAGAGTCGTTCCGTCGATGGTTGCAGCGCGACTCTTGCACCGCATTCGTTCCAGACGTTTTGACGATGTACTCGCGAAGAAACGTAGCCAGCGACGAGAATGGCTCACGAAAATGTGTGTTTTGCGTTTCAGAAGCAAGTTATCGTCTCTAAATAAGAAGACACCGGGGAACGAAGGGGAACTAGCTGATAGCGCGTTCGCGCGTCTATCGGGAATCGCGCGAACACGTAAGTGACAAGAACGAAGGCTGACCATTCCACGAATAGAAGATGACGCGACGCGCTGGCCACGGCTGACGGAGCATCGGTAAGGGATAGTCTATCGTCGAGCTTAGCACGAGGTTTGCGCGTCCACGCGGCCCGACAGGATATCGCGAGCCAAGGCGCGGGACGAGAGAAGCAATCAACAACCTTCCACATGTCTTATCGCGTTCCCGATACACTCTTCTTCGCGTAGATTATTCGTAGATCGTTTAAGAAAGCGAGGTGCACAATCGACCAATCTTTGTTTCAGCATCGAGGCAATGAAATCGTCGTCCCACCGTCTTGTGGTTTGGCAAAATAGAAACGATTGCGTTCGGGTATCGGGATCGAGTTTCGATCGCACTTGGACTTGGTCTTGGACTTTGAATCCTACTTGAGAGATCGAGCTCGAGGCCAACGGCGACCAGGCGTCTGGAAACGATGCGGACAGAGGAGACGACGATACGCGACCTTTGATCGAACTTGGGTCCTAGGAAAGGAGAAGATCGAAGTAAATCGGTGAACGCGCGGTCGATGAGCCGCGAGAACCGGCGGGATGACGACGGATGGCTGTTGATCGGTATGCTCCGCGCGAGGCGAGATCGTTGAGAGACGACGCGGACGGTCGCGAGGCAGAATCGAGACGAAGCAGTGCCGTAGTCCTGGGGGCCCAGGGTATACGCACGGCGTATTAATAGCTCGTAATAAGGCGGTAGTGGGGCGCTGTCCGCTCGCGGGTGAAAATAGAAAAGAATGTTTTTGGAATCCAATTGGACTTGGTTGGTCGAACGATGGGGCAATATGGCCGACTTGGCCGAGCGGGTGGACGATCTGATATGCAGTTTCGACTCGACTGGTGACACGACCATGGATACGTTATCGATGCTAATATTCGGTTGGATGTTGTTCGGGCTGGTGGTGCTGTGCGTCGGTAAATACGTTTACAATCGGTTCGTTTTGAACGAGGTTACCTCTGCTACGATAATTGCCGCCAAGGACGGCCATATCGTTCACGGCGATAATATCGGTGTCGGTGCTGGTGGTGTTGTCGGTAGTGGCGGTGGCGCGGGTGCTGGAGGCGGCGGTGCTGTCGGAAGCAAGTCAATTCCCGTTGGAAAGCAAAAGAGTGTCGGTTCGGGTGGCTCGACGACCGCCGGAAAGACTTCCGTTGGATCGAGCGGGGCAGGTGGTGGCGGCGGTGGCGCCGGTTCCGGTGCTACCGGTAGCGGTGGCTTCGCTACGTCCGCCGGGATCGGTTCCACGGCCTACGTCCCGCCCACTCCACCTGTTCGTAAACGGCTCACCGCCAGGAAAACCTCCGGGGTTCTGATCAGCCCCGCGAGGAGTTCCAGAAGCCTGCATTTGCCGACCGCGACGGGCGCCGATCCCGACGCGGTGCGCTGGGTCAACGAGGTCATCGTCTGGCTTTACTCGGACCCGGCGATCCTGGACGAACTATTGGCGGTTTGGGTCGCCTCCCTCAACCAGTTCACCAACAACTCTGTCGACGAGGTGAGTCGATACGGGACTAATAAGCTGCTAGCAGCGACCGTTTTCACTCTCGTCGGTGGCGGTTGTTCCGGCGTCGACATAGGGTAAACCCAACTAATATGGAACCTCGCTAATCGTAGGGGAGACCGGGGTCAATAGTAACGCTTTTACTTTGGAATACGATAACTCAAAAAGTATTACACTTAGAATTAAAATTGTTGTATAAAAATGTATGATTATGCCAAGTAATACTTAATAAGTTATTAGTAAAAAATGGAAGACAGAGAAAGTGTTAACCGTCCCTTACCCTGGAGCGATTGTAACACGGTGTCAATAGTAACACGCTTTTATTCTTGAAGAAATCTAGTTATTTATTAAACTAAATCGTAGTACTCAACAAAGATAAAATTGATAAGCATAAAAAAACTAAAATTATCTGTAATTCTTATTCGCTTTCACAATTTTGGATCACGTTGTTTGGTACATTCTTCGTGTGCCCAATTCTTGCATTCATTGCACCTATTTCTTTAAAGGACGTAAAAATGTTTAGAAACGAGAGGCATTTGTTTATTTGTATCGTTTAATTAAAATTCGTTTCCGACAGCAAACGTTAGTTCCATTTTCTTTAGGTGTTCTATACCGTCGCTTCCTTTATTATTTTCAATTTGAAATAAATTGGAGATTTTTAATCGTTTGAACATAATTTTTCGTAAGTTACATCGGCTTTTCGCGTTGGTTTCATTAAGAAACAAATATACTACTCTGTTTTTTATAGATTTTAAAAATTACGTGTTCCATACTAGCTATTTTGCAACCCAAAAATTTACAGTGGCGTTTTTTCGAACGATGCTTTGTCTTCGTACAAACCGATGTTGAAGATTCTTGCACACGTGCACGTTCGGATGATATCACTCGCGCCTACGTTCGACAAATATGCAGCATTCGTAATATTGTATTGCTTTGCAGATTAATCGTGTTGAATAGTAAAAAGTTAATGATGAAACGAAAATATTTTTATTCTTTTATTACTGCAAAAATTTGTACACTACAAATTCTTGCGTTACGTTTAAATTTGAGGTTTACACATCCTGAAGAGGATCATCACCATAGTAGTAGAAACGTTGGAAACGAATATAGTGTATTCCTCGCATAGCACTTTGTATACGTAATGTAAAAATTATCTCTAGATATGAAAAACTATCGCAACAGTGGACATTTTAACGATTCAAGCAGTAATATGCTTTTCCCCAAAAAGTAATTTGTATTTGTCTAATATTTGAAAAACAATTTTTTTCGAAACATTTTCTCGAGAGGTAAATTGCCACGTGCTTGTTCCTATCGTTTTCTCGTAAACTGAGCAAAATTTCTTCCTCTGTGTTGCTTGTAATTTGTCGGAAACAATCATCGGGTCGACGAAGCCATAAATGCGTTGCCGGCACACACACCTAACGCGAGAATTATGTCAGTTACTCTCGATTACAGTGTGTAGTCGTATCGACTGAATAACAAAGACTAAGTGTCTGACTCAGAAACGATAACAAGCTATGACATTAGTAATGTTTATAAATACAAACGCAACGAAAAGTAGTCTACGGCCACAGTCACTTTCGCGAGTACTCGACGAATTTTCAATACAGATCTATTAGGAAATGAATCTTCGTAGGAAAAAAAATGTCACTCTACATTTTTCAACTCGTTTTAGCTTTAATTTTCAACTTTGTTTACGTTGACATTCCAGGGTTAATATTATACACCATAATCGTTGTAATTAGTATATTTTTAAAAACGTTAGGCGATCTGTCGATGAAGTATTGGGACGTATTCGTCCCTATTAATTTTATATAGATTCATCCCTTTCCGATAGTTGATCAGAAACACCTTGTATATGAGTGGTTGAGAATCAAAAGTAAAAAAATTAAACCCCGACAATACTTTTTATCTATGTTATGACAGAAAGGGGTAAGATAAAATGGCGTTCGTTTGTTTGTGCAAGTTAATTTCTGAAAGTACTGAATCGATTTGAACGAAACTTTCGCTTTCGGCGTGTTCCTTATTATCTTCCGATTAAAGTAGGATATAGAACATCACGCTATCCTATCAGAAGGGTAAACAGTAAAAGCAAATATGTAATTAGCTAAGAAAACCTTGTATTGAATTACATAAAATGCGGCATGCCGATAAAAGTATTAATAATGCATTAAAACTATGTACGAAAAAATTGTAGTTTTAAATTAGTTCTGCACAATGTTGTTATTATTTACTTATTTATGAATATACATAGCCTTTTGATATAGTAGAAAATAATGTAAAATACTCAGAAAATAGGCAAGCTCATTAAATTAAAAAAAAAATTAGTTTTATGTTCAAAATAGTTTGTAATCGCTAATAATTAGGGGGTTGATACGACTTTAAAACACTTTAAAAATGTAATAGATAAAACAAATTTACAAACAAGAATCTTAATTCAAAAATAAAAAATTGGAAGAATCGAACAGCTCGGTATAGTTAAAAAATTGATTACTATCAATGCATAACCGATGTTATTATATTTATCTAATAGCGTTCGATGGTGTTTCATATACGTTAATGAGGAACGTTTCATGCTTCCCACGTACAACGATAATTAAATCATGACACGAATATAGCAGCCTTAAATATATACGCGAATGAATATTTATAACGAACAACGTCCACTAATGACGGACAGTGAAAGTACGTTTTCACTATCGCGCGTGAATTTAAAACATTAACCTGCACATTCTTCGATCGAATTAGTAAACAATTATCAAATATAAATAGAGGTTTATCAATATCAAGGAATATAAATTTAAGTGTATCAAAACAGAATTCATTATTACGTTCGAACGATTAATTTTTCATTTTACAAATGTAGTAATTTATTTTTTGATCGTTCCTATTTGCGGCGTTCAGTGGTCTTCCGCTGTTAGGGTAACACATAATATGTAGCCGACGAATGGGTAACCGGCAGGACGAGATAAGGCGAGACATACTTCTTGACTCGCGTGGGCGTTTTCGAGCAACGAAAACATCATCGTCTCGCCGCCACACTTTGGTGTCAGACAATTTTACTTTGCGTCCCGAGGCTCCGCAGGTTCGCCGTCGAGCTCGTCATACACGCGTATAAGCGTGTACGCGTCCCTGACATTTGTGAGAAAGGCGAACCGTTTATGACCGCGTTAAACGCCGACTAGGATTCTGTTAACGCAATCTCGATCGTGCTATTATTCGTTCTTAGCTCGCCCAGACACGCGACGCCGACCAAGTCGAAATCGTTGTATGTACATGCAAACGACGAGAAATCCCATCAAACGTCGACGAACGGGTTGAATTCACCGAGTGATTCGTGACTCGATACATTTACCGTATTCGTGACGAGTCGCCATCCTGCAGAGACGAACAAAATTTTCTTTCAACGACTAGCTATTACCTTCGTGGAAGTCGATTGAGTTTTTTTCTTAAATTGAGTACTAAAATTTAATTTCCAATTTATGGTTAGCGTCCCCAACGATTGCCACTTCCGGTAGGGACTTTGCAATATAAAACAGGGTGTCCTCTACTTTAATATATTTTAGAAGAATAATCTAGGGCCGAAAATAAGAAGAAAATGTTATGTAAAGTTTGCTTGTGAATGGTGTATTAAAGTTCTAACATTTAATGTAGCCTGAATATGTGCGTTGACTCATATTCGAAGTTTCATAATACGAAAGGTTACCTGTGTTTACTTCGTTTCTACTTTCACGATATATCTTGTCCTCCATTGATTCATTGTGGCCGCAGAAGTCATTTTCCGGTTATCGAACGCAATAGCAATGTCGTGTGAGTCAGTGATTTCGCGTAGTCGCGTGTACGTAATAGGTTCAAGCATCTATGGAGCGCAACAACAAAGAAGAGAAGTTATACGATATAAATAAAAATCTGTACCCTCATTTTTGTTGAAAGTTTAATTTCATTCGATTAAACAATTATACAATGAAACCTAAATGTAGTTTTACAAGGAAACATGAAGGATTCAAAATTAAAATTACAATGTTTCTGAGCTATTTTAAAAATTGTTTTGACAGAAACTAGCTTTGATAGGCCCAATCTAAAAATATATCCACCCTAACCACCATAGTGTACTTTTTTATGCACTGTGCACTACTGGTTGTCAGTCAGACAGGAGCAAGTGAAATGTCTGTGCCACCATGCACAGACATTGTACGATTAAATGAAACTCGTATTCAGCAATGCATAGTGCATACGCTCTTAATGAACGAGGAATAAAAACGAATTAACTAATACTTAATTATTTATTAAAATTTATTCATTACATTATAAAGTAAATGCAACTTAATTTTACCAAAGTGGTAACAAACAATTTTTAAAATTATCATTTTATCAAAGCATCGACTTCAAATTAATGGTGAAATTCTCTGGATAATTATTTTTTACTATTCATTAATTCAATTCCAACCTTTCTGTAATATTTGTTACTAGGCCTTATTTGATTTTAAACGCGTTTAAAATTTGTTTCCTTATTTATTTTGATCTTATACACGCGTTACAAAATTTATAGTAAAAGAAGATAATAAGATTGCTTTGAAAATTGTATCCGTACCTTAATTTGCATTTCTCAAGACGAGCAAAACGTCCGGTGATTTATGAACGATGTATGTGCATCGCGCTTACTCTGACTTGTATATTTCTCGACTTACGTCAACTACTTTTAGTACCAATTAGTATGTATGTTCGGAGTATGACTCTACTTAATTACGCTTTGAATATTAATACCGTATCCATCTGTTCGTATGTCTAATAGAGACGTTTCTTATTGCAGCATGGAGTTGGAGTCGAGTTTGTTCGCGTTCTTCCTGAAACGTATCCACCGAATCTCTCTAATATCTTTTGCGAATGCGATTCCAAAGACGATGTGGTACGTATTTACAAATTTCGTCATTGCAGTGGTAGTTAAATTTTATTTATGAATAATGGATAAAAATTCTAAATTCATACGTAAACTACTATAATAATTTACAAATTATTTCTTACTCGTGACTAAAATTGTTGTAATCATACATTCCACGTATGCTATTTTACTGATAAAAGAGAACCCTTGAAAGAATTAATATCACCATCTTGGTTAAAATCTCACTTGGTTCCCAAAATACAGTTATAAGAGAGCACTAAATAAATTCAGCAGTTGTGTGTTGCACAAATTACTGATGTTCAATCTGAAACGTTTCCAGATACAGTCTATAGTCTAGTTTTGAAAAAATATAAAACAGTAATTAATCTCCTGACTTTAGTATCTTCTTTCGCGTTTGATTGGATCCTCCGCGTTTGTTACTTTGTTCCAGGCGATCACCTGCGATTGCGAGGCGACTCCGGCGTTGCAGCTGAAGGCGTTTCGTCGGAAAGGCGATAAACTGGACGTTAGGCACTATCGTGTAAACGTGAATCGTTTTCGCGCGCGATTAAACGTAATTTGCATCACAGAGAAACTTCTCCTAGATTTAAAATGCGACGGCTGGCCGGAGGTTTGTGTCGTTTCTCGTACTTGTTGCTGCGCGATGCCGTCCGTAAGTCACCGGGCACTTAACGAACGTACAATAAAAACGAATTAACACTCAAGCGATGTAAATTAAATAAAACGAAACGCTTATTTATTCATTGTATTATAAAGGAAACATAACTCATATTATACGTCACAAATTCACCAAAATATTTTACGACGATCGTTCAAACTAATAGATAAATTCCATCGATAACTATTTTAAAAAATTTTTGTTATTAATACTATTCCATCCTTTCTGTAGTATTGTCCTTCAGTTTTAAACGCGTTTTTATCAGATTTACAGTAAACTAGTAATTTAAAATAACCATAAAAAAGCTAATAAAGTCGCTTCAGAAAATTGTGTCGGCACTTTAACTTCCATTTTCCAAGATGGACGAACAGAATGCCCGGTGACTTATGAACGATACATCTAACATAATAGCAGACCTACGCTTATCGGTTGATATGTTTCTATCGTAGGTGAAAGTTTCGTTGGCCCCCGTAGGCACTATAAAGAAAGATCTGGACGAGAGCCAGTTGCAGGAAGTCGTAACGGAAATTGTGGTAGGCGCATTAAGGGGGACCAATGTTCATTTGAATCTGTTTCAATATCCGAGCTGTCCGCGCCTATGGAGAGAACAGACATCGAATCAATCCGGCTTCTCGTTGCCGGTGCATTACGACAGCATGGTAAGTTCATATTTCAGACGTCGTCTTTATGCTCGTTTTTGCGTCACTCGTTCGATCGGGGATCTTTCGAGTTTCTATTTGTAGAGCACGTCCAGCGGTTCTACTCAACCTCAACGTCAACCGACCCGGACCCAGAGTCCAACGCAGAATCAATACGTGGCCGGTGACAAACGGTTGCTCGTGAAAGTGGTCAGGGCGACGGAACTCGGCGGAGAGAAAGGCGCCACGGAACCGTATTGCGTGGTCGAACTGGACGAACCGCCTCAAAAGAATCAAACCTCCGTGAAAAAGGATACGCGAAATCCGTTATGGGACGAAGCGTTCTTATTGTAAGTTGCGTCGTCGATCGTAAATCGTCGCGGTCGTTAGGTCTCTCATCGTTGTTCTTCCACAGCGACGTGAGTCGGAACACGACGGAAGTGTTGCTGGAGGTTTACGATCGCGCGAACAAGTCTCAACGATTTCTGGGTCTGGGCATCGTGGGCGTCGACGAGCTTCTAGCGAATCCCAGCCAAAGGCAGATTATACCGTTGCAATGTAGGCCCTACGAGGAGGATGACATCACCGGCACCCTAACGGTCGAGGTATGTACAGCGAGCGACGTTCACGGGTCAGATTAATCCTTTCGGTGCTATTGACTCGTACACTAGGCGAAATTCTTCTTATTTTTCATGATATTCATCGAATATTTCTTTGGGTCGAGTCGTAAATAATTGTCGGTTTGGATACAGTGATGATTCGTAAAATGAACTCCTGGCGTGATTCGTAAATTGAACGTTTCTATCCCTGTGGTGTCGAATTTCACCTCCGCTGCACGAAAAATGAATGCGCCCAACATTGGAACGTCGTTCATTTTAAGAATCATTATTGTATCAGGTATCCAAATATCATTTTATTACGTATCAAATAACAGAAAGTGAAGTAATTCATTTTATATATTATTTATAGACCAGAACATGTGTTTCAAACTATTACAGACAAGAAATTTCGACGAAACTATGTCAAATAAATATAAAGATGAATAATTACGAATTTTGTCTTTGTTGTACGAAAAATGAACACGTTCATTTTAAGAATCATTACTGTACGGAGCACTCTGTACAGGTATATCGCTAGCAAACGATATTTCAGGGCGTGATTAAGAAAGAAACGTATACATACATTAGAGATTCATTTACTTTAGTTTAGTTCATTTTGGATCGTCTGAAAGGATTAGCACCGAAAGAGTTAAAGGGTTTTCGACGCAATCTGCGATTACCGTTTTCGTAGCGCCGTTTCGTTGTTCTCTTCACCTCCCCCCGTCCCCTGTCTCTGTCTTTCTTTTCTGTCTCTCTTTTCTCAGTTTCTGTTCATCGAGGGTGCAGAGGTGCCTCAAATTGGGAACAAACCTTACAAGGTGAAGGAGACGATAAAGCCGGTGTCACCGACTCCTCGTACCTACAATACGACAAATGTCATCAGCGACAATAGTCTAAATTACAACAATGGTAACAGCACACTTATCTTGTACGACTCTACCGTTCTATCCGATGGGGGTAATTACCAACTACTTATCTGAAAGGCATTGCGTTCGTATTCACGAGTGTGAAATCATAGTGATATCCCGTTAGTATCACCTATACAATACTCTCCTTTACGTGTCGCGACCCCTCTAAAGAAGAGTCGCGTTCTCTTTGCAAACCTACCATCTGTGACAACACACGTTCCAATTTCATAAATTTCTTAAACACAGTATCTTAGTATCTGCATCCTTTTTTCACCGATCCCGACGGTGTCGACGTTCCTCCCGTAAGGGTCGAGTCGCGTCTGTTCGTCATGGGACCACCGATCGATCTCGTGTACGCGTTCACTAGTAATTCGCATGAAATGCATACGCGTATTGTGCATAGATTCTTTGCCACCCTCCACCCCCACTTTTTTTACCTCCCTCACTCCGATATCTAACGGCCGTGTTAACGTTCCCTCAGCACGATTTAAATGGTTTTTACGCCCGCCACCCGATCGGAATGTTCCCCGATTGACAATCCTTCGAAGTTATTTCGGCTACCAGAGGACCGATCCTGACGAATTAACGATCACAATAAACGCGCGAATGGTACACGCAACGCCCGGTAAACGTAGCCAAACGCGGATATATATCGTCTGGTAAACGAAATGACCGACGCTTCGTAGAATAAGACGGAAGTAGAACGTTGTAAATCCTTATACGTTTCTTTTACGCTTAGATCAAAGACTACAGAATCTGATCGATGGTAAAACATAATTCGCAGACTACCTGACGAACGGCAACGTAGTCGACTCGCCCTACAGAACTGGCCACACCAACGGAAACAAGGGGACCCTGATCGTGCACAGTCAACAAAGGGTATGCCCAAAAAATCTGCACGTTAAATACAAACAAAACATTTTTTCTTCCCTACTAACTCGTAACGATTCACTATTGCCTATGTTTTTGTGCATTTTTTTCCAGCAATCCGAGCGGCAAGTGGTCAAGGTAAGTCATACATCTGCGAGCATTCCATTGCTTGGCATCATCCTCGTCGCCCTAATCGCTATCCACAACGATAATTATATACGACTGCCCCGTTTTCGAGTTTTTCTTTTTGCATTATTTTCACCACTTTAAATTCTCAATTCAATCAATAGTTGTATGCCTCTGAAGATGTAGAGTTCCTGAAGAAACACCCTATACGTACGTAACTTATCGCGTTCCCCTTTTTTTTCTCAAGTTTGTCTATCGTTTGAAACGTTCCTCCGTTCCACGAGAATACTAATAATCGTCAGTTGAGTGGCGTGTATTTACTAATTCGACAGGTCGCCTTGACGGAATACGGGAACTGGCAAGAAATATCCCCGGAGGTAATTATGTTTGTTATTGTATCACAACTGTCTTGCTTTTTCAGCTCGTTGTAGCTTAACTTTCTAACGTCGTTAATCGCGTTACGCTTGATTCGAAAATATGCATTTTGTCTGCTATAACATCGACTATCCGTATGTAAACGTTCGACTTCGTTCGTTTCAGCATGGACCCAAAGATAGTAGCGTGACGTCAGGACCAGAAAGTACACCGAATTCGTCCAATTCCGAAGGTACTTAACATAACGCCGCGTACAAACATTCTCAAACACCAGTTTTCACGCGAATCTAATAACTTTTTATCATACAGATTGTACCTACTATTTTGAATTATGGTAGTTTTATATCAGACTTTTAATTTACTGCTAAAACTGCCTAAACAACACTATGTTTACACGATTTGGAGTACAGAAAGACACCAAAGAAAAACAATGGAAAAAAAGTATAATGCTACGAGTTAATGTTTACGGTACCATTCGTTGCATCTAGCTAATTAAAAACTTAATTATAGTTAATTATAGACAACATTGCGTTGATTTTTTTGTTACAGACAGAGGAAGAACGCGAAGAAAACGGCGAGACTTCTTCGGCACGATAAGAAAGCGATTGAGTCGGTCTAAAACGAGGAGCAGATCCGTGGGACCGGAAGGCGACACGAATCACGAGGACGCTCACTCCAGATCCATATCCGCGGACAGAGCGCGCGATCCCGGTTCCGGTACGTTCGTTCGAGCCACCCCGTACATTTCGAAATCGTAAGAGAGGTCGTAAATTTAAAGTACAACTTAGAGATTGTTAATTTAGAGTTAACAATATTCCCATTAGCTCGAGTAGTTAGTATAAAATTCTACTTGTTTGTTTTGCGTGCAAATCTTCTGCGTGATGGCACGCGACGTTGGTGAGTACGATTATAATCGGTTAGCGAGGAGATGCAACAGCGACGACCAGTTTACGCGACGAAAGTAATTTCGTTCGAAACGTCATCGGTCGCTGCAAATTTATCCGATCGAAAAAGCAAATCTTCGCCAAAGCCAATTTTAATGCCAATGCCAATGCCAATAACGATATCGAATGCTAACGCTAACGCCGTTCATTTTCGATCACGACTAACGCTACAAATGTGCAAACGATTGTTTCGCTTGAATTTTATAGCCCGTTTATCGATACCAGGAAGGGAAGAGCAGTCGAGGCGTTCCAGTTTGAGCGAGGCGTCCGGAATAAGCGGAGCGTCGACCAGAACCTACGTAAACGAGGCTTCCACATTGGTTCTTGAGACTCTCGAGAACGGCATTAAAAAGTAAGGAACATACAGAATTTTCGACGTCCTTGTTTTGCAAAAATATAATTATAGGGTAAGAAAGTATTAGCGATTGTAGTTCGCTAGGTAAAAAAAGTAAGCATGCGAGCAAGGCTTAAAAAAATAAAGAACACTTGTTGGTTTTAGACATTATCTGGTACCGCTGTCGCTGGCGCAGAAAAACAAATGGAGGAAAAAAGGCACAAAGCTTCACATATTCAACGATCATACCTTTATAGCAAAACACATGGCTGGGTAAGTAGTCGACGAGGAATTTGACGACCAACGGATGGAGTGGAATTTCGTTCGAGCAAAGCGTTTCGTTTCAGCGGGACCGTGTGCGAAGTATGCAAACGAACGCTCGCGAGAAGATTGGGCAAACAGGGCTACGAGTGTAGGGACTGTCAAATGAAGTGTCACAAACACTGTCACGTTAAAGTAGATACGACATGTCCCACGTCTACTATTCAGAGCATCGAACTGTAAGTGAGAAGTCTTTCGTTTTACTATGAAACGTATTCGATTTCGGTTTCTTTCAGAACCGAACAAACGCATGATAGCAACGTAATAGAGGCCACAGACGTAACATATTTTCGTACAATTATCGTTGATACCACTATTGAAACGATAATTGTTAAATGTGAGTGGTTTGTTGTACAACTAGTAGATAGAGTTATAACTTTTTAAACATTAATATCGACTATATTTTTGAAAAAGAACTTTTTTTCTCGAAACTGCGTAGGATTTCGGGGTTATGCGTATTTACCAAAAATTATTGTAATTGACCCCGCAACTGAAAATAATTTTTCCAGAACGATTAAAAATTTTTTTTTCGCCGAAAAATTTGCCCATTTTTGATTTTTAACAAATTCGCATACCACTGTACAATAATGATGTATAATAGTTTTTTGTTGATTTCCAGTTGCTAATCGATTACTTTAAAAAAAAACTGTAATTTTCATTCTACAGATTAGCATAGTAAAAAGATCGTACTAAATTATGGCCCATATGTTCGATTTTCATAAAATGCCTTTTTTCCTGCTTTTGGGGAGTAAATGTCCCACTATGCGATGCAACTGTGTTGAATACCCCAGTATTGTCGTACGATTATCGTTGCGATTCAGTAAACGACTCATTGTACAATAAATCATTACGTCCATGGTCCCTATAAGGATAAGCGGTCGCGAAACTACGAGCTAATTCTGTTTTCTTTTGATTCGATTGTCGCGTAAGGTCTCTACTGCCAGTGCTCAGTGAATAGGATGGGTAAGTTCCCGACGATGTCCAAGCATCTCCTAGTACGTAGCTGCGCATGAACAACGAGTTCTTCTTCTGTTTGTTTTCTACAACTGTTGTGTGTATTTTCTATTCGATGAGTTCAGATTCTATGGTTGTGTTAAAATGGGTCGACTCACTTTGTCTCGACCAATTGGGCCCGCATTCCATCCGATTGCCAACTTACCAGTAGCGAACAGTACACGTTGTTCCTTCGGTGGACGTTGAAAACTGTAGTCTTTAATTTCGATTCACCCTTCTTTCGCTTTTCTAAATACTAATCGTTTGTTGTTCGTATGTAGAGAACAGTGTTTTGCCTGCTTCTAACAAGTATCTACTCGATTGATCTACGATGAACGCACACGTATGTACACGTACGTCTAATAAACGAATTTCGATTATTTCCAGCACTTACATAAAGATTCCACGGCCCGAGCGAAAATCGTCCACCAGTCTCTGCTGACCAAGTCTTGGACGACAGATCTTGAACGAACAAGCGCTTTTCACCCTGTCCACCATCGTTTACTAAAAGCGAATCATTTTTCTCCCCCCTTCATCGAGTTGTCGTTCGAATCGCTTCGTTCGTACTTGTTCACAATTTACGAGGCATATCGCGTTGCACTTTATGCAATTATAGGCAATCGTACGCGACACAAGCTGCAAGCTTTCCACGGCAATCATAAACGATTAGCTTTCGAGGCATGAAGCGCTTTCGAACGCGATAGCATCGTCGCGCGCGTTATCTACTTGTCTTTACTACGCTTCTTAACCGATACAAACGAATGCGAATTACGAACGAAAAAAATATTAAACGATACACGACACGATACGAAAACGAAATGAAACTGAAACGAACAGAATGGAAGAAAATCGTACCGTTTATCTCGACGTAACTGTTCTCGAGAAGCGAAATTGTTCTTCATCAGGAAAATGGCGAAAAATCGTGTTTCTATATGCATACGTTTCGTCTCGGAAAAAAAATAAAATGAAATTGACGAGTAATCGTAATATTCGTCCCGTTTCTACATCCGTTCTTAGTTTACGCATTCTCGTTCGAATTTTCATGTTTTTTTACGCTTCAACGAACCGTATCCTTCATCGAAACGTCCGATTTTCTACCGATTCCCCGTTTTACGCTCTAACATCGTATCTCGCGTCCCTCTTTTCCCAATTTCATTAGTTTCTCTCGGTTGTTCACGCCGGGATGTACCACTGGTGGTACACCGAGCAACCATCCTATCGAGCGGCGTGCGTCACCGATGGTACATGATCGTTCACCAACGGTGCAAACGGACCACTTTTATCTGTCCTTTTGTTAATAAAATTAGACAAGGTTTGCAAGTGGATCTAGGCAGTTGCTTGAATCCGAATAGTTACTCTAAATAAAATTTATTACCGTTGTCAACAAATTTATTTGATACGTTACGTTGAAAGAAAGTCATTTATTTTTCAGAATTTCTTTAATGGGTTTCTTTTTTTAGCGGCACTCGTTTTTCGTTTCTCACCAAGCCTAAAATGTTCTTCTACGAGATGTTTCTTTTTTGTTTTGTTTTACGTTTACGAAAGAAATACACTGGGTTGGACAAACGGCGACGCCCGGTGGAAGAAAGTACAAATAATTCACTTTGTCGTGAACGGGTTGGACGCGACAGAATTTTGGGAAAAGTTGCACGATCGGGGAAAGCGACGCGGGAAACTGAGTATGTAATCGAAAAATGTCGACGATAGTGCCTCTAGACGCGAAAGCTTGTAATTTTCGTAATATCGTACGTTTATTCTGTGGATGGAATAATACTTTCAATTGATATTATCGACTGTTATGGGATGACGTATCGACTGTATCGAAATGGAATGCTTATACGCGCACATTCGTGTCTACGTACACCGTGTATAGAAAGTCGGCTGATAATATTATTATGATTGTGATTATTATTATTGTTATTATTGTTATTATTATTATTGAGGTAGGAAAGGAACGGCGGAATGTTTGTGAAGCAGGAGCTAGGGAAATGCGAACAATAATGATAATGATAGTAATATTGTGTTATGTTAAGAAAAATAATATATTACAGTATGATTCTACACCGTTCGAAGGCCTTTATGTTGCGTTATTTTACACGCCTTTCTTCTCGTCCTCTCCTCAAATAAGTTCAAACCTAGAAAAATCCCTTGTTCGTGTTTCTATATTTTAGTAAAAAAATTCTCCAATTTACAGTAACTTAAACAATCGTTTACAAAACTATGATTGGTACTTCTAGGTTACGTAATTCGTGTCTGTCCATTTTGCATCTTCCTGTTAGAGCATAATACTCTTCTTGTGAACGTGAAGTAAATATATGCAATGTTTCGTCCGAACGTTGTTGCTTAATAAATACAGTTATCCATTATCTCGTTTTTCTGTCAAAATTTATTTATTCATTTACTGGTTAAAGAAATTTCCCTTTGGTACAAATAGAGTATTAGACGAGGTTTCAATGTAGTAGAAATATTAGTCAAGAGGTGATTAGAAAAAAAGCAACCATTTCACAGTATTTGTTTACACTGATAATTGGACTCTGTTTAACACAAAGTGTTTGACGAACATCCTCTTTCTTAAAGGTGGCGACGGTGCATTTAATTCAAAATTGAGTTCCACCCTTTGTCGTTGATACGATTTACACAAAACGCATCTAAACCTCCTTAAAAATAGTTTTCTCTTCGTCACAAATTCCTTTGCCCACCGATCTGTCTGGAGGACCGTTTAGAACGAAATCCACCGTCCAGACAGTCTAGACGTTCAACAATAAGGGTTTAAACGTATCAGAATTAACTTCCGGGCGTGTCGTGTTATTTCACCGTTCCGGTAAACAATCGAGATCGAAGTTCCCGAATGTAGGGGTAGGGGAGTACGATCAGGATGCTGGGGTAGCTCGAAAGCCATAGATAGATCCAGAAGAGGCGTGACGTGTTCGGCGGTCGGACTCGAGGCTCGATCCAAAGTAGAACACCACGTCGACCCAATTGGAGGTCGTAGCCCCAATTTTCGTCGAGTTTCCTAGAGTGGAGGGGTGGCGGGTTCGCCGGCGGAACGGCAGGGTATCCATGACGACGTGACGTCGTGATGACGTCATCGACTAAGCGCAACGACCCGACCGTACGTTTTCACATCGCGACCCGACCGGGGGGCTGAATGGAATGGTGCAATGGATTTTCGATTATCCCCGTCCCCGATTGATTCCGTTGCGTTGGCTGGTTCTCACTGGATCGACGCACGGTTTATTCACGGGCTGCGTCCACGCACTCGACCCGCCGAAACTTTCCCGAAAAAACTATCGCGCGTAAACACCGGACAAGCAATTTTTTTTCGCGCCAGTGCCCCTTTACGCGATAAAAGAGTGGCGCAAATTTAAACGGTTGGAACACCGTCGAGGGTCGACACAGGCGCCCCACGTTGCGTGAGTGAGTGCGTGCGTGCGCACGGAAGTCGAGACAAGCTCCGTTCGAGTTTATTCAATCGCAAGCTCGGAATTAGAGCGCGTTGTCGGCGGCCTTCTCAATGACGTAGATGACGTCACTGGTTTGAAAGGAAAACTAGGTCAAAAGAACAGAGAAAAAGGTGGTCGAGACGAGCGATCGTCGGCCTAGCAGCGAACCCGGGATGGGATCGGTGTTGGGGTAGGTCTGGGCAGCCATTTTGATCGAAAGTATAAAAATTGGAGAATACGATCGTAGAACGAGTAGTGAACAGTGAATGGGAATAGATTTTTGAAGGGTAGAACGCTCGATCGGAATTGGACGACGCGTCGTCCCGAATACCGTCTGCGAGGAAGAAACGTATCGGCATCGATCGACACAGTTCGACACGATCCTTGAATGAACTATGGTATTTCATGGGGTTGGCTCGAACGTCGGCTCGATCTGGGTCAAAGAAGGGTCATGAATGGCGTCGCTTGCCTCGACGTGACGTCACGGGGTGTCACGTGCAAACCCCTGCAAGTGGGTCACTCGTTGATTCTGTCATGGTCGTATCTATAAAGGGACCAGCGACGTCCTTCCCGTTTCACGTTTTTTCGTGGATCGTGTTCCGGTACGAATGCGCCGCATGGTCCGCTCGAGGCCGTCCCCCGTGTCCTCAGCCACCAGATTTCCGGCCAGGGATCGATTTTTCAAAGTTTTCCTTCGCTTTTTTTAAGGATCGTCAAGGAAGGTAGTAAAAGTCGAGTAATTATTTCAATGAAAAACGTTTATTTGAGACGTAAACTACGAGTATCGACATAGGTAATACTTAATACAAAACATTCAGTCCTGAGATTTTTGTTTTTCTCGCATTCCCTCGCATTCTCACGAACATTTGCGCTAAAGCGCGTACGAATTCGTAGAAATACCTATTTGACGTCTCGCAAGATATTGTACAGAATGTTTATTTGTGACAAATGCTTCGCGACATACCGTGCAATCACGCGGCAGGTATTTCCAAGGCACTGGAAGATCGCGTTACATGTATAAGTACGTATCGTGCGTGATGCGTTATGTTTGTTTTACTTTTTTGATAAATGAGAACAATACTCTCGACGATAGATTAATAAGAAAAATTTTCTATGTCACGGTGGATTCGATTCGTCGCGACCTCACGACGCGATGTCCTAACTGCTTTATCTTTTGCACACTTGCCGAGAAATTCGAGCAACGAAAACGAGGCACGATCTACTTCCTTTGCGTTTCGTGGACTCGCATGGATTTTCGTAAGAAAATTCAGATTTGCGTCGAGAGGCTGCGTCGATCGAAGGACGCGTTACAATCTTCGAATCGTGATATGTTTTAATAGTATCCTTAACGAGCAAATTATTCTATTCTACGTGGAACGTGCACGAACGTTGCATCGTACGGTCGGCGAAAAATTTTTATGCTCGTGGAAGACACGTATTGTGCAACGGATTCGAAACGTCCACGGTAATTGACTCGTATACCGCGCGAATAACCGATCACGGTTATCTCGAGATGAAATTTTTTTTCGTGAAAAAAAATTTTGCCGAGGGAAGAACGAGAAAATTTGCTTTCACGCTGCGACTCGAGAAAGAAAGTCCATACATGAGAAAGATCGTATAATTGGTCTTATCGACGATTCACCCATTCTAATCGGGTTCCTTCGCCATCCCCTTCTTCATCTAATTCATTTGTACTTGCGATCGAAAGGGACTGCGAAGTATAATTGCACCGTAGTCGTCGACCACGCGCGTAGGTATTTAGTATCGCTAGTGTACATGTTATCGGTGGGTGTGCTAACCGTTCCTACAAAAAGGTACATATACACCTGAATGACTATAGTATCTACGGTTGATCTATCTCGTTTACGAGTAGTAGTAGCCTATCGTTAACGCAACGTTCGCGTTTCATTCTTCCCTCGCTTACCGAGGAACACGCCTGACACCAACGAAACGGAGCGACGTCGTTAGCCCAAACGATTTACTAATTCGGATTCTTTTCGACTAATATTAATTCTCTCGTTAGTGCCATTTCTATTGTATACACGCATACCGATTGATCCACTCGTTTGGTCGAGGCTTCGAGTCGTTTGCGTACGAAACCGGGAAATTGTAAATGTTGGGATGCAAGGCGAGTGGATCGCACGATGGAAAAAGTTTTTAGGACGAAAAGGGGGATTTTTGTTCGGTCGTTGACGCGAACCACGAGGAAATAATGGAACGGAACACGATGGCGGAAAATGACATCGAACGGAAGAAAGCTGATCGATAGCAAAGGGTCCTATTTAAATGTAGCGGCTAACCGAGATCTCTATCGATAGAGGCCGACGTAGTCTTGGCTGGAATAAGGGACCGCCAATTGTTGACCTACGTTCCTTGGAACCCTCTGGGTTGCCAGGCCGGAAAGTCCGCGAACGTACGTGTAGGAGACTGGGCTGCGTAAGATTTTCTTGGGGCTCTTCTTCGCGCGCTTGTTCTCCTTACCCTCCCACTTGGAGGTTATCTTGAACGTTCGGAACGCTCTGCGTAGGGTGTCGGCGGTGAAGGACTTCTTGAGGGATTCGCTGTCGCTGCTGCTTTGAGCGTCCGATGGGCTGGGGCAGTATGAGTGCGACTCGTTGGTCCTCAGGTTGCCTCTGACGTCCCCGGGGCTCCAAGAGGAGGACGACTTGGCTCGAACGCGTTCAGAGCTCCTCTGAACGCTGGACACTCGTTCCTGGGAGTGAGCCGGTCGTCCCCAGAGTCTGTCCAGGTAGCAATGCGTCCTGGAGAACCTTGTGGCGCGGCAGAGGCGTTCGCCGCTTCCGCGACGCGACAGCTTTTCGGCGCTTCCGGCGCTGCTGCATCCGCTGTCCGTGCTGCACTCGTCGTCCCCGAACTCCTGGCGTCGTCTCGACGACTCCACGCCGCCGGCTGAGCCGTTTCTGCGTTTCGATTCGCCCTTCTGGCTGGAATTGTCTCGACGACGATCCTCCGCGGGGTCGGTGAGCTTTGCGGTGTCCTCCATCGTGGACGGACCGGTGATCAGTTTTTCTGGCTTACGGAGCAAGTAACTGCACACAGATCTCACCAATTCGTACGGTAACTTTTTAAAAGTCACGGAATCGGTCAAGTTTCTTTGACGTTCGAAGTGGTTCAGAGTGCACGCGGAAAAGACGCGCGCACACGCGAGTTTGTTATCCCGTAAGATTCGAGGATTTGCTCATTGCGTTCACACTTGTTAAGTCTTCTGTTTTTTTGTTTTGGTAAGGATCGTTTGCGTTTTGCCCTCTTTCCCTTTGGGTTCGAGTTTCACTTGTTCGAGATCTTCGAGTACCTTGACTCGTCGATGACAGTCGTGTTCTCGAGAATGAGGAACGTTAACACGCGTTTAGTGGTTGCTTGTATGCCGCGAGTATTTGGCACGTTCACGAGGGCTGACTGAGAGCCGGAGATTCGTGGTCATCTCTTATATAGTGTCGCGGCACGGTGGAGGGTGCGCGCATGTCCTCTCCTCCAAGCGAGGGTACGATTCGCCGCCGCGGGGACGCGGTATCGCGACGAATGCGTTTTCGCACGGCACAACCGACCGTGACTAATCGCTATACGAAATTGAACCATCGATACGTACGTGTACGACTCTATGTATAGCGGGGACTCGGGGACGACCGTCCCTGGGCGGTCGGATTCAGGGGTTAGAATTTTTTAAAGGTTACCTCGATGTTCGTCAACGATTGCATCGCTAACTTGCAAATAATATTTTATTATGGTTCGTATAAAAGTAGGTAACTCGGCGATGGAGTAATATAGGATCAACCTGTTTCAAAAATGCATTTTGTGGATGAAAAAACCGGATTTCATATCGTGGACATCGATCAGAGCCGACCTTTATTACTTCGTGCTGTGCATACACAGTTACTTCCACTCGTACTCGTACACTATAATGGTGATTCGATATAAATGAAAAAACGAGTTTATTTACAAAATTGAGGTTCGTTCAGTATTTTTTACTTTCACGAACCTAACAGAGGTAAGAGACGACGATTCTTGGAATAGTATACCTTCCTCCATAATGTTCGCAAATATTAACGAGGGAATTTTTCCTTTTCTTTGCAAAAATATAACATTATAGGGTCAGAAATTCAAGTTACTTTTATTTAAAGCTTTCCAGGTGTTTGAAAATCTCATCAATATTTATGAAATGTCAATTCAGGACATTGAATCGAAAGGTTTATTTTAGTTTGATAGCTGTCGTTGTATCAAAGCATTGCAAGCTGAAATAGGAGTCGACGATTCCCAGAATAGTGTCCCTCGATAACATTCTGCATTCTGCTGGCGAACGTTATCGAGGGACCACTATATTTCGATAACCGCTTGGAAAAACACCGCGTATTGTTGATTGGTATACCTCTCCATCGATCTTGTAATTACATTTTTTTTAAACTATTTTGTAAATAGTAGTGCAATAAACAACAATTGGTAAAAACAAACAAGTTTCTTTCCATTTATAGCGAATCACCATCATAGCATATGCGAATCGTATGTCTTGTTCGTTCTTCGAGTATTTAATATTTTTTTTTTTACGCGTTTGTGGCAATTTATTTCGATCAATTTCATTTAGACGTACCGGGGTGGTATTCGCGCATCTTCGTACCTTGGATTTCGTCTCGTTTACACCTTGGACAGCGTTTCGGTATCGCGATGGCGCGGTACCGCGTCAGCGAAACGTGGACAAAGTACCAAACCGTCGACGCTTTTGTTGACGATCGACACGTCAAACGCAATCTGTGAAACGAATTCGTTATATTTAACGATGCTGCGATGTAACGGACCACGGTTGAGAGGGTGGCGCGAGAGTGGGCGAGGAGACAGTGGCCGAGGCCGATAACGGGAGTAGGAGGAGCTGGTATTCTATCGTCTCTCTGAGCAGAGAAACCGAGGGCGGTGAACCCGACGCGACGATCGATGCAAAGGGGTGGATGTACCCACCAAGCTGATCGTGTCGGTGCCAACGTTGGATGCACCAGAGTAATCAATAATTTCGTAATCGCCATAGTCAAGTATGGTAAAACTTTGCTAAACCGGATATCGAGCGATCCGATGGAGTTTATAATTCGACTCCGCCGAGGACTTCCGGTATCTCGATCAATTTCACGCGCCTCTGCGTTGTTTACATTTTCGTTTCCTCGATTATTTTATCGACTCGTAAATACAGAGTTATGGGTTACGTTAACCCCTTCCCGTACTTTAACGAGTCTGACCTGTGATGAAGATTTTGACCCAAACATGACTACCACGAGCCAGACTTGCGGACAACAAATCACGATCGTGATTGAGTTTTAGTTCCTATCAGTTGACGTCTACCGTTTGGTCCCGGATTTCGTCCAGCTAAATGGCACGGAAAGGGGTTAAGGTAGTGTTTTATAAACTAAAGTAAGTTACTTGACGATCGAAACTATAAACTTATCGTTGAAACATCTATTCTTAAGCGATGCAATTTGACTTGGTCACGATAACACAGTGTTGATCTATCGAGGCTGTAAACAAAACACGACGCTGGTTTGCGTAATCATATATTATTTCTGTCCGTCCCATTCGGTTTACGGGCATAACAGACGATTTCAAAGTTTAGGTAACGAATTATAACATTTGTCCGATACTGGGTGACGTCCAGGACTGGGAAAACTATATCTGTACATTTTACTCCCTCTATTAAGAATTTATCTAATTCAAGACTGTTACCATTTAACGCGTTTGCTACAACGCGTCACGTATCTGTTACGAGCTAATTCTCGGGACGATCAGCGTCACATATAGTTCCGTTTGTATTTATACTGTCGCTAATAAACATTAGGACACTTGGACGACGCGTTGTCGATTCCTGGATTATGATAACTTCGCGAAGACAAATGCAATAATTTTCCTGAGGATCGTTTTAAACGTTGAAACTTCTACTTTCGCATCCACGAGTTGAATTTCCACGAAGATTCTTTTACTCTAAATAGAGAGCGAGAAACAAAATATTTTTTAAATACAAATGATCCCCAAAAAAAATGAAAAAATTCTAAAGCCTCTTCTTTGCAACGATCTCTTCGATAGATCATGTATATTTATTTTAGGTATTCTATTCCACTTTGAACGAGGTGTATTTGTTAATATTGCAATAATAAATGGTTATGATTGTTAGAGCATGCTTGTTATATTCGTACAAAATGAGACATTTATGAGTTAGAATCATTTCTCCCTTGTAATAAAAAATACTCGATATTGATTAAAGTTTTATAATAAATTTTCATCGTTTGTTCCAATGGGGCCCTCATTCAACGTGGAATAAAATTGTACGTCTCGTGGTCAAGAGTAGAGTTTAATCTTTGAATTCATGGTGGTTTTTAGACGCGTAAATTTTTTAATCTTGACTCTTGTGTTCGCTTCGTAAAAAGATCGACGAAATCGAACTTGGATTTAGAGGCTGTGAAAGTAGAGATTTCGACCTTAAAAATAACCACAAGAAGATTACTATACAATATTACAAAAAAATTATGTATTCTAATACAGATCACCGCAAACTCTCAACAGGTAAATAACAAATTGTACCTGTAATCGTGTAAATTACTTCCTTATAGACAGATGGCAGCCCTATTGTCTTTTGAGCTTCGATCGAAAATCCACCGTTAAAAGGGAAATATTGTTTTTTATGTGAATCTATTTGGAAGGAAAATAAATAAATGCTTAAAGAATGGATGGCTCATAAAAAGTGACAAAATTCGATATTTTGAGAATTCGAGAATTCCACTTCCAGAAAACAGAAATAAATATAGACATACTTAAAGATTTGATGATTATTCAATGGTTGTCGATTAATAACAAAATTTGAATAATAGATTTTGTTCACACCAATCTGTATTCGTCACTGTTAGTATGTAAGTTAGTCAATAAAGAGGTCACAAAATCGAATACTTTTTTCCTTCCACTATAAATAGTCAGATAACTCTTCAGAACTAATTTAATTAAAAAACTAGAAACTTCGATAAACACAAGATTACATACTTTACTTAGATATCATTTTAGATAAGTAATTCTTAATTTTAAGCGATATTCTTATGGCGTCCAATAATAGGAGGCCAATAATCTACCCCACAAAGCTCAACTAACTTTGATTGCATCCAACAAGTTAACGATTCATTTCTGACGAGCAAGGCCTTCGAGTTTGGACCAATATGGCGCCAGAACGCAACGAGCCACGAATCCATGAATCTCATTCGAGATCGTTTTCTGAAACCATGAGGGCATCGTTGAGGTTTTCCCCACCCTGACGTATCAAATTGGAAATTAACGGGAGCCGGATGGAACTGATAATGAAAAGCGTATCTCATCTATTGCTCATCCCTTTACTACAGCGACGTACCCGACTGCGAGGACATTGCATTTACCTTTACGTAATGATTCGGTATTGTTGTCGCTCGTTGCATAATTAACTTGTCGTTCGTAAAAACAAAAGCTCTCGCGGTGCGCGGCACAGCTGCAAGCGTTCGCGTCACCCTCGAGTATCGAGTCACCGACGAATTTTAATACGTTTTTAGTCCGCGTACTCGTATCCATTCGGCCGTGAATCCGTTGGATTCCCCCGCTGGCAGATCGCGGGATTCGTAAACATTTTGTGAATACTTGATAACGATACGGAAATGCAAAACGACCAATGGGAAACCTGCTACGGATCGGGAGCGTTCATTGTTCCCTGCCATCCGCTAGAAGGATCAACCGACAAAAGACTTCTAGTTTTGTTACGCAATTACAGCGCTCTGTCGTTCTTACGATGACGCAGAAGTCCCTGCCCCTCCCGATCTGTCCCTTTGCGCGAAAATTCAACTGGGAGGCATAATGAATGGTACGATTCATTAAAACGTATCGCCGTAGCGTTGGCGTACCACCAGGCGTACGAGACTTAAGTAAGTTCGAAGCGAGGAAACGGTCACAGTCCTCGCACAAACGTTTCACGCGCATAATTCAAACCCAAGACGAACTTGCGTCTTGCAATCGTACTTGAAGCATAGTATTTGCTCGTTAACGATTTGAACTTAAATCAGATTAATTAAATATCTGCAATTTGAATGGTACGAAGGAATACTTTGCAAAATGAATGAAGTGATAGATATACGAATACCAGTTTGATTCGAGAAAAAGCATCTTCATGTATCTTTTCATGGTCAGGGAGTTTCGTTAGAAACTGTTTCTGAAGAGTGAATTTATGAAAATTGAAAATTTCGGCTGTTTGTTTGAATTTGACTTTTTGGAAGATGATTCATCGATCGATTTGATATGAACAGGATTGAGATAGTTTTCTGTACTGATATTGTCAACCAGTTTCAGACACTGGAGGATGCTAGTTATAAATGTAGACCTTAAAACCTGAACAAATATAATAAGTTGACTAGAGGATGGTGATTAAAACAGTAACAATTACACATATGTGACAACAAATTTCAAAGTGTTAAGTACATGTGAAATAAAATGGTCTAACATTTCTATATTAATAATTAATAAGTGCATCTAAAATTGAAAAGAATCTGAATTTAAAAAGAATATTCTATCGTAGATGGTACAAAGTAGAAATATCGAAGTAGAATAGAAAAGGAGATCGCATCGTAAAGCATATACAAAAAGGAAGATGAGAATACGCTTAAGGATACGTATATGTTAATTTGTACTTTTAGAATAATCACACGTATTCAAATAGGTATGAAGAACGGAACAGGACACGAAATCATATAACTGGCTATTAAGCACGGGGGCGAAAGCACGTTGATAATGCGTCATTACTTAATTAGTAATAAAATAATTGATTGGATTACAGACAGTCTATATTTAAATATTTTGCTTGTAAGCTTTACGAAGGCGTCGTTCAGTTAGGAATAGCAAATCCTTTTTATTTGCAATAGGATCGTGATCCAAAGCAAGCATCTTTCATAGTGTATCACTGACTATCGTATAAAGATTCTCTTACATTCAATACTTTCAATAGTATTTTAGATTTTGACAAAAATTTAATTCTATGCCTGACAGCTTGTAAGAAGTTATGTACCAGAAGAAGGAGATTTCCTCAAAATATTAATCTCGTAATTATTAATTATCGCTAGTCCTGAACACTTTTGTCTTGAGCAAACGTTATCCTTACGTAAATTTTGAATTACTATTAGTAGCTAACGGCAGTATTGCAATTAACTCTTCCGCATACTTGTTGTCGCTAAGGTTCGTGCATAATATGTAATTATAGATATACCAATTGGTCAAACTTTGTTATGATACGTGTTGCATATCGTCTACCAGAAATACTCGAAAGCCACATTCACTATTGGAACGGCATTTTTAATATGTACACGCCCGCGTGTGATTGTGTATAATTAAATGTAGTAGATTCATTGTTGCGTTAGATTAAGAATGCGTATGTTCAGATTAGCAAATACAGAAGAAACATTACCAAAAGACGAGTATCTTTTCGAGAAAAAAAATAATAAGTTTAATAGGAAAATAATTTCTATCTTTTTTTTAAGAAAAATACGTATCGATAAGTTTTTTTCGTTACTTATTGGTAGAAGGCTGTTTATAGTTGAGGTTCGATAATTGTTATCGATAAAAATAAATTGTAGAGAAATAATTGTATTATATCTTTGCTGAAGTACAAAGGAAAAAGTGGAAATTAGTATCCTATAATGGTCATCATCCTCAGTTATCGAGGCAGAAAAGCGATTTTTTAAACTATTTTCTTCGATCTCGATACAGGAATGATTCGTAAAATAAATCACAGACGTAGATTCGCAAGTTGAATGTTTCTATCCGTCGAATTTCGCTCCAGCTCTATGAAAGATGAACGTGCCAAGAAGTGACCGTTCATATTACGAATCATTACCATAGTTACAGCTTCTTTCGACTGTGGAATTGATTTAGAACCCTCGTGAACACTTTTCCTTGGAGATATCCTCATAGAAAAGAATCATGCTTGTTGCACCATTATCCACAGTTCGCTTTTATTAATTTTTCAACAAGTGAAAAGCAAAATTAAATAATACGAAAATAAACACAAAATAGACAAACTCTAAAAAGTGGAGTCTGTAGGTAATTTTCCTCCTCGAAGGCGTCGTCTCGATCCTCAACCGTACTTTCGCGCCCCACGATCTATATACACGTTCATTTTGTACACAGAGCGAATTATGAATATAACTGTATTTTACAATGTTATGAATAGAATATAATCCGCGCTCACGTAATCGGATTTATAGAGTAACGACGAATCGCGTAACGAGCTTTCCGCGATTCTCATTAACGAAAGAGTAAGCAAACAATCGTCGCCGATCGGATACCTACAATCGAAGGAGGTTTTGTAGAGGATATCGAAGAAAAAAAAAGCCAGAAAAGAGATGAGAAAGTTTTTTGCCTTTAAGCGGTTTTATTGACGCCGAATCTACAAGTACAGAACATTGATGGAAAGTCGGAGATTAACGATACGTCGCAGAAAAAAGTACAGACACGCGATTAATGATTTTTCGTGATTAGAAAATGAGTCGATCGGTTGGGTGGTTCGGTTACGGCCGTACGATCGATGGATCGTTCGGCGCGTCCTTGTGGGTGTTTAGTAGACAATGTTCTTGTAGATGAGGGGTGGTACGTATCCGGTGAGGGGAAGCGGTGCCGGGTAATTGGTGTAGACGAGCGGTGTGCCGATGTTGGAGAGGAGAGTCGGTCCCAAAGGAGCGATCAACGGGCCCCCAATCAGGGCCGAACTGCTCGGAGCCGGTGCAGGGGCTGGAATCGGCGCTGGAGCTGGCGCCGGATTCGGGACTGGCGATGGGGCAGCGGCCGCGACCGCCAACAATCCGGCGAACAACAACTGTAGTGGCCAAAAAAAAAATATTTCGATTAGTTTTCCATCCTCCAACGTCCACCGCTCTCGGAGTCAACGTCGACGTTACGAATTCTTGCACTCACCGTTTTGAACATGTCGGCTACGTGGAACGAACGGATGCACTAGGAGCAAGTCGAAACGAATATACTTGAAATCCCGAGGAATCAGCGTTTATATAGGTGAAACCGCGACAAAGATTCTCATCTCTCTGCATCCCCCTTCCCTTTTCCAGTCGATCGTTCTTTTTACCCGTTTTCATCGTTCCGCGAAGGGCAACAGCCCAAGTCTTCGAGCAACCCGCGAACGAGATGCTTCCTTCTTGTTGGTCGTGGGAATGTTTTTTTTCTTTTTCCACCGACCGGTCGACCAATCGACGTCTCCCTTCTCGGGAAAGGTTTTTGCCGCGCGACCAGGCGAACTACCAGCGAATCGCGGATATCTTCAAGGTCGCGGCGTCAGGCGTGGTCCAACAATGCGCGAGTATTTTCATTTTTTTCCCCCGAATCACCCGGGTTTCTCGAGCGATTTTTATTCCGCAAACCGCAAACAGGTTTTCTCTTTTTCTCGACGGTTCCCCCTCCCCGACGGCCTTGCGACCTTCGAGAAAAATTCGAACTCGTTTGATGGCTTTCCGCGGGACGTATCGCCATTTTAGGGCACGATCTCGTCGCATCCTTTGTCGGTCCGCGCGAAATTATAGATATCTTTTTGCCGTCACGAGACGACGGACGAATTCTCGATAGATATTTAATTTATATTCGATCAAGGGTGCGGTGACAGAGATACGAGGTGCATACACCCATGGAAGGGCAAACGCCGAGTTCCCTCGATCCGGACTCGACGAACTTGAACTTGAGAAAAAACCAGGTGCTTTGCCTTGAAGCGTAGCCTTGTGGAAGAGGAGAGAAAGAGAAGGCGGAGAATGTGTTCGAATAACCGGGCGTCTCGGTAGCGAGAGGCGGAAAAGTGTCGATCGAAATCGGATCTGAAAAAAGGAAGAACAACGCGGACGAGGAACGATCGGTAAACGAACGGACGTTCCTTCGTTCCTCGCGGGAAGATGAGTCGAGAGAGAGGAGGTGAGAGTAGATGAAAGGTAGCGAAAAGTAGATTAAAGGTATTTGCAGGTAGATCGGATTGTGTGGGAAGCGAAACGATCCGCGTAATCGGGCAGTCGGCTGGCGTTATAACCTTGTTATGCGTTCCAGCCGGACGGGCACGTAGTCGAGGGGGTTATACAATTTCTCGACATGCTTGCTTACATAATTCCGCCATACTCGTGGAAGCGTCCGGCTTGTGTCTCTCTTCCGATCAAGGTCACCGAAATCGATCGATCCGTTCGAATCGAAACCCACGAAACGCGAGCGGGATTGAAAATAAGCTCGACAAGTAGGAGAGCGCGAAAACGCGTCGCGAGCGGCATATCAATGCGAGCGTAATGAAACGTAATCGATACGAGTGCGAGCGTACAGCGCAAAGGCCGTGGCTTTCGCAAGTTATTCGGCTTTTCGTAAGCCACCGGGGGGCCGAAGAGCGGTGGACATCGGTATAAAGTGTGGACGCGTGGACGTTTCTGCACTCGTCCCAGAGATACCGAATCGATCGCATCAAATTCGACATGTTCAAGTTAGCGGTAAGTGGAACCACAGATACTTCGAACCAGGACTTCCGGTTTTGTTTGGTCATAGCATGTGGCTACTGTCTTCGAGTATTAGAACTTTGGTGTTTTCCGGGAGTTCACCTGTAATTTTTTTCTAATTTTTCCCTTTCCTTTTCAGTGCATCGTCCTCTCGCTGGCAGCAATGGCGTCTGCTGGCTTCGTACCGGCCGCCCCTCTGGTCGCTGCCCCCGCGGCGGTCGCAGCAGCTCCGCTAGCAGCTCTTCCAGCGCCCATCGTGACTGCCAGAAGTAGCCAAGTCGTCGCTAGGAACTACAACACGTTTGCGGCTGCACCTCTTGCAGCTGCACCTCTAGCAGCCGTGCACGCCGCAGTGCCTGCAGCGGTACCAGCAGCCTCACCGTTTGCCTTTGCTGCGCATGCTGCACCCCTGTCGTACGCTCATCTCGCCTACGCAGCTCCATACGCCGCTCCATACGCATTGCCTTGAACACGATTCTTCACCCGACCCTCAAACTACCTTCTTTGTTTAATAGAATAAACCGCAAATCTTAACAAAATCAACATTTATGTTTTGTGCTCGTCGCAGATCCAACCCTCGATTCCTCCAACGAAACGGTTCCAAGATTGTCCCCAGGAATCCTCCTCGGGCGACAAAGTTGTTTTTAAGAGATTCAGTGGCTGTGTTTGTTGCTTCGTTGTACAGTGATTTCTCGTTAATGTTCGCTGGTTCGAGATATACTATTCTGGGAGTCGACAATTCTTATTTTAGATTTCGATGCTTCGATGACAGCAATCAGACTGAAATAAACCTTTTGATTCAATGTTCTGAATTGATACTCCTTAAATATTGATAAGATTTTTGAATGCCTGGAAAGCTTCAAATGAGAATAACTCGAGTTCTGACGCTGTAATGTTATATTTTTGCAAAAAAAGGACGTTGAAATCTAGCAATGTACAGTGATCCCTCGTTAATGTTCGCTGACTCGCGAACGTTATCGAGGGTGGTGTACTATTTTAGGAATAGTCAATTCTTATCTGTGTTAGGCTCGATCGCAAGTGAGAAACACTGAGAATGATTGGAATAGAGAGAATGTACGAAGTACGTATATAGTTTTTTTTTTATAAATTTAATATAGAAATATTTAATAATCAGATTTGCAATGTTTGCCTCATCGATGCAATTCCTGCAATTGGATGACTTCGCGAACAATATCGAGGGCAAAAATAGCGAATACTAACGAGGGACTACTGTACTATACAGAGTGTTCGACCATCCCTGGGAAAAATTTTATTCTAGAGACCAAAATAAGACGAAAATCAAGAATATCATTTTGTTGATTGAGACTTTGTTAAAAAGTTATTAAAAAATTGAATTTAAAACTTTCAAATCATTCACGGACAAATTATTTCCGGTTACGGGGATCAATTACAACCATTTTTGGTCAATAGACATATCCCCGAAATTCTACCTAATTTCGAGAAAAAAATTCGAGTAGGTGTGAAATTTTTCAACAAAATTAAAACATTTCATATCGTTCTAAAAAAATTATTTTTAGTTGCAAAGATCAATTACAATCATTTTTGGTGAATAGACACACTCCCGAAATCCTTCACACTTTCGAGAAAAAATTCAGAAAGGTGGACAGATTTTTCGAAAAAATGGAAAAATTTTAAATCGTCGTGGAAAAATTATTTTTGGTTGCGGGGGTTAATTACAATCATTTTTTGTGAATACACATACCCCCGAAATCCTACGGACTTCCGAGAAAAAAATTCTTTACCGAAAATATACTGTGTGGCCGGAAATGTTTTTATAACTTTTTAACGAAGCCTTAATCAACATATTAGTATCTTTGACTTTCGTCTTATTTTTGCCTCTAGAACCTCCCATTAAAATTGTTCCCAGAGGTGGCCAAACACCCCGTATAAAGACGTACTCAGGGTGAAATAAATGGGATACTAGCTATTTTAAATTCAGTTTTCTTTGGAAATGACTGAAAAAGAATAAGAATGCCATATTATTTATTTATATATCTACGGGCAAAAAAATTACCCTTTGGTACAAATAGAATATTAAGTGAGTTGATAGAGAGCTAACAGAATCAACAATTTCACACAGTTCTGTTCATCGTAGAGTGAAAATATATTTGATTTAAAGTTGTAAAATCTCCAGGACAAATTACAACATCATTTATAGCTTTGAAATATTGTAGTAAAAAAGAAGTAGTTATATACCAAATAAGTTTTAGTCTAGCATTTTTGCCCCTTCCTAGATATCATTCTGCCTACGCCCTTGTTCTCGACGATAACCAACGACGTCCGCGTTTCGAAGCCTGACGAAACGATTATAGCGTCGCGAACTCGTTTGTCTAGTGTTACATCAGAAGAAACTAGGAATTTTGACAGGCAACCGAAGGTCGTGAAGTCTGGGTAGTCGTTCCCGTTTGGAAATACTTCAAGACGATTCTAATTGTCAAGTATTGTTAATTTCGTTCAGAGTGCTCTGAGTCAGAAGATAAAGGATGTAATCAAAGATAATAATTGCGAGCCCCTAAACTATGTTTTCCCCTATGATGTCTCTCTTTCTGGATTTTCCTCATTTATAAATATGTAATAATGAACTTTTTCCTTCTCCAAATTGCAAAAATCTTAAACTAGGCTCGATTCGAACCTAATCAGTTAAAATAGACAAATGAACAAAGTCTATGAAGACATCATTGACAACTTCATCAAAATATCAGCAATCTAACAGTTAACAAACTCGACGTTTATACGTGGATACATCCAATAAAAGAAGTTACAACACCTACATCTAATATATTTATCATTTTTTAGGATTCTGCCAATTTTCGATCTTTGATGCGGCGGAAATTCGTCGAAGATGCAATGATGGCGAAAAGAACACTACAGGCGAAAGTCTCGTCGACGCGCTAAAATGTGAAGCAAGTTGGCGAACGAGTCGCCGAACGACGCCTCGGAAGAATTCGAGTCACGCTCGATGAACGATCTTCGAAACTTACAATGTCACAATCGTCGTTGTCGACGTAAAATGTATGCCCGCGTTTCGTATTTAGAACGTGAACGAGCCGCGCCCGAGCATGTATCACTCGTTCACGTTAAAACACGAATGACATGGCCGTTTGACGGATTACATCAACCATGGATCGTAATTAATTCGAGACGATTCTGATTTCTCAGTGAAATTATTTATCCTCCAAAAAAAAAATAACAATTGATCTATTCAGAACTGCATCTGGAGTTGCATCAGAATTAAAAAACAGTGACCATTCGTAACATAGGGAGGAGAGGGTGGGGGAGTAGGATCATATGTGACGCAACGTTGTTTGTGAAATTTTTTTCAATTTTTGAATATTTAATTTCCAATTTTCAATAATTCGAGATGAGATAAATATATAATACGGTTGCAGAATCATGTTCGATATGGTTGCAATTGTTTTTTATTTAGTTTGTTTGCAGAAGCTGTTGATCTACACGCGAAATTTTATTTCTGCTAGGAACAGTATCGTAATGTTGAAATAACGTCAGATTAATGGCTGTGCAATGACAACCGAGTGGCCATTTTTGAAAAAAGTTTCCAACAGGAACGCACGACGCACAGCAGTCCATTCCATTGTCACTAAAATGGCGCCGTTATGCAAGCGCACAATGTGTCCGCTTTCCGTCTAAATGTCAGCATTATCAACCTATTGTACTTTAAAAATCCCCAGGTTTCTGTGACCCACCCTATATTAACGAGCAGTATCATTGTCTTACTCCCATTCACTATTTCCCTAAAAGTTCAACAAATGTCCACGTCATTTTTTTATCTAAATTTAAATTACATACTCTACGTATTATATCTTAGAACATTTAAAGAAGATAAAAAATTGATCCTAGATTTAAAGAATTTTGAATGAAAATTTATTTTAAATTTTGTTAGCAAACAGTAAGACGGCCTCCAATTATTTCCCAAGCCTAGGACCTCAAAATACTTTGATCCAACCCTGAAAGTAAGGTATTTTAAATAGAAATACCTTCCAAAAAAAGCAAATGGTATAAACGACTTTTTCGGTAGTTACGAACGTTCTTATACGGAATCGCGTCCATATAATAAAACGTACTACACAGTTCACTGGACATTTTTCACATACATGGTATTTATCCTTGAAAATGGCTACTAACGTATACGATACGTACGTATTTTATAAGCTGAAGAATGCGAAATACATATAGCGTACCACTTCTTGAAACGGAACTTGTTCGTAAACTGAGAGCTGCCTGCGATTTAAATTTTATTTATTCATTTCGTCAATTCGTCCCAGCGATAGCAGCGACCGTGGAATGCAAAGGGCAAAACTGTTCGCCAAACGAAATTTTAAATTTCCTCGTCAACTTGATCCTGAGCAGATCGATATATCAACGTTTCCAAATTTAAGCCACTTTGTACGGATCTGATAGAAAAATAAAGTAAAGGCGAAGTTTTCCAATCGATGGAATGGACATGGTGGTTTACAAATTGGTAGAATGTGGCATTTTTAGAGATTAAGCTCGAGAGTACGTGTAACTATTGACGCAGGCCCTAAAATACTTAAGCCTCGATTAGGCAATTTTAGTTTAAACCACTGTTTTTCACAGATTATGATCTAGAATGGGTTCCAAAAGAAAATTGTTCACCCTAATACTACAAAATCGTAACTTTCGATCATACATCAAAGTCGAGTAACTGCAAGTTTCATAGTAAAGTATAGCAACGAAATTTTTCGAGGAAAATGTTACATCGCGCCATTGTGTGACTCACAAGGGTTGCACCGGAAGTGGCTCCAGTTACAACGAAATTGTTATAGTATCGAAGTGAATTTTTAATTCACTTATGGCTTAATTAATTAAATCATATGTTTTATCAAAAATTTTTTAATTCAGGTTTACTTTAGATCGAGACACTATTCTTCTTATTGTATACTTGTGAATTTTCTTCAATGATATTCCTCAAAACATAATTGTTAGTTTTCCGGCCTTCCCCTTGATTTATTTTCTAGCGAAACGTCGCCAGCCTTGAATTTTGTAACGTTGAACCGGTCTAACATTCACGTAACCTTCAAACGCCAACTTTATACAGTGTCGGAACATAACTATAGCACTCCTATAATTTTGGAGAGTTTCAGAGTATTAATTAATGATATCTAAATATTAATAACATTACGCAAATCAGGCTAAACGGCATTTAATTACAAAATATAACAATGACATAAGTATTTTGCAGCGTAACTATAGCACCACCGACATTTTTAAGACTTTTTATATTTAAAAGAAAAATTCAAAGAGAGTATAACACAAAGAAACATTGTAAATAGTGAACTTTTACTGTTTTCCCAAGTTTGTACTCTCACGAAAAGATCATACGAATATTCTGATAGCATTCTTAACTAACGATGCAATTTTAACGTTTTTAGTATTTGTATTCGCGTATCCTGGTTATTCCTATCTTTTCCTCTGATCTATCCGCGATAGACCAACATCTTGAACTATAGATTCGACCATAGACCTACCGATGAAAGTGGCAAACGCGGGCGTGGCCTAAAACAAGCAGAAGTAATCCGGTATTCAGAAGCGTGTTCCTGTCGCATCGTGCCTTGAACCGTTGTTGCGTTGCCCCCCAGTGCTCGTAGTGGGAGTATATTTCTCGGGCGAAACCACCTATAAAAGAGGTCTAGTTAATCCTCATGGTATCACAGTTTCGATAGAGGTCCACTCGAACCACTTCCAAGACAACCACTAGCAAACATGTCTGTCGCCCAAATCTTGGTAAGTCGTTCGACAACTGGAAATCTCAGACGGACTACATCGATGTCGAACATAGACGGCTTTGTTCTGAGTAAAGGAGTATTTTTTTTTTTAACTCTATACTAATTTTGGACATTTTGTTTTTGATTTTAAGGTTCTTTTCGCCGGTTTGTTCGCCGCCTGCTCGGCCGGTTTGTTGCCAGCGGCGGTCCCAGCGGCGTACGCAGCGCCCATTCCAGCGGCGTACGCAGCGCCTATTCCAGCTGCTTTGACGGTGGGGACTTATGCGAGCAGCTACAACGCTCACGCTATTAATCATGCGTACGCTGCACCGTACTACGCCAGTCCCGTGGTCGCCCATGCTGCCCCCGTCGCCCATTACGCCTATTCGGGCCTTCCTGCCGCGGCACTCATCGCCGGCAGACGCTGAAACCTGTACCCATTCGCGAACAACCACCTCGAGGACGAACGTCGCGAAACATCCGGTTACGTTCGAACGTCGCAGCTGCAAAACAATCGACCAACCTTCGATACAATCTTTTCTTCTCCCGGAGAGCCTGGCCACCTTCTGCGAAACCGTCTGATGCACGATCGTCCCCCCGGTGTTTCCGGTTTCCATTCTCCGGCGTTCGATCCTACAAAATCGGCACTATTTTGGATCTTTATTTTACTGATGACAAAAACAAAATAAAACACGTCTAACCTGCAAACCTCTCTTTCGTTCGTGTATTTCTTTCACCCGCCATTTTGGAGAAAAATCATACTCTACTGATCTAATAGTTATATTAAATATAAAAGTCTAAAAGTTTAGTTATAAAATGTAAAACAAAAGTTTTACAGTGGTGTATCGTAAGTCTTTGTATACGAAAACTAAATTCGTGCAACTTAATTTTATCAGATGTTTCAAGAGTGTTTTTTAAAAAGTAAATTATGTATAATGAAAGTAGAGTTCTTGATGTTTGATTAGGTGCAAATCTTCTACAAAATTTGTATATAGACTATACTTAATTTTATTGGATGTTTCAATAGTGTTTTTTAAAAATTATAGTAAAATCCTGAATCTTTGAAATGGTTTGAGTTAGGTCAAATTTTTATTTGTTCATAGTGAAATGTTTTATTCTGCAATTTCAATTTGATTGTTGTTCCACAAGTAACATAACGAATTTTATTAGAATTTTGTGTGTAGATACTATCTCTGGTCGAAACGACGCGCGACCGTTTTATGGTATTATAGAAACGCGTGAAAAACGATATTTCATTCGCTGTAGAGACAGCGTGGAAAAGCGCAAAATAAAAAGCGTTTATTCGATGCTAAAACATTTCGCTCCATCCTTTGAACCGAAACGATTTCCAGTGGCAGTCGAGCGCGATTGATTAATCGTCGAAACAAAATATCCAAGGCAACCGAAGAACAAACGACGACTTGTTGATTGCCATTGCCGAGTTCGAGCCTTTTCGTTTTTGTACGTACGCTCGAGACGGACCCTCCATTTCGGAACTCTTGTATCCGATATAGGTAGAAATCAGTATTCAAGAATCGTATAAAATCGTTCGAAATCGAGTCATAAAAACGGTGGTCGGGATAAGAGAAGCTAAAGTAGAAAGTGCATCGAAAACCGTTGGCAGAATTTTGGGAAGTGTATCAGGAGGAGGGATACTGTTGGGAAAATGCGTGAAATCGCCCATTTGCAAGCTGGCCAATGCGGTAATCAAATAGGAGCAAAGGTATTGCGATCAGATTAATGATATTCAAAAATTTTCTAATAGCAATAAAGAAAATGGACTTCAGTTTTTCCAGATTGAATTTGCGAGAGCTAGTTTTCGTTCAAAATATATTGGGGGGCAAGAACCTTAAACATTTTTAAATATATTTAATAAATTTTGTATTCTTTTAAAATCAATATTTTGAAGTAATAGAAAGAGGTAGATAAATTTGATTCTAAAAATTTATACAATTGATACTTTGATACTTTGTAAAAACCATCTTATGATAAATACTTTCTTTTTAAATATATTATAAAGAAATGTTATGTTTTGCAAATATATTGATCGTATTTAGATACATATGGGAATGTATAATTACAACCACTTGTATTCGTACATTATAATTTTGATTTTTAAAATGAACTACCTCGTAAATAAAAGTGATACATTGTTGAAAATAAAAATGGAAACTTTCAAGTGGGAGTAACTGTACAATACCTCAACTTTTACAACACAAAATTAAATAAATCTGTGGTTTTTGCCATCCAACCATTTTCGTTCAACTTTAATCGTAATATGTGTTTGTTAATAGTTTTGGGAGGTGATCTCCGACGAGCACGGTATCGATCCCACTGGCACTTATCACGGTGACTCGGATCTTCAGCTGGAGCGCATAAATGTTTACTATAACGAAGCGTCAGGGGGAAAGTATGTTCCTAGAGCGATTCTGGTCGACCTCGAGCCCGGGACTATGGACGCGGTACGATCGGGACCGTTCGGTCAGATATTTCGGCCGGACAATTTTGTGTTTGGTCAAAGCGGCGCTGGGAACAATTGGGCCAAAGGTCACTACACAGAAGGTGCCGAACTTGTCGATTCCGTCCTCGACGTTGTACGCAAGGAAGCGGAAAGCTGCGACTGCCTACAGGGTTTCCAGCTAACTCACTCGCTCGGGGGTGGAACTGGCGCTGGGATGGGAACGTTGTTAATTTCGAAGATTCGCGAAGAATACCCGGACAGAATTATGATGACGTTCAGCGTGGTACCTTCGCCAAAGGTAATCAAGAAACGTCAACCCCTTTTTTTATTCGGGTTCAATTTCGTTTCACATCTTAATAACAATGTATCAAATTTTTAATTGTACATAGCGAGAAAGGTGTAAACGATATTGTGTAATATTTTGAATAGCGGGTCCTTGAAAAATTACACAGAACCAGGGAGTCATTTTCATAATTCACGTTCATAAATAGAGAAAATTTTTTTACTAATCCACGCGTTTATTGTAACCTCTGAAAAGAACTATTTAAAAATCGTGAAAATGTTTGGCATGGAAGTAGCTGAATTTATATAAATATATTATGCATTTTTTATCATAGATGAACCTCGTTACGGATGAAAAGGTCAGGTAATTTACAAAAAATAGCACGTTTTCTTGTTTTTCAGGTGTCTGATACCGTAGTGGAACCGTACAACTGCACTTTGTCGGTGCATCAGTTGGTGGAGAACACGGACGAATCTTATTGCATCGACAACGAGGCCCTTTACGATATTTGTTTCCGCACGTTAAAGTTAACAACGCCGACTTATGGCGATCTGAATCACTTGGTGAGCGCGACTCTCAGTGGCGTGACCACCTGTCTCAGATTCCCTGGCCAATTAAACGCCGATCTGCGCAAGCTCGCTGTAAATATGGTGCCCTTTCCTAGATTGCACTTTTTCATTCCCGGTTTCGCGCCGTTGACGTCCAGGTTTGTTATATAACGTTCATGTACAGCCAATTGATCACATACATAGGGGGAGTTCCCCTAGTATCGGACACTTAAGGTTTTTTTTTAAATCATTACAAAAATATAATATTTTATGCCTTCTATACTGTATTTTATAAATTTTCAGCAAAGATATTTTATGAGTTAATTGTGTAAATAATGAACGAAGAATAAGTTTAAAAATTTATTTTTTTTTTTTACTAATCTGCTTTAGTGTCACTTGTGTTAACAATAGTAATACATAATTAAGATAGAGGAACTATTTGTAAAATATACAGTAGAAGGGTCGGTTGTTCCAGTCGACGTCTCCATTGCATATCTCCATTCTGAAATATTTCATTCTGTAATCCAATATTTTATTTTTATTTAACAAGTGACCCATAGATAAAGAAATCCCAATTTTCCCTTTGTCACGTGTTTATAATTTTCGTGGAAACAGAGGTTCGCAGCAATATAGAGCTCTGACGGTTCCGGAGCTCACGCAGCAAATGTTCGACGCGAAAAACATGATGGCGGCCTGTGATCCACGTCACGGTCGTTACTTGACAGTGGCGGCCGTGTTTCGTGGGAGGATGTCTATGAAGGAAGTCGACGAACAGATGCTCAATATTCAAAACAAAAACAGCAGTTACTTCGTTGAATGGATACCCAGCAACGTTAAAACCGCCGTTTGTGATATCCCGCCTCGCGGATTGAAGATGTCGGCGACTTTCATTGGCAACTCGACAGCCATTCAGGTAAATCGACGCGGGGGCGAAAAATATGCGATACAAGGTTAGTTATACGCCGAAAACAGGGTGAAGCTTCGTTCTGATGAAAAAATAATATATCACATTAATAGTAACAATCATTGTATTATAATTACTATAATTATTTAATCCTTATTTAATATATGTCAATGTAATTATTAGAAAATTTATGTAATCCTCCATTAGTTCATCATTTTTTAAATGCTTTAAAGTCGATTTGCATTTACCAATTTGGTCAAAATCAACATTAAGTTAAATAATTCAGTTGAGATTGAGAGTTCACTTAAGGGTTAAACCGAACGTATTGCTACAACATTTAAATTAAAATATCTACTAAAACAAAGCTTTTTCGAAACATATATGATTCCATTTAAAAAATCTACATATAGAAATATTAATTACATTAAAAATAAATAATACGGTCGCCTCGAAACTATTCAAATTTTATCTGTAAAATGCAAGGCTGTTTCAATGCAACCAGCAGTTTCAAAAATATTTCAATTTGCACTTTCAGGCGACTTAATTCTGTATTTCATAAATGCCAACAAATACGTGTGAAATATTTTGGTAAAAAAAAAGTTGTGCAGTTACTCGACTTAAAAATACACGCTTAGAAGTAGAATGCTCCCTCGACGCTCATCGAATTCTACATCTAGCCGACCATATTGATTTCAGGAGCTGTTCAAGAGAGTTTCGGAGCAGTTCACCGCAATGTTCAGGCGGAAGGCTTTCCTGCATTGGTACACGGGAGAAGGTATGGACGAAATGGAGTTCACCGAGGCGGAGAGCAACATGAACGACTTGGTGTCCGAATACCAACAGTACGAAGAGGCCACCGCCGACGAGGAGGGCGGCGAATTCGACGAGGAAGAAGAGGGCGAGGGTGAAAATCAGTGAGACCGATTTCCACCGATGAGAATCACGCCTCGGATATCGTTGTTTTTGGAAACGGGCATCGCTTTCCGACTCCTCGTAACTCGTTGTATTCAGGATCGGTCGTTTTCTTTGTCCACCATTCACTTTTATTGATCGTGATTCATTCGCACAGACACACACGCACGCTACACATTTCCGATGTCCTATAACTGTCCACCCACCTGCTTAGCCATTCTATCAGCGTTATCGTACCGTTAAAAGCAGATTGCTTAAGTTCGTACTTTAATTCTTTGTTGTTTTCCTGGCGACCTCGTTGCCTCAATACACTACATATAAAATAAAGAAATGACTATTTTTATTTCAGCCTTCGCGAGGGTGAAACGAAATTACGTTTGCCGGGGTGCCTTTCTTCCGGCGATCCTTCTAATTTCATTTCGTCGGTACCGATCGATCGTACGAGTATAATACTCGAAAGGATCGTCGGAGGGAATCGACCTGGAACGTGTTATTCCCCTCCATCCGTTTATACTAGCGTTTCCCAAACGTATTAAATTCTTTCAAGGGGACGTTAACGTGACAATATTTAGGGGTGACAACCCTCACGTGGACCTTTGGGATGCCTGGGCATTTGTTTGTTTCTTTTAATAATCTGATAAGGGTCTCGAGAAAATATCGGAAAACTGCCTCGATTCAATCATAATATAGTTCAGGGAGTATTTCGAGCTCGTCGATTTTTAAAATAAAGAATTATTGTATTATTGTAGAGCAAGTATTTAAAAATTTATCTCGCGTATTTAGTCATTTTTCAAAGAAACAGTAACAGTCTTGAGTAAATCTTTATTATTACTCAAATTATTGCATGTTTCCTGCAGTCTATTGTTTTTAATGTTTGTCATGATATCTAAAGAATCGATGAATCTTTCCAAATTTGACACACATATTAAGTAGACGTCGACAAAATTTGTTTTCACTTTATTTTGGTTCAGACTACCATCTGTAGATGAATGTTTTTGAATTTCGACCACGACCACAGTATTCTAAAACAAGGACTGCATTAATTTTGCAACGTTCGTTCTCGATGAACCCAGTCGTATTTTCGTAAAATAAGAATCTTATAATCCTGTTCTACCACACACAAAAAAATTCGATCAAAAAGGTAGCGTCAAACCTCAGGATCTCTCGTAAGAACGTGGTTTCATTTTCATAACCTTTTCAACCTCTTAGAATGGTGGAAGATTTCGTAAAATAGCGTTAGATCGAGAAAGGTTGCGAAACATTGATTTAAAGGTACAAGTTTCGCGCCGTGAAACGGAACGTGCCGCGTATACTTTCTCGCGCGTGAGTTATTCTCACCTGAATATTCTTGCGTTGGCACACAACGCAGGTGAAGAACGATTCCCTGGCGTTCTCCAGCGGTCATGACCGTCGCGGGCCATCGAGCGTTTCGTCATCTCCCGTACTCGCCACCAGAGGGCCACGCTCTCGTCTCTCTCGCAAGCGCTCGACCAACTATCCAATGTCCCTTCGTTGAAGTCAGGGTCTGCTAGGAAGCCTTATTAATTAACGAGTCATATTTTCCCTTTCTGCCTTCCTATGATATTTCTCACCTTCCTCCGCTAACGAAGCAGCGCCAGAAGACGATATATCGGTATCGTTACGGTCGAGATGGTCAGCGATTCTTCGCTGGCACGTTCTACATTCGATCGGTCGAGGTCCCCGTCAGAGGTTAATCTGTTCTGTGGTCGACGGAGCGCGAACGGACAAGATCGCAGACACGCAGCACTGTGTATAATTACTGTGGAAAACGTAGGCTCCGGTTGCCGGTCGAGAGACTGCGCGAGATTTCTTCTAGCTGACGTACCCAACGCGTTCTCAAGGATTCCCAACGCGAGGAGAGGAAATTTCTCACAGTAAAAACGATACTTTATTATCGTCTATTTGTATCGCGTTGTTCGAGACTGTGCTCTTGTCCTCCTTAGGAGTCGTAGGTTCGCGTACGGTTAGCTACGACAAGGTCGTTCGCACGTATTGCAGCTTGGATGCAGCGCGTACTCCGTTAGACTAATCACACCTTCCCCCAAACATCGATGAAGCTGTAACCTTGCCGACGCGAGAAGAAACACAGTTTTTTCCCCCTGTTTCCGCCATTCTCTCGAGATCGGAAGGAACGAAGAAATCGCTAGAGAAAACCACATGGTCGAGGTAACGTTGAGAGGGAGTGGACCAGAGGAATATATAAAACGTCTACGAGGTACGAGATCGTCTAGTCGATTCTCTCGATAGTTTGCATCAGTCAAAATAGGAATTTATTAAGAAGCACGAACATGTACTGTAAACTGGTAAGTGAAACTACCCCCCTCCCATTTAAGATCTGAATTTCTTACGCGAGTTCATACGAAATACACGTTTGGCAGTTGGTGTTCCTTGCTGGATTAGCCTATGCTTCAGCTGGTGTTTACACAGGCTATGAGAATTATGGATATGGTGGCTACGGACTCAATCATGGTCTCGCGGTGGCTGCAGCACCCCGTGTTACGTTCGTTCAGCCAGCAGCTCCCGTCGCCACTAGCTATTCGAACGCTTATAAGGTGAGCTTTGTGTGATCGATAGACTGTGGATGTTTATTCATTTATTTTGATTCTCAAAAAACTACAGAATGCACGTAATATGCATTAATATAAAAAATATTTAAATCAAGATACGAATGATCATGTTTAGAGGTCGAAACAACTCTCTACAAAAGCTCTCATTTCACTCTATTAATAAGAATACAAATTTCCATAAAGGTCCTTAGTCTAGTGATCAAAGATGGCAGTGAACTTTTAACAACGATTTATTAACAATATATTTACAGCTGTACATGTATAAAATTAACAGTTTTACCTCATATCTGATATTTAAAAATTCCTGATTTGTGGCTCTTCATTATGGAACAGTATAGATGTAATATCTATTTTTCCTTTAAAGTTATCACAGTGTGATGAGGAAAAATATATATGTTCTATTGGAGGAATATCTCTTTCTTATTGTTAGAGGAAAAGTGTAGTGAAAATCTATTTTTGAAAATTGTACTTATTGAGTATAATAATTTCATTTAGTCTTGCTTTTATTTTTACTAGGTTGTACGGTTTATGGTATGTGTACTTGTATTTATATTTAACATTTAACACCTCCTACATTAGCTCCTACTTATGTGTTATTTTGATAAAATATTCGTAGACTTTGATACAGCAGTTTGTATTTTAGTTTGAATACTTTCTTATATTTTCTAGTGTCTTATTTTTATTATACAATTTCGATCTATAAAATTCTTGAGTTTTTTTATCTATTTAGTTTGATATCAGTGGAAGTTGTGAGTGTTCACGCAAGTCTGTTATTCTTGAGTACTTGCTTCTATTTAACATAAGTCTCAAACATTTATTTTGGATCAGCTGTTCGGTAAATATCAATTCTTTATTTTTGACTTGTACTGTTGAGTTTCTTTTTACCATAAGTGAGTATATTTTCCTCAGTGCTTGTGCAATGTGATTATTGTTAAGTATTTTAATACGTCACTATTCAAACAACATTAAAACGAATATTAAAAATAGCGTTCGAAAAGTCAAACACCCGAGCAGTATTCATATTCTCGACAAACGAATAATTCTCCGGAAAGTTCAAATATTTATGACTAATGAAATGAAACTTTTAATCGATTCATAAACTAATTTCCGGTTTACGTATCACTCTTAAATTAGAATCCATTACTGGATATTCTAACTCGACTTTCGAAGTCGTGGGCAAAAACTGATTATCGAACGAATCTAAACTTAGTTAGTATTCGTTCGACATGAATAACATTTGCTCCAACTCTGGTTCCAAACCTGATGCAAATTTAATATTATTAGCAACAGGATTATTGCAATTTGCAGGTTGCGTTGACACCTACGAGCAAAATTGCTGCGTTATCGCCGCCGATAAGCAAAGTGATCTATAGCGTACCATCGCCGATCTCGAAGATCGGTTACGTGCCCTCCAGCTACGTTGCTTACCCTCACGGTTATGGTTCTCTCCTATCGTACCCGGACTCTTTGGGATACGGATATAGATACAAAGACGCCTACGGGAACGGTTACGGATATGGATACGGAAATGGGTACGACATCGGTTATGCTAACACGCTTGGACACGGGATCTCCTCCGTTTACGACCATTGATCGAAATTTTTTAATTTGCTCACGACAAGAGTCTCTCGTGAGTTGTAGGGGAACTCTAAATAACGTGAGCAAAGTTTATTTTGTAAAATAAAAAATGTGATTTAAAATGTTTTTCTTTATGTATCGTAAATACCTTTATCCACGTACACTGGTGATGCACGTAGAATTATGGTAGTATGTGACGGTAATTGTGATCTTAGATTACAAATTATTATTTTGCAATTTTCATCGTATGTTTTTTGTGATATCGAAATTGTCTGTTAAAAATTCCACATTTTTTAAAAGTAGGAACTGTACTGTGATATTTAATATGGTTTTATATCCGTACCAAAAATTACTAAACGATAGAAAAAATGTATTTTTAATTAAATATCGATTGCCTTTTCACTTTGTCTCTGCGTGCCTCTCCAAAAAAGACCGAAATGTAGACTATTCTGAAAGTGTTTGAACGATGTATTCGAGTCACGATCGCCAAATGTGTGATGAAGTTCGAACGCGTGGAGGCGTAACGCAAAGACAGTCTTTTTTTGTAGGCCAAAAAGAAAAAGTTATCTAGACGAATACGAAACAGTTGAAAGAGAGGATCAAGGTTCAAATAGGCGTAGCACGTTCCATTTGATTCTTTCTTTCGCGACTGTTTGTTTACACCATCCATCATTGATCGTTTTTATTTTAAAATTTACCAAAAATTAAAAAAAAAACAATCATTGATCAATGTTCAAAGTGTCTTAAACATTTCAAAGCGTTGCAAAATGCTTTAAAAAATACCACGCGATAGAAAGGTGCGAAATATAATTTCCAATATAAAATGAAACCAAATAGTATTCGATGAAAATTAATTTTGATCAGTTTGGTATTGACAAATGAAGTTCCATCGTGACTTTATCGAATGAAACAAGAAGCGTGCAACGAATCGTCCAATTCAAGATCGTTTATAGATTCGAATTCGCCTTTGAGGAATTTGTTTCGCGAATGCAGAAGAAATTGTACGAAACGAATGAATCGTTCACCTTCTCGCGGTCGTTTCCGACTATGAGCGTATTGAAATCGTACAATCGCGATAGTCATCGGGCGTGGAGCAACATCATGTTGCGTATGAGAGAGAATCGCTGGAAACTGGCCAACGACTGGAGCTGTTGCGATTACGGTTGAGGACGCATAAATTTCAAATTTTATACACTTTCTTGCTCTGAATGCAACGAATAGTTTGTCACTCGCCATTCCGTGACAATAGAAATCTGATTTGAGTCCGATTTGAGCCTCGAAAGATACTGTTTTGAGTCTCAAATTCGAAGAAAAGCTCTAACAAGGGAAGCACCTCGATTTTGACGATTGGAACTAAATTATTGAATTAGAAAGTGCCAAAAGTAGAATGCTTATTAGAGAAAAAGCATAGTGATAAGCAAGATGTATTATAGCTTGATAAGATATACCATATAAATTATATAAATTCCTAGCAAAGTTAATAAGGATTCTATTATAAATTTTGCTATGCTTGTTTCTATCATTTCTGTATTCTATGTAAACCATTACATTTTTTAGAATTCATATGTCTTTAATAATCAGCAAAATATCTCTATTTTTATCGAATAATTTTATATCGTATTTCTTCTGCGATTAGTCTTCTTTAAAATTTTATATTGTCTATTATTACGCGCCAATATTGTCCAATCAATGTCTTGGTTTTGTGAATTTCTAATTTTTGTTATCGATAAAAATTTATTTTCAGACCATCGGTTCCTGCGGAATCGTTTGTTTCGATTTTACTGTCGAACTCGGTAAATTAGGATTCAAGGATCCAGTGTTTATGCGGTCCTCTCGCTGAAACGCCAATCACTGTATGTACTGTTTATCCCTGCTTATTCGGTGCTCGGAGGCGCTATAAGCCTCGAGTGATTCTGCACTGGACGACTTTCGAGCTCTTTTATAGCAAAGCATCCCCCTTCTGCGTGAACTGGTCGGCTTTCCTGGTTTTGTGTCGTAATCCGAAAGCGTTTGCGCGATATCCGACGGTTCAAGGCCTTCCGGATTTGGGTGTTGCTGAGCTCGCGGCTATCGTCCATCTTGAACCGGATCTTCTTTTTTCGTCGATCGACCGCCAGCGATCGACCGATATCGTCGATCAAAACGTATACGTTTCGGTACGGGAAAAACAAAGAATACGAGAAACGTAGAAATCGAATAACGAGACGATACATCCTCTTAGAGAATGTTTACCAAAGGACAAAGAGACACGCTCGAAGTATGAAACCATGTCCTTGCTACGAAATGCTCGGCCAATCATTGACAAATGAAAGAAAAAGCAACGAGAAAAGGAAAATGTACTATTTTAAGTTCCAAATTGTTTTTGCCCTTTCAACATTGTCTCCTTTGTTTTTCGATATTTCTTCGACGTTTTATTCAGCGATCTTCTATAGCTTCTAAGTTTTAAATGCTCGATTAAAATGCGATAAATTATGTTTTTTGATCGTTTCGGCTCATTTTCAGTACTTTGAGTTTTGATCGTTTCAAACACTTCTTTGGTGCCTTCCTAATCTGTTTTCTGACCTAGGTAATTATTATTGTCGTTAATGTCATCCGGATCCGCCTCAAACTATTTATAGCAGTCGTAAACTCGCGTACGAGTGAAATAATTATACACTTTTTGCATAAGGACACTTTTTGTTATATATTAAATTATTCGAATGACCCCAACTGCAGTTTCCACCATTTTCTGTGATTCTCTTTGTGTGTTCTAATTTGGTACAGATGAATGAAAATTTTATTTTATTTTTATTTATATCATACTAGAAGATGGTAATCATAAAATATTATTACTACTAACTCATTATTATTACTTTTAACATCGAGGGAAAATAACACTTTGAATACAGAAAAAGTACAATTAAAATTCGATCAAGAAATTTCAATACACGTGAAACGCACGTCGCGGCAGTTGAATTTTTTAAGTTAATCACACGCTTCTGGCTTCCTCGTCCTACGTAAATTAGATACGACCGACAATAATAATGCAGGAAAAGGTTCGTAAATTCGTCGTAGGAGTTTGCAGATATAATATACGATTAATTGGATCACAATAGCTGTAACGAGATAAAAGCCTCGTATTGTAAAACATAGGTATTCCAACGAGGGTTCAGGTTTGGGAGCTTAAAATGTAATTACATCTGAAAGGGGTGCGTCAATAATTAAGCCATTCATTATTTTAAGCAAAAATACGAGGTCAGCTGCTAATCTACGCTCCACGAAGGTCCATAAGTAAATTTAAAACAAAATTGAATTGTTATTAGAAAAATTTATTATCTACATTTTAAAAGCAATTTCTTTATTTGTTTACGAAACATCGAAACTTCGATATTCCTATTTTTATTTAAAATTCCTAGGTGTTTATGTATCCTCGCATCCTCGAAATTTCGAATTTTCTTTGTAACTCTGTCTACTCGATCATCTAGATCCGCAAACTGATACCAATCACTTTACCGCGGTAAATCACTTTGAAAAATAGTATCCTGATAAACGAGTTATTTTCTTATATGTTTTAAGGTCATCGGCAAATAACGAAAACTGGCTATTGGTAAACATATCAGCAACGTCGTTATTAAAAATATTAAAGAGTAGCGGTCCAAGGTGAGAACCTTGAGGAACACCGACACCATATTCGGAGCTGACGATACGTTTACAATCTTTACGACTCGAGCGCGACTGGATAAGTAACTGTTAAACCACAAAAAAGTACTCGCTAAAGCCTATAGCAGCAATTTAAAAATCGATATAACGCGATTCATCGTATCAACACATTTTTTTAAAATTTTATATCAATACCATTACATTCATATTCTGAAATTATTGTGAAACATTGGAAAATTAGGCACGTTAGACCACCTATTTCTTTGTTAACCAGTAACTGATTTTCACAATGACTTTTTTTTTAAATAATTTATTCGTAACACTGATAGATACATAATTTCTTGCATCAGACGCGTCTTTCGATTTAAATACAGGCGTTATTAAACAGGTTTACTAACAAAAAGGAAAATCACCAGTCAATAAATTTATTAAAATGAATCCACAGAAGCCGTGGTTTACTGAAACTGTAATATATAAAAAATAACCACGCGAATCCGTTCTCTTGAAGGCTTTATGGGAACGGATTTTGTTACTAATTAATTATATTGGTCGTTCGGTATATTTTAAAGATTTAATAATATAAATCGGTAGCTATATAAAGATGTATACATAGAAAATCAATAGCTAAATGTAGCTTCAAGTTAAATAATGGATTATTCCAGGAGACAGTACTAAAATGATCGAAAATACTCGGATAATCTCTGGGCTTAAAGACATAATAAATATTATATATAAATTGCCTGAAGTAATTATACAAATTTACATCACGAGGATCATAATGATCCAACATCGGATCAGCAGAGAGGATTAAATAAAACATATCATTGTAAATTAATTTAAGCACACATATATTTAAATAGATTTTTGTAAAAATATCGTCGCTAAGGAACAAATCGAGCAAAGCGGTACGTGGATTATAAATTTAGTTTTCGGTGGAAGGTTGCCATAGTTAAGATTTCATGCAATACTATCGATTGTCGAAGACTCGTTTGCAGATGAGTTCGAGAATGTAAAGCAAGATAACGTTAAGACTGATTTAGAAGCTTATCAGCGTACAGTAGATTATAATTATCCAAAACGTACGTGTACGTATTGGGAAAATGTTCCATCGTTTCCAATACAGTCGAACAATAGTCATAGAGATGGTAATAGAAACGCCAGAAATGCAGGGGTTACGTAAGGGGTGTCTCAGATTTTAATGGTCAAACTTTGTCAACATATTCTAGGGATCTAAATAAGGCAAACATATCCTGCTAACATATATATCGTTTACGTGTATTTTTATTGAAAAGGTATGATACTAATACGAAATAATAATTACTACTATTTACTATCTGTGGTTTTCAAAAGTGTTACGATATTTTTTATTTAAAAATAAATTATTATAACTTTCGTGTAAGGCTCCAAACGATATATATTTACAGAATATTTTTTGGCCAAAGCTTGGTCGTTAAAATTTGGGATACTCTATATATATACAGCCCCAAATATTGCAGATAAAACACTAAAATCGACGTTCATAAATACTTGTTCGATATTGTGAAAAGATAATTTTATTTCGGAACAATGAAACCATATTTCCAGTAGTAATCAGAATACCCCCGCTTCTGGCAAATTCGCCAATGACCTATGACCTGCAGCGATGATATATATTATAACCAGCGAGTCCAGGTTCGTAATTACCTATTTTATCATCCAACCACGTTTCTAGAAGAGCAATGATGTCAGGAGATTGCGGAACAAGCTACATTTTGCTGAAATTCATTAAGTTTACTTCGTAATCCACGTATGTACATTTCGATAATATATTACTGTTAAAACCAAGTATTCGCTTTTCGTACTTGTTTTTTTTATTTACAAAAAATTGGGCAATTATTTACGGAAAAGGGAGTTGGATTCCAACGACTCTTACTCAAAACGAAGATTAGGTTTAATTGTAAATGTATCTCTTTTATAATATTTCCCATACTTTGACTGGAACTGGAAAAATTCTCATGTTGAGGTATCGAGGGAAACAAATTTGAATAAGATTTATGAATTTTAGCAAGGTTACAAAAATAAGCAAACAAATTTAAGTTATATAGCTCAGAATGGTCTAAAATTAAAATTTTAACCTTGTAGAATATGGTTTTGACCTGCCAGTGAAATTAATTAGTCTTCTTTTTAAATAACATCAAAAGTATTCCTGTCTCTAGGGTTGAAGGTATCGATTTTTTAAAATATTCTAAGGGGTTCAGGAATTATTCGATTAAATATTAAAACAGAAATTCAAAAATTTCTTATGTCATGCAAGTTCGAAGGACAGTCGCCGACTGCATTAAATGAAATTTGACAAATTCTGATTTTTTTTTTATTTTCATAGAATAAATCGCCATAATCTTGCATACGAATTTTAAATTTAACTGATTTGGAATGAAAACTAGAACCTACCGTATTATATATCAAAATTAAAAACAGGTTTGAAAACGTACGTTTCAAAAAATATGTGAAAATTGCTTTCTGAATAAACCAGATTCGGATATTCGAGTTCTCTTCGAGTACGATCGCTATGCATGCAGGAAATCAAGCTTTAGCATCTTTAGTTTCGCAAAAGAGTGTCACAATGCTCCCTCGGTTTGCTTCACCGACTCGTCCTTCCTAGACAGGTCGCGTCGGTATGCGCCACGACGCGTCCCGATATGCCAAAATGGGCGTTAAAATGGATTACTAATTGTTACACAATCGCGTGGTTGGTCGAGGTAAACACGAGGTATAACGTAACGTTATCGGTATCGGCATTAACATCAACGAGTACAAGAGTGTTACGTTATCGTAGAAATACGGAGACCGGATTACCGGATAGGAATCGCGTTTATTAATTAACGTACAGTCAGTCGGTCGGTTAACTAACTGGAGTTATCTCGAAATACGAGTGTCGTTTGCCCGTTATAGACGCTATGTAATCGGTCGATCGATTGGATGGTGCGCTCATTTTTACGGGACCAAGTTTTCGAGAACTAGAACGACTAGAACTCGAGTGCTTGACCAAAGACGACGGTTCGCGCGGTTACTGACACTGGGGATCTTCGATCGGGCCGAACGAGGCACCGAATACCACACTAGACTCGAGAAAATAATAGGCACGATCGAGTATATTCCTCAGAAACGAAAGAAATAAATAAAATTACCAGGAGTCCAACATTTTTAATTATTTATTGATTTTTAATCGTATCTTGAGGAATACTGATTGGATAGTCTCACTTAAAGAGGCAATATAAATAGTATAAATTTAATTCTATTTTTCTTATTTATTTACTATCTCGCATATTAGTCGTCCCAGAAACTCGTGACGTTATTTTTAAACCGACGAGAATAAAATTCGTAACTTGGTAGGAGGAAAACGAAAATCGATTCACGAAACGTCTGATAAATTATCACTCATTTTGTACGTTGGAAATATTTTTTAGTGGATAACGAATTCGAAAATATAAATATACTAAAAATAGTATCGAATAACATTTCATAGAAAAATCAAAGGAGTTTTATAATGGCTTTGTCGAAAAGTTGCGTGGGAGCTGTTGAACGAAAAAGGGATTGCAGAGTTCGATTGTTCATTTGTGAAAATAATTTTCAAAATTCATTCAGGGGATTCTCTTCTTCCAAAGCATGTATTTAATAGCATCGTCTTGCAAAAAGAGCGTTTTCTTGCTACTTGCGCTTTCGTTGGCATGCCTCCAAGAACTCTCAATTGCGATTGTACGTATTTCGATATCGGGGTCTTTGAAGCGCGGACTATGATTAACTAATAAATCTTAGAAACCATTGTTCCTCGAGCAATTATACGCCTTTTAACAATTATCAAGTCCGGTAACTCTTTGTTCGATGTTTCATTGTTGGAATAAAAAGTGAGGCTGAAACTATAAATACATACACGGTTCCCCGCTCAAAACCATCCAAAAAACGCAAGAACGATCCACTCGGTGTCTAACTTTCTCTTCCCAAACTTTGACTCGTCAATTTCTACTTTCAACTTTAAAGATTTGCAATTATAATTACATTGCAATTGGATCGTAATTCCTGTATAATTTCGTCTAATCGTATCGTGGTAAATGTAATCAAATTGCATTTCGCCCACCTCTGCTTGCACCTAGGATATCTGACGACGAGTAAATAATTAGCTATCGCTATCAGTTTTGGAAGGCCTGCTCGATTCGTTATTTTCAAGGCACCATAGTCGTTTGTAAGTAATTAGACCCTCTGGGGACTGTCTATTGACTAGTACCGCCATTTCATAGCGACTCATGTGACCTATTACGTATAGGTTACACGTATCGTAATTGAATATAGATCTGTCAATTTAAATTTCGATATGTACAAACGTTTGCACCTATGTATACGATGTTGGGCTCTGACCATGATTGAATATAGATATGTCGATTAAAATTTTGATATGTTCAAACGTTTGTGTCTGTCTGTCAATTTAAGTTTTCACACATGCAAACATTCGTACCTAATCGTTGTTTCTGACTAAAACTTGCTTGGACGGGAAGGAATATATTTGTTTGCCTATACATACATAGAAAAATAACTAATACTATTTTAGGAGTTAATAATGCGTTTTATTTTCAAGTATTCTTGGATAATTTTTATTCGAATTTTGTTCACAATATGTTTTTAATTCAATGCAATTTTAGGTAAGAAAGTAAAAATTCTATAATACCAAGATTAGATTTTACAGCGTGTACATGGTAATGAGTACCGTGATGTCTTGAGATTAATTATTACCCTATTTTCCATCAGGACATTTACTGGATAATTTTCTCAGTGTACTTCGACAGAAAACCACAGGGACAAATTAACCCCTTGTCGTACAACGAGTCTGACTCGTGACAAGTTCTTGATGTCAAGTTTCACAGTGCTCATTCGTCATCCAGCCTTATGTATACTAATATCAATACATTTTTATATTTATAATGTATACGTAAAACGAATTTATTCTTTTTTTGTCGCCATTCCTCGCACGGACAAATTAAAACAAAATTAAATAGTACACGTTTGAAAAATAATTTCAAATTAAATCGTATGTCAAGGGGTGAGTTTAAAACTTTGAAAAACTGAATTTCGATTGGAATTTCGATGAGTGCTCGTGCAGCACTGTTTCCTGCGCCATCGACATTGCTCTGAATTCCTTATAGGAACGGTGCTGTCGGCAATGACCTGGGCGTACCGTACAAAGAGAGGCGAAGGGCCTTTCGGGTACATTGCACGCGGATTCGAAGGAGGCTGGATCCGATCACGGTCCTTGACAATGTACTCCCCGGGTACGGAGATGGAAACGACACGACGAAAGGACCCTGAACGCGTCCAGCGTCCGATGGGTAGAAGAGAACGGCGAAGCGTACGAAACGAATCTCGTTTCGGTCGGGGACGTAATGTAACAGAGGTGGCGAAATGAAGCGGGCTCGAGCGCGCCCGTTCGATTCAAGACCGCGTGCTGGTGGGAGAGGTCAGAATCGAGGAATAAAAGCGCACCCGCTCAGCTGGTCGAGCATCATTCGACTCTCAGCGATCTCAGTTGCTAAGTATCTAAGTTTCGTGTGAGGAACATTAACCCTGTCAGCTACCATGTACAAACTCGTCGCCTTGTTCGCTCTGTTGGCCTGCGCCGTGGCTGCACCAACGCCAGGTTTCCTGGCTGCACCAGCACCGGTGGTCGCCGCGGCACCCCTTGCCGTGGCCCACACCGTTCCTGTCGCCACCAGCTACGCCAACACCTACAAAGTCAGCGTCAAGAGCCCGCTGATCGCCACTGCACCCTACATCCACGCTGCACCCATTGCTCCGGTAGCCACCGCCGCCTTGGTCAAGACTTCCGCTCCGATCGTCGCAGCTGCACCAGCCGCTACTGTCTACGCTCACAGCCCGATCGTAGCCGCCGCTGCCTACACATACTGAATCAAAACGGACCGGCCATCTTGTCTCCAAGCCGCTCTAGTCGATCCTTACCCGACCACGACTTCGTCAAACGCGATGACCAACGATCGCGACCCGATGCTGTCGACTAATCATCACGAATAAAATTTACCCATTCTCAAATCAACGTTACCATTTATTGTCTCTTCGATTTTACCTTCCTTTTCTTACTACCTAGCTAGAATCGACGATAGATTTAAGGATTCGCTGTCACGTATACGTGATTTTGCGAGCTAGCAGACTTTGGCCACTGTCACGTGTGCGTGATCTACTGTATCAGCCACCATTTCATCATACATTCAACTTATTACGTTTGTGAGGTTACATTTATAATTCCTTATAATAATATTCCTAGCATCTTCATGTATCTCACTTTGGTTTACAATATCAGTGGTGACGAACAACGGTCTTCGCGTGATACGTGTGGCCATTAAAGTGTTAAAATGATACTTATCGAGTTTTGTGACTTTAAGCATTGTTCACTGGCTGGGTAAATTGGCACTTGGCTTCACCTATTCCCCACAATATTGAGGTTCTAGTAATGCGATTCTAATGTTTGGGTTCAAATAGGTCGACTTACTCTTTGTTTCAACTAATTGGATCCGGCACATTCTCCTTCTAATTGCCATAACTTACCCCTAGGTGAATTGTATAGAATTGTGGCAGTTTGCTATTGTAGACTCACATCAGTAAGACAACCCAAGCAGGCTTTGTTTCAGATGCTCGGGACATTCAATGGTTTTTTTTTTGTTCCTTCTTTCTTGGGTGGCTGCAGTACCTTGGGCTGGGTCCTAAAACTTCAATTTAAAATGAGTATTAGTGTCTGGACACGTTAGGGTAGAGTGAGAACAGTTTCAAAAACCTTCTTGTCATAAAGGATATTCAAGTTCGAGGTGCATACATAAGGGAATTTGTGGTCGATTGCACTTGAGAGAGAACGTAGCTCTGTGCTGGTGAGTGCGGGATGTGTCGCCACAGTAGTCAGTCTTTGTACTCCACTGGACGCTACTATGGCGAGAAACATAGTGCATAGCTTGATTCGAGTTTCGTTTATGATAACACAAATTGAATTTAGCCAGAAAGAATATTCTTTTATTTTTAGAAGTCACATTATAAAATTGTATTTGGTATTGCTAGTCATTCATATTAATAAGGACTCCCCGGAGTACAAAGGGTTAAAATAATTTCCATTATTTCAAAACTCATCCTACGAATATCCATTACTTCTATTTATTTGACTGTTATATAACATTTAAAGTAGCGTAGAATATAAAGTAATTTCGACGATATTTCGAAAATATTGGAAAACCAGGGGCGGCGGTCTAATGAAAGTAGACTTCCTGCGACGAGAAAAATATGTACACGCCCGGGACGCGTTCCAAGGATCGTGTTGTCGGAAAATTACTTGGAGTCGAACGTAGGGACGAGCAATGTACATATTTGCGTCGAACCGGGAACCGGTTATAATCGTCAACTCGATTTTTGTCATCCAAACAGGCACGCCCTTGCCTCCTCTCGCGGGGTTACCGACACCATGTTTTGCACGGGAAACCACCGATAATGCTTTTACTCTTTGCAACGTTCGATAAAGAATAACCAGACATCGAGATGTTCTGGTGGGAATCCAATTTAAACGACCATCTTGTTTTAGATATTTATTTTGCACGCGATAGAAACCTTTTATGTACACGGAAGGTGGAGTTGGGCGAAACGTAGTTTGAATTATTACCATGATTAACCCCGAGATCCAGCCAGTGATTAATGATAGCGATTATTCAGACACGATTGACTCGTTTAACGCTAATCATGAAGTAATTACAAGTTTTATTATGATTGGATTAATAATGACACTCAACGCTTCCTTGGAAAATATGATATTTATTATGCAATTAAAACAGATACAAAAGAATGAGTGGCTTTTAGTACAATTCTTGTTTCAAATATGTTTACTGATAAATATAAATTCAATACAATAATTATTTTTATGATTGTCGTTTCCTTGAGAAAGTTAAGTACACTATTTTTAGTGATTTTTCTATCGTGTACTTCATAATACAATATACATTTTATATTAATTTATATAATTTAGTTTTTATCGTGAATATTCGCACACAAAATCGAATACTCGCGTATAAGTGCAACGGAGTACTTGGACTTTAGCATAAGTAGAAACAGTAGGTGGTGGGCAGAATATCAGAGCTACTCTCATTCAATCGCACGCGTGTCCGATGAATTTTCAAATTTAATTATCTCGAAAACGAAGCCCCAAATGAAAAATTGTCGTTCTTCATTTTCGATTTGTTTTTCCACCACCATTTCGATTGTATCATCGATATTGAGATATCCTGTATGTAAAAGTTTATTCAAATAAAAAAAAGACTAACCATGTGTACTACATAAATAAATATGTACGCAAGGTATCAAAATTTAAAAACCTATACTTTTTTTATTAAAAAAAAATTCTTAAAAAAACGGAAACAATGGAACTCTGGACTAGAATACCTCTTTTCTTGATTACTCTTCTTTATTAACGATCTCCCTGGAATCAAATTCAGGAAGATATCCAATTTTTCCAAAAATCCTACGAATCGAAGCCGATTCAGCGTGAAATTTTATGCATGCGATTGAAATCCCGTGTGCTGTTTTGTCGGACGATTCAGCATTTTCAAAGATTTTTACGATCGTCGGAATGCTGTGAGGAATAGTCAGTCGGTACACGGGAAAAAAAATTTCTCGAGATTTTCTATCTCATCGTCGACTGAAGGTGGAGCGGGGTAACGCGGCAAGTCCCGCCCCTGGACGAAGAATGCAACGATGTGCCGGGACGGGACCACTGGTCCCGCGAACGAGGACGAGTTTTCTTTTTACAGCACCCTCAGGATCTCTATAAGTACGAGAGGTCCGACTCGATCCTCGTTCAGAAATAGAGGTGCGTTTCAAGCCGTGCAAGCAGAAATCGCGGAATCGTCATGATTGGATACGTGAGTAAAGCTTTCCAATATCCCATAAATTCCAACATCTCCATATTTTTCTTTCTGTTCTCGCGAGTTACACGGATTTTCCTTCCCGAAAGACTCCGAATAACAAAGTCGATCTCGCGTTTCTTTCTTAGATTTTCCTGGCAGCCGTGCTCGGCACTACTTGCGCCGCTCCAGCTTCGCCGTCGGAGTCCCCGGAACCTGCTCCATTGGCCAGCTCGTCCCCAGCACCCTCCTTGCTGTCTGCGTTGCCTTTGGACGCTGCACAACAAGCACCGTCGTCGGCGGCCGCAGCGGAATTCGCCTCGCCGCCCGCGCGATCCCCAGCCTCTTCTCCAAAGGCGCTATCCCTGGTGTCTGAAATCAAAACGCCAGCCTCGACTGCGAAACTGACGCCTATAATTGCGCCCCTAGCGACGCCCTTAGCCGCCGCGACGCCTATCCTTTCGCCTCTCCAGGTTTGTACCTTGACCAACCAGGCGAGACACGGATAATTCTGTCCTCATTTGGTGATTGTTCGTATACGAGTATACGAATTCACCTCTTACAGGATTATTATTTTACTTTTCGTTACAAATGTACTGTTGGGAGGCGAGATGATGACAAATTAAACAACGCAAGAGGCAAGGGGAATCGCACAGTCCCCTCCACTTCTCAGGTTCTTGGTTGTTATTGGGCAAGTCGACCACGAACCACGCCCCTAAACAGTGGAGGGGACGGAGCCTGCCAACATCTCGTCTGCAAACAGTACTTACAAGACTGGAGGAATCAATTAAAAATCTTATAATCAGGCACTGCACGTTAAAAAATTATAAGTTGAGATCATTACAGATTCTACGCCCTTGGGTCGGCGGAGAACTGTTAAATAAAGTTGATCTTCACCAGTTTCTTCAAGATCAAATTTTATTACAATTGTATTCCACTGATCGATCTGATTAAAGTCGTAAATGGAATGGATCGTTGCTATGGTTCCCTAAAAAAATTTATCTGCGTCTCCCCTAAAAGAACATCGTACTATAATGCAGACAGCTGAGAAATTTCGAATATCATAATTACTAGACTGCGGATCTTTATGCAAATTCATATTTTTATTAATAGAATTAATGAAATGGGTGTTTTGTAGATGATTGTCTCAACCCTTAAACATAATAATTCGTATCTTACTTTAAATATTTCTTATATTTTTGCATATTAAGTGCATTCTGTAGTTTCTTGAGAATTAAAATTCCCCATAAATGCATAAACATCCGCAGTCTAATAATTACAAATGAGTTTTGTGCCTCCAACTGACGAACTGTCGTTTGTTTTAGGTTTCCGCCTACGCCTATGCAGTACCAGCTCCTGCGCCACTCGAGCTGGTAGCGGCACCTTCCAGCTACTCCATTGAACAACACGGCTATCGCATTACCTACTGATTCCGCGGAGCGTCATTCACCAAGAACCTGGCGTACCATCTACAGGGTACAAGCTTTCTCTCTCATCAGTGATCCTTTTTGTACCGTGCATCGATAAATTTGTTCATGTCGAAACAGCAAGCAATATCAAAATACATATCCTTTTCGTAACACGAGAAGTTTGACCATGGTACCTATCGACGTCTCCCATCACCTCTTTGCCCCCCGTGCAATCGAAACGGAAAGTGAAAATTCATATCCTGCTTTCTCCTGCGTTAACGAAACTCATTTCACCCGTTAGCTAGGCGTCGCGCCAAGAATAACGAACGATTCTCAAAGCGTAATTCGTAATATGTAATAACGTCCGATTCGTAATCCATAATCTATGATATCGGGTAATTGCAAAGGTCTTATTCTATTTCTTACGATGTTAGTTTCATTTTAATAATAAAAATTAATTATTTATGTGATCGATTTTAATTCGATATCCAAAATAATTGACTTTAAATTATCGAAATCTAGAGATCTATATTCTAATAATAAAACGATTGATAAAAATTAAATCTCTTAGCTATTGTAATAAAATTTCATTTTTTAAGAATCATCTGTACATTATAACGAGGCTGCAGTATTTGAAACGTAATCCTAGGAGTTGTAGGGTTGTAGAATATCTTTATTTACTAATAAATCAAGCTTCTGCGATTACCAAATACACGTCATTGATTATGAATATCTTGTCTTGTTAGCGAATCATTTGACTTGTGTTGGTTGACCGATTTTCCAGCAACTTTCCGAAAGAAATGATTCGATAACGATCGCGCGACGGGCCTACTTGGAGCAAGTTGTGGGTAAAACCCAGAGAGTTGTGAGAGAGGGTGGAAAATCCAGATTATGCAATTGCCGTGCAACGCAAAAGCCTATCAGCGTCCACCGTATCCAGCTAATCGGATCGTGCATTTGCAACCGTTAACAGGTCGACTGCCCAGCGAACTTTTCCTGACTTTTTATTTTTAAATTATTATGTGAAAGCTAGAAATCTTTTATAGAAACCTTTTAATAATATAATATATTTTAAAAACTTATAAGCTTGGTTGCACATTGAAAAGATTTGCCCTGCTGAACTATATAATTAACCAAAAAAAAGTTGATACGTTTATTGTATTCTAAGAAAACAGTAAACACTTTATTAATCGATGCCACCTGAATAGAATTCTCATAATCGGGATACATTCGTACTTGCAACCGAACTTATTTGTGTTACAAGCTAATGTAAGCGTTTCAAGATGGCGTCCAATGTCGAAGTTTCCGAAGTCTACTTGTTCCGGAACCGCAGATGGAAACAATAGTTGTCGATTCTCTACGACTCGTTAGCATCTTCGAATCGACTCGACGTTTTGACAACACGAGAAGCACTTTCTCCCGGATCTCGACAAAGCGAAATGGAACAACCGACCACGGAAAAGGTGTTCGTGGTGGCGTTCCCATATAGTCACCTTTGAAGATTTCCGAAGACCGCCCGTACGATTCCAAAACTGGGAAATGTTTTTGACATTGAACAATCGTTTGCTTTTCTCCTACCCACCGGTAAGATGGTATAGGAGAAACCGTCGACTTTCTTACAATGGCTGCGTCATTCGGTGCCTTCAAGTTAATCATCGAGGACCAAGCAACGAAACGATACGATTTTTACCCAAAACATTTTATAATTCAGGAGAGAACATAATAGGAAAAACAGAAAATTGACCATCAAGAGTTTTTGTATGCTAGTTTGAACATTTAAAAAAAATTGTAGTTTAATATAATACTGTAAAGAAATAGCTACCAAAAAATTATTAAGTAAATTCTTGAGATTTCTTTTCACAAGCACAATTCAATACGTTCTCCGTATTTTGTTTACGAACGTATGAAAAATCCTGAACTCTATCCGTTACGCTAGAGTCGTTAGCATAAACAAATGGAGTACAATTTTGATACACGTATAATCACCGTATTAGCGAAGAATAGAAGTCATTCGTTGAAGAATAGTCTTTTGTTCATTGTTGTTTTGAAAGTTTCTCGAACAGCCACGTGATTGAAGAAGTCATTTGATAAACGTTTTAATATTATCTATTATTTTCGTTATAAAAGGATTGATGTCCATTTAAGAAATTAAAAGCGACAAGGTTTCGAAAACGTTAAACATAGATGGGATAAAAAATATTTTGCCAATTATAATTACAAAGTAGAGATTTATATTTATGCTGATATTTATCTGTACATCACAGTAGATTAGATATTGTGTTTTGCCTGCTTGAATATTCAATGCATTCGCGAGTATTAGTGGCTCCAAAATTATTTGTTGCACACGAGAAGAGTAATCCTCTCTGAATAATTTAATTAACAAAAATTGAAGTACCTTCATTGGTTTCTGAGAAAACAGTTTGTAACACTTTATTCGAACCACATGGATCGTGGATATTCCGTGTTTCGTTATTTGCCCAACCATGGAGGGTTCTAAGAATTTTTTATTTATAAGCAAGCACGCTTACCTGAGACGTTCGTGCTTTTCGTGGACGTCATTACGCAAGCCCATTATCGAAAATCCTGTGTTACACAATTTGCCTGCGTACATACGCACGCACCTAGCCTACACCGTGTCACACATCGTATCGCGTCATCTACGTTTCGATGTCCCAACGAAGTTACAATAGACCATCAAGTTAATCGTAAAATCAACATATGAATGTGTCAGAAAGTTATTCGCGAATTAAAGAAGAATCTAAGATCTAAGACACGAATTAAAATTATTTTCAAACTGTTAAGCATAAGAAAGTAACCATGTAAGCTGTTATAAAAACCTGAGACGAATTAAGGAAGGAACTAAAATTATTTTCAAACTGTGTAAGAAAATAGAATTGTAAAGAGTAACCTGAATTTAAAAACCTCATCTATAAAGTACACAAATTAATATAAGAATTTTGTTCAGTCAGAATGTGGCATTTGGATGCGTTAATTCTTTGATCACTATAGGTGCCTACTGGTGATCGAATGATCGGTCGATTGCGTGCAGTGAACGCCTACGAGCGTTCAGCGTGTCTGCAGTGTGTTCAGCAACAGGTGTCAGAGACTTTAAGGGATGTACTAGGCGCTAAAATAAGATGAAAATACGGGACAACGAAATTATAAAATATCATTTAATCTTTTTTTTATTCTAGAAAACTTTCACTCTTATATGTGAAATTAGATTCGCTTTGAGATCTTTTAAAAACATTTTCCGAAGCGAACTACAAATTTATCTGCAAATACAAATTACTCGTAAACTACCCTCTGTATGAAGAAATGGTTCAGATTAAAATTGAATGGTTCAGTTACATAAATAATTGAATACTTGTATATTTTTCTGTTTTTTCTTGTAGCAAAAGGGTTCTCACCCCCCGTTAAGTAAAAAAATAAATTAATACTTGTATATTAAACTAACGTATAATTTTCTGTTTTGTGTTACAGAAAAAGTGTTCTCACAAATAAATTGAACTGCCAGTGCATCGAAAGGCAACAAGTGCCAAGAATTCAAGAAACGACCGTCGATCGCCGACGTCCGGCGGTTCGAGGAACCTATCCAAAACGGATGTCCGGCTGCACGGTGAGTCAGAAACGTACCCCACCGTGAGCTCGTACACTGTTACAGCATCTCCGAAAGGGACGTCTATATAAGATACGAATGGCGTCGGTAAACGCGCAGAGTAACCTCGTTCACGGAGAAAGTGTTTGGTTAGAGAGCGAAACTCCTCGACGCATCGCAGACGATCGCTGTCGGTCGTTGGTTGCAGACATTCCCGCAAACAAGGAATTTTTATCAGGACCTCGACGAAATCCACAACCCCTAAGGTGAGTTTCCCAAGTTTCACAACTTTTAATCTATTTTCATTTTTTCCAGTAACTCCCATTTTATTATCGTAACATTTTCGTTCGATCGATGCACACGATAAAGGGTTCCTCAATAATTTCTCCGAGTCTCTGTTCTCCATCAACCTTGTTAGCGTCGTACGATTATTACATAATAACTTTCACCGTGTTCGAAAATTTTCGAAACAACAACCGCTGGAAGAGGCGCGAAAGTGTTTTGGGTGCGAAGACTCGTTTAGCGACTTTCTCCCGACATCCTCTCGCTTTCGTTAGATCGTCAGACGATCATCGTTCGTATTGTTCGCGTTAGTGCTCGTTCCTCGACCGGCGAGAGCGTCTCGACGGGCATCCGCTGTTCGCGATTAATCTCCCAACGATTTTCCCCCTCGAGTGAAACGAGACGATTTCGATTTCGTCGACAACCGGTCCGGCGAAAGGAAAGTAAGATGATCTGCTTTCGCTCGGGCGCTGTTCGCGATCCGATTCTCACGATCGCCACGCGATCCATGGCTAATTATATTCACGATCGACGGATACAAACTTCTGTTTACGTTTTGTTAAATTTTACAAACGAATTAAACATTTTTACTTCTCATTTTCTGTGAATCGACAGCGTTTCGCGACTTTCAACAGATTTTCTTCGGTTTATTTTCGAACGATGTTGTTTGACTATTTATGGAAATATAAAATTTGTATTCGTCATTTGTGAAACTAATCGGTGTTTTCAACGGATTTTCTTCGTTTATTTTAGGATGATACTCTGGGTAGTTTGGTTACTCGGCGTAGCCATCAACAGCTACGCGGTGCAAGCACAGATCGAGACGTCCTCTCCGATGCGTTTCGAGGAATCGGAGGGACGCGAATGGTCTTGGCAAAACGAAGACACGCAATCGATTGGTGGATCGCAACAGGACACCACGGATAAGAGAAACGTGGCGGAATCAAACGCGAGCGTAGAAAACGTCGACGATAGGTCGAGGGAGCATCGATCGGTAAGTGACACAATCGTTGTTTCTTCGCTCGTAGAGAAGTACGTTTTACGAGCATCAAATGGCTGGTTTTCTGCTGCAGGCGGAGTCGTTGATCGAGGAAATTCTCGTCTCTAACCGGCAGGGTCGCAACATCGAGGGTTACGATCAAGTGTATGCTGACCCGGACGTAAAGAATGCGCTCCAGATAGGAAACGACACGATCGCACGATCGTACATTAGGGACAAACTGTGCTCGTTGGGATTAATGAACGTGAGTATACGTGCACTAGAATCGTTAGAAGCTAAAGAAAATATAGGTGATCCAAGATTTTCAGATTTCAGAATTTCTTTATTATTAACACCAGAACTACCGACACTTATAGTGTATTTATTTGTACCAAAGGAATTAAAACGATAGATACTTGAAGAAATATATAATGCAATATAGATAAATGTTTTTATGTAGACATGAAAACAATAAAAAAAGTTCATATGAACATACATACGCCTTATTCGATCTTGTTTTCGAGTTATTGCGAGATGACATATCGTATTTGCTCACCTTTGCAACAAATGTTTGAAATGAGACCTGGAAACGTTTTATACAATTTTGTACAATTCTTTCGTGTACAATTCCGACGTTATTCCTTTCGAAATAATTATACCAACATACAACTCGACATAGCTCGAAAACAAGGCTCGAATAGGACGTACATATGTTTACATGAACTTTCATTATTGTTTTCGCGTGTAGAATCTAGTCCTGTATTTGAACTGTTTCTCCTCGTTTCCAGTGTGAAAGCATCGAAGGACGTCGACCGTACTACTCCCCCCATCGCGGAATCTACCCCCAAGACATAATTTACGCCCAACCGGTGACCATTAAGCCAGTTGGAAGACCTTTGCCAGCAATTCCCGTGAAGAGACCTTACGGGCTAGGGAAACCTGTGCCCCCGCCTCTTCCACCCCCCGGAAGCTTCGCCTCTTCCGGTCCGACGCCAGATCTGATCTACGGGATCGGTGGTCCCCCGCATCCCCCATCGATTTCCCAGTTTGGTCCGCCGCCGTCCGGACTGATCGGTTCTTACCCGAATTTCAAGAAGCCTGGACCACCGTTCTCCGCGTCAAAGCCTGTGTACGAAGCTGGAACTGGCTTTGAGTACGATGGGAATGATCAGTTCATCGATAAGAAGCAAATCTCCTTACGGCCAACAAGTCATCTCGGCACGGATCCCGTTCAACAACACGTTCACCATCACTATCACCACGCTCAGGGCGGTCAAAGCGTACCATCGAACCCATCGATCTATGGTCAGAGTTATGGCACCGTGGGAGCGACCTACGACCTCCCCGGAACCGGGATTCCTGGTGGCTACCAAGATCTCGACGATTACAAGAAGGCGTTCAAAGTGAAAGCGACAGGAAACAAGGAGGCCAACGGTTTCATCGGTTCCGCGTCGGCGAGCAACTACGCCGAACGGTATCCCGTTTATGAGAAACCCACGCGCGACACCGCCTTCAGTAAATCGGACGGCCAGAAAACAGGCAAATACTACGGTTCGGGCAACTACTTGTCCCCGAACACCGTGCAAGCCTCCAACGGAGATTACGCGTTTGGTGCGACCACCAACAACAACAATTACTATTCGCAAAACTCCTACGAGAACGACAACAACTTTGGAAACGATTTCTCGGCGAACTATGCGCCTGACTGCGTTTGCGTTCCGTACGAACAGTGCCCTGGCGAACACGCTGGACGCAAGGACGATCTGTTCCTTCCTATCGATCCGCGAAATTTGAACAAAAATATCGACGCTGAAAATATAGAGGCTGGCGTCGAAGGGAATGGAACTTTAGCGACTGTGGTGCGTGTGGAGAAGGATGGCGAGACTGGGTCGACTCCGAGGACTTCCGGCGAAAATGGTAGGACTAAGAGGCAGACCAACGAAGCGTCTGAGGACGTCGAGGCTAGGAAGAAGGGAAATGGAGAAGGGGTAAGATTGCATTTTTGTATAGATACGAGTACCATACAGAGATGACTTGTTGGCACCTGGAAGTTATAAACTTGGCCTAGTTCCTATGAGAAAACTCCATCTCTAGCTTCTCAGCTACCTAGCAGTAGGATTTCCATAATATTTTGAGCTTCCAGCTTCGTTAATATAGTTCAATATAGTTCTATCCTATTCTATCTTCATTAATTCGGGATGGAACTATAGTTGTGATCGACTAATAATAATAATATACATATATGAGGACAGGCGTTGCTATCAACAAATCATCTTTGAATGGTACTATTGGGAGATGAGACGTTGGCACCCTACCCATAAGCTAAACAACAACAGGAGGAATCGTTTTAAATTCTTTGTTACTATTTTCTAAGACGATCACGAGCCCCTAAACAAGCTACGAACCAAAACAGTGGAGTTTAGTTCGTAGGTGGTCTCCATCTTGTCTCCCAATAGTAACAGAAGCCGCCGCCGTCGGCGCTGTCGTCGTTCCCGCTCGAAATCACAGCGTAGAAAGCACGAAAATACGGAAACTAGGATCTCTCTCTGCGTGACTGTTCGACTCTCTGGTTGCAGAGACTCGATGCTAGCGATCTGGACTCTTCGAAATTAAACGTCAAGCCAACTTGGGGGATCAGTTTCGGTCTACCGCAAACCGGTGGACCGTACCCCGTCGGTCAATACGGTGCGAATGCCCTGGTGAATCCGTACGGAGGGTACGGTTCGGCCGAGCAGGGCTTAAATTTTGGCCTGGTTTCCGTGAATCCTCTGCTAGCCGTACAATTCACCAAAGATGAGTACGGCGACAAAGTGGTAAAACCGTTTGTAAATTTTCACGTGACGCCGAATCGAGGCCTTGTGCAGAAGCTCGGTCATTTGCTCGCTCACAAGAAGCAGACGCTCTACGAGACGAACGGCGGCAATTACGCGCCTCAATATTATCCCTCAAAGCCTACCGTGTTTTATGAGAAACCATACTACGCGAAACCTCACCATCCGCCTCCGTACGTTTACTCGAATCATCGCGAGACCCCTTACACGGACGAGTACTCGGATTATTATCGTGACGGGGACAATTATGATTACGATTACGAGGATCATCCCCACTATTACGGTGTAGCGCGTACCAACAACGATAAAAGTCAGCCTGACGAGGAACAGGGACAGGCGGTTCCAGAAGCTGGAACCGCCGGGAAAGTATCCTTTCCAAACAGAAGAAAGCGTGACGCGCGATCACGGTTACCGTTAACGAATGACACGACGGAGGTAAGTACTGTACGCCCGCGAGAAGTTGGCTAGTGAAAGAAATGCGAATCTGATTGGTGCCTGGATCTCTACTTTAGTTTAAAGTTTGTCGCTAGCCAACTGCTCGCGGACGCGCGACGAGTATCGACTACGGTGAACCGTCCATCGATAAAGATCGAAAGGAATATGGACATACGCGTCGAAAGGTTGAAACGGCGCAACGGATGGGGCTCGATTGTAATTAGCAATAAGCGATGATTAGCCCTCCAGATATTGTGTACTACGGACTCTTTATTTTCGGAGCCATAATAGGGAGGAAACCGTACGTTTGAATGATCAATTTAGAGCTCGAGCATCTGGCACTGGTATCGTGTTAGCCTGGGTGAAATATCAGTATGAGTCAAAAATGATTCCGGCATAGGACCCTGAACGGCTACACTTCGTTTTGGGGCACCATTTTTCGCCAGCACTCCGCGAATAGAGATTCTGGGTCTAGGAATGTATTGTATTATTGTGTACTGTATTTAATAGCGTCATAACAGTTTCAATTTTGTGTAATAATGGTCTGGGTTATGACTAAAAATTGCTATATTTCGTCTTCGTTTATCGAGCACGATCGAAGAACTGACCCAAGACGAAGTTTCTCTGAACTGCAGCAGTCGGAGGGTCACGGTTTACGGTCGCGATAAGCTTTGCCCCGTTTCGAAACGTCGTTCGTCGTCCAACGAGAAATTTGATTTCCTCGATAGAGACAATTCATCGCCGGTGCCCCTCGAATATGCGGACCAGGACTCGTCTGCTGCCCGAGGAGACAATCCACGACGAAACCACGACCTGGTCAGTGCGGAATCAGGTACACGCAAGGCATCAACGGACGTATCAAAACTCCTTCAAACGTGGACGGAGACGCAGAATTCGGTACGTTGTTCTCATTTACGTTGTTTCATCAGGCAACATGCAAGAGTAATTCCAGTTAGCACTTTAAGTATTTGACACCGCCATTGTTACGTCAACGATAAATGGAAATTATTAGGTTGAAAGTCGTTTGACGTAATTTGAGGTTGATCATCGCGATTTATGAAACTACAGTGACGTGTAATCGATCGATTCGCAGGTGAATATCCATGGCAGGTTGCGATTCTGAAGAAGGACCCAACGGAGAGCGTGTACGTTTGCGGTGGTACCCTGGTTTCTCCTAAACACATTCTGACGGCGGCGCATTGCGTGAAACCCTACGCGGCTCGAGATCTTCGCGTTCGACTCGGAGAATGGGACGTGAATCACGACGTAGAGTTCTATCCATACATCGAACGGGACGTGGCCAGCATCCACGTGCATCCTGAATTTTATGCCGGTACCTTGTACAATGATATCGCCATATTGAGGTTCGATCATCAAGTCGACTTCCAAAGGAACCCCCACGTCAACCCTGCCTGTCTTCCAGACAAACGGGACGATTTTGCAAGGAGCAGGCGAGTTCTTTTCTTTCTTATTTTCTTTAGTTTACCATCAACACGTTTATTGCAGAGGAATTTATCTAATTTATTGAATTCTATCGTTAACTTTTGGTTTTGCGGTGTATGGAGAGGTTTGGACAATTGATAATACTTCATAGAAATTTATTTATGTAGTAGAGTTCATGGATAACTACAAAAAAGTATCAAATAACACTTCCCTAGAGCGTCACACAAATTTATTAAAAATCACAAATGAATTTAAAAAAAAAATCGATAGGGGATATGTGCTGAAATTTTTCGGCGAAAAAAAATTTCAAATCGTTCTAAAAAAATTATTTTTAGTTGCGGGGATCAATTACAATAATTTTTGGTGAATATATATACCCCCGAAATCCTATCCACTTTCGAGAAAAACCATTCTTTACCGAAAATACAACGTCTAACCTTGAAATTCCGATTCCCCTGAAATTTTATGCGTACGTTTAAAAAATCATAACTCCTGAACGGATTGGAGGATTTTATTTTTCAAAATGCAAACAACACTTTGAAGAAGTGTATCTCAGGACTAGAAAATAAAAGAATAAATGTCTAAATAATTTAGGATTATACTTACCACTGGATATTGAATCCATGTTTACTCAAATACTGTTAAGTATCTTTTTACAATCGTAAAGAGCACCAAGAAATTCATCAAAGCAGTACTACTCCAAGAATGATAATCAACGAAAACTGTGACGAAATCTAAATGCCATATGTAATGATTTTATATTTCCAATGAAATAAGTCGATCGATGCTCAATTCTGGACCATACAGCTTTCGTTTGTTCGCGCCTAATTTCGTTTATAATTTCAATAGATGCTGGACAACCGGTTGGGGTAAAGACGCTTTCGGAGATTTCGGTAAATATCAGAACATTCTGAAAGAAGTCGACGTGCCTGTAACGAGCAACCTGATTTGCGAGCAACAAATGCGTCGAACGAGGTTGGGTCCTGGCTTCAATCTTCATCCGGGATTCATTTGCGCCGGAGGGGAGGAGGGAAAAGACGCGTGCAAAGGCGATGGCGGTGGTCCTATGGTCTGCGAGCGAAATGGTCGCTGGCAGCTGGCTGGAATCGTATCCTGGGGAATCGGTTGTGGACAACCGGGCGTTCCTGGCGTCTACTCTCGCGTTTCCCATTACCTTGATTGGATTCAGCAAATTATCAATCGTTATTGATTTTATGCCAAGAATAATACCACTAATACTATACTGATGATTGGAATAAATTGCAAGCCTTCGTGGCTTTGAAACGATCGCTCGTGTATAAATCGCGGGGAGCAAGAAAGATCAATTAAAGATTAAGAGCATGGTGCCATGAATAGAACGTGGATAGCGTCGATCAATTTTTGCTTGACCTTAGGCCTCGCAAAGGTTGACTCGAACGTCTGATTCCCCCGTACAATACGTTGGCTTCAAACTTACAAATCTATTATTACGTTTCGATTTCCAATTGCTGGAATGCGATTAGCACAAGCTGATTACCGATGGTTTCAGCGTATTCACTATTTATATGAACAGTTGCTCCCTTCGATTCGATTCGACACGACGCGTTTCGACTCGATCTCGACGCAAGACCGTTTCAGATATTCTTTATCGTTTAATTTATATCACGTATTATAAGGATGTATATGTATTTATAAAAGCCACAAGCGCGCATACGGATCTAGGAATTTAAGTAAATTAAGTACCGTCGTTCTTGTTGAGAACATGTTTGATTCGACGTACGTTCGGATCGTTGAGTAATGCATTTTGTTTGCAATTTGTTTGTTATGCAACTTTGTTCTAATAAACTTTACGTAACCCCATTTATTTGATAACACCATTATTATTATTCACAGCTAATAATACAACTACAGATGAACATGGTGACAAAGTATTACGTGTGCAAGTAAGTTCTTGTAATTTCTGGGAAGAATATATATAATAATATAAGGTAGGATCGATTTAATTGGACTTCGGAATTTAACACCTTTTTTACATTATTTAAGTTCTGCTTCATTTTAAATGATAATCCAATACTGGAGTGTACATAACTTTCCTATTTATTTACAAGTTTTATAAGTTTGCAATCAATGGTAAAATCTGTAATAGACTTTCTTTAAATTTATTTTCTTTTTTTTAAATAATTTGCTTCTTTTCTCTTCACTTTCTTGGCAAATGATTGCACAAACGAGAGCCTTTATATTCAACATCTTACTAAAGTGCATGTTAATGCTAGCCTTAGGAACATATATTTAGGTTCGTGGTATAGTTAATGAGAACATCGTTAGCACGTTTCTCTTTTGTATACGTTTCGCGAGGAGTTGGGAACTTTCTTTAGGAAAGAGTCTAGCCATACCGCTCTCAATGGCAAATGACGCGTCATAAAACACGTCGCGTCGTAAAATGGCACACACGCAGTGAAAACAAAATGCAGTACAAAATAACGGAGTTATTAAAGATGGGCAAAGTTATTGATTTACCCTGTATATGAAAAATAAACGATCAAAGGTTTCAGTCAAAAATAAATCTAATATTGTTCGGCTCAGTAAAATTTTTTGAGACTTATAAGATAGATATTTGGTTCTGAATTTATAACGTTGGATGTTATATGAAAATTATAAGAAGGCTCTAAATTATTAATAAATTTCCAATAGTTGTATTTCAGTCTCACAAACATTCTAAATATAAATATTGAAAATGTATACATCTGTGTTAATATTAGATTTAAATGCATTAAAAATAATCGTTTTCAGAAAAATCTATTTTTAAAGCAATCTCGATGCAAAAGATTCGTGTAAGAAAATAAATGTTTATTTTTTTGAAGTTTAAATTCAATGCATTTTCGTGTCACATGCGACATTACCAACCAGAAAAGAATAAGACTGCAGCGCTAGCGGTGATGCTGGAACTGCAATTACATTTCACGACCGCCCCATTTTAATAGTTGCGTTGTAGCTTTTAATGTAAACGTAAGTGAGAAACGATTTTGTGGGAGTGACGTACATTTAGAAGACAGCCAAATAAGTAAACGTTTAAAATATTCCTTTTGCCCACAGCTTACTGCATAGCAATTTCTACCTGAGGTACCCTTGACCATGTGTATCAACATTGTTGATCGGTCGTCGAAGCTCGAGTTTGAAAATAAATATCGAAACTCTAAATGCTGGGCCTTTCCCCACTCATCGCCTAATCGGTGACGTCATTGGCACCAAGTACGCGATCGCCATTCGTCTCGTGGATATCAGCCGGGACAGTTCTGTTGATAGTTTCACAACAAATAGGGTATAGCCTAGCCTAACCTTTTACTTTTCGACATCTACGTTTCTGATTGCTACTACTATTCTGTGTTACTCTTTATCGGTGGTTTAATATAATATTAATACATTCCTATACTACGAATTAAGTCAGAATCAATGTTTGTTACGTAGAATATTTTGTTGTTTCGTAGCTACGAGTAAATTATCGTTTGGACTCCAGGCACGCGCGAAGATCGAATCAGTGTTTATCACCCACCTGTAGAGTCACTTGTACGCCGTTCTTGATTTTCGGTCGTGTTAATTTACTATCCTCGAATAATATTAACAATTCTTACAATTTTTCTTTTCGAAATTAATATTACTCGTTACCGGTATTAGAATCAGTGCATCACTGAAGAGGGCTTTCGGGCGGTGGACCACGAGCGAACAACGTTAGTATAAATTTATACTTTCAAATTTTTAATTAAAAATGTCTATAATTTGAACAATAAATTGTAATTGTATTTTTGCATTCTTCTTACAGTCCTTGAACCTGATCTTGGTATTCAGCAGCAGTATCTGGTTATCGAGCGATGGACCACGAGCGAACAACGTAAGTATAAATTTATACTTTCAAATTTTTAATTGAAAATTTCTATAATTTTAACAAAAGATTATAATTGCTTCTTGCAGTCTCTAGACCTGATTCATACATCCTGGAAACCAGCAGGACCATGCTGACTGAAGGATGACTTTTGTGATGACTTCCACTGGACATCATCGTCGTCATTGGTGAGTTGCATGCCGTTTTTATTACTCTGGTCCCCAATCATGTTGTAGGATGAAAGATCCGAACCAACACGGGTGACCAGTTGTATTCTTAGTATTTTTGGCGAATTTAGTGACCGCGGATACTTTTCATACCCGCGAGTAGTAACATCTGTTGTAATATTTTTTTAGCGCAGGTTAGGGTCTTCTTGCACTCGCGTTTTTTAATGTAACAAATAAAATTTTCTCAATGTGGTAAATAATTTTTATAAAATATGTTAAATATTTTCATTAACTTTACATAAATTATATGATTCAGTAGAATATGAATGTCAATTAATATAGTATTATACAATAATTATTACATTAATACAATTATTAAGTTTTGATCGTTCCTTTGATTAATAAATCATATGATGTATTTTACGTGCAAGAAGACGTTTTGCGACTGGTCGATTTTCAATTCAAAGTAACATGCATATTAGTTTCATCTTTTAACAAATTTACTTTGACGACAGAATCGACAAAGGATAATTGAATATTTTGAATAACAATTTAATGAATTCATTTCAATTTTTAAAGTAAATTATTTTATCATAAAATCTTAATTAAAGGCTTTCATTTTAAATAATTAAATTTAATTATAATAGTTTTTTTGAATAATAATATTTTTCAATATTAACTTATTTGGTTGCTGATATATTACATATAACAAATCAAGTCATTTTAACAAAAACTTAAATAAGAAATACCGTTTAGTTATACTTAATTAACTTTTCTAGTCAGGATAATCTTTCCGTGCTTGTTACCTGAGTTCATGCACATGTCCAGGTGCTATTTGCATGAGCGAGTGCAACGGGGCACTATGATTTAGTTTGTAAAATGTCTAATAAATCATATGCATGCGGCTGACACTGAGCTAGTGATTTGTGCACCACGTAATGTTCACATGTGTGTGTGTCTGTTGTGGAATTACGTCGTTTAAACAATACATTATGAATCATTACATATTCTATAAATTGAAACATGAAACTTCCATTTACCAATTTACCAATCAAATTATTGATATCGTTGTTTATATATCCATTTTAATATACGATGATTGAAGGTAGTTCATACTACGATAAAATAACAAATATAATATAATCGATTAAATACTTTATATTACATTAAAATATTATCTATAATATAAATACGCAATGATCACTAGTCCGTGTCAGTCTACCCCAGAAACTTGTACGCCCACAATTAAAGTGTGAATGAAGTCAGTTATGTCTGGGTGTCGGAGGAACCCCGGGGAGTTCTCTCTAGTTTAGGTCGTGCCCGGACATTGAGAATGAGAACCGTGAAGTGTTTGTTTGCGAGAATGAGTTTTGCAATTTTTTAAATATAGCGTTAGGTAGGTAGGTAACTTTCTTTCTGGTGTGTATGTGCTAAATCTAAGTAGGTAGGGTCAGGGCAGGACTGTCCACATTAGTTACACGGTTAGGTGCGTTTTCGCGTGGCAGTCCTGTACCTGTAGGTACGATTTTGAGAGTTGAAAAGTTAGCCGATCCAAACAATTTATACCGTTTCTTTTGGTGTTACTTTCAATTCTTGAAGTCGCCGCGATTTTAAAGTCGCTCTTCGAAATGCTTGAATTATTCCACCCGTGTTACGACAACAATTTTTAGAATTGTTGGAGGTTCTGCGTATTGCACGGAATACTCGAGCGTACTATTAAGTTTCTGGCAGGACCGCCGAAGAAAGAAGATGCTCAAAGAGTCGAAGAGGCCCTGACAAACTGTCTCAAGAGTGGGCTGCAATAAATGGCTCTTCATCTTCATCTTCGAAAGAGGATGGAAAGTCATTCTTTGTTACTACTTTGTCACTTTTCTCGCCTGTAGTTTTGCAGTTAGTTTGTTTTTCTTGCTGGCTCACGTATGCATGTACTTTGTACATGATTGCACCATGCATGCCAATCATCCCTCCCCTGTATGTTCTTGGTTGGCTGATGTATGCATGTACCTGGTACATGATTGCACCATACATGCCAGCCATCAGGGTAATTCGCGGTTTAAATATCAATATTAACATGTTTACTGCCATTTCAAACTTACATTAACCCCTTGCCGTATAATAACGAGTCTGACTCGTTACAAGTTCTTAATGTCAAGTTTCACAATTATGAAGCTACTCACTCATCATCAA